CATTGGTTGTATAAATACTTTATTACAGGGAAGTGAAACTTGCCTAGATATAGTGAACATTTTTTCTAAATGAAAAGACATAGCTGCAGAGCCTAGAAATAATAACAACAGGTACAGCATTATAATACTTGCTGTTCTCTTCCATTTCTGTCTGGAAGACGAACTAAATCATACTACTTGGTCATTAATTGATTAATTTTCAATTTTTGATATTTTGCTTTCTAGATCCTGGCTACATTGTGAACTCCAACATCGTTGTGGACCAAGTGGGGCCCCTTCCCTATGACCTGAACAAATTCAGTTTAGTTTTCAAGAAGCCTACCACTTGTTCTTTGAAAAGGTACTCTATTTCTTCTGCAGAATAAAAAAACACATAGATTTAGCGCCAATTTTGAAAAAATTACGAAATATAATAAAGACCCAGATCCCTCACAAAGTTTTGATACAGTTTAATTGACAACAACAAGAATGAAATTCTTATTCAAATTATTTTTTAGCAACAAGAAATCTTCTTTACACAAAACGTATCGAGACTTTCGTTAGCTTTCTGATAATTGCTTTCTTTCTCCAGCCAAGATGTCTACTGCTACTTTCAGTATGAGTCTTTCATAATTAGCCGTATCATCGCAACCACAACGTTACCAGCCATGAAGATGAATGGACAACAGGTCGTTGTTAAATTCGACCATGTTATTGTAAGTCAAGCTTAATTTACATATCTTACAAATTGATGCACCCGCTAAAAGATCTTGTCGCAGAAAACTAATTAGGCAAAATGGCAACTCTTGTCTTTGATGTTTTGAGAGCTCTAATCTTGTTTCAATTCGATGACCCGAGGTTTATCTAACATACAGGAAAATTTTGCCATCGTAAGCTTAAATGACTTATTGTTAGAACAATAATCAGGAAATTTAAAATGATTTATTTCTTTTTAGTATATATGATTCTTTTAAAACAGCCTTGCTGCCTTGTTTGACCACATTAAACGTTTACCATCAAGAATCGTCAATTCTTACCAATAGATTGATCTTTTTCACTTACTTCTTCGTTTTTAGGATCTCAAATACTATCCTTCTTTGTACGCTGCTAAAAAGTATTGCGTGACATGGAATGACACCATCTTGTGAGTCTTTATCTTTCTTGCCAGCTGATAACGATTTTTTTCGAATAGCATCTCATACGACCTAACCTGCTAATAAAAGCTTTCTTGTTATCATGCAGTGAAGTTAATATAAACAGTTTATTAGCGCCATTTTAAAAACGAATACAATCAGATGTATTGCCATTGATGTATAGGATCTCTATAGAATGATATTAACTTTGGGCAGCGGCCTTGTTCGAAAGGAGAAATGACTGTATCTGCAGGTGCTTCAAGCAAGTGACAGTAAACTAAAGAACATTGAGGAAAATGCTTCGATATGTTTCTTTAAAAATACCTGTCTATTTGGATGTAAGCTCCACAGTCTTTTTTAGTTTCACATCTTTCTTTAAATGTCTAGCTTAAGTAAAGTGGTGAATAGTTTTTCCAATAATTGAGTTCATCCCATGAAATAGGCGTTAGAAGAGTTTTTTATGATTCTTTTTAGGGCCTTTAGAGGATGAATTAAAAAAACCAGACGATGGTTTTTTTAACCTCTACTGTTTCTTTACACAGGTTCACAGGCAGTGGGTCTTGGACACGCAAAGGGGGGAAGATATACCGATCTGATGACTTCACAACAACTTGTTATTTTGAGCGGCCTGGAATTTATGCCGTTATTGCCGAACAGCACGTAGGTTATCCCTAAAAATGTACAGTGTAATTAAATTCATAAGGACAAGGCCTCTGCTTTACCAATATTGCCACAAAAACCAGGGTGCATGATCCTTCATACTGGGAACCAGTTCTATGTACGCGAGCCAGAGCCTTAAAAAACGGATATCAATAGCTGGGGATTTGTCCAACATTTGTCAGAATGTGAAAATTTGATGATGACCAACGAACTCGTAATATCCAAATATGGATCAAGGCTAGCCAATAGAAATAAAGGGAAAGTTGATTGGAGTACTTCGGCCAATCACTGTTGTTTTATCTCTGAAGCGGATAAATGTTTACCTTATCTAAGGTTTCATTCATGTTTCCTTCTTTATTTGAGGCCTAACCGATTTTGTATAGCCATTCCTTGCAAAGGTCACAATTTAACGATGAAAATTCTGGCATTTTTTTCTTAAATATTTGTAAAGCTGGGAATCATTTCATTTCGTATAGGATTGAGTTCCATATTTGGCAACATCTATATGAAACACTATTAAATCCATATATTCTGTAATGTGGCTCCGTTGTTTTAAATTTGGAGTTTCTTAAGTTTTATTTATTGAAAACATCCCATCCATAATATGTGGATCTAAACCCTTGAATGTTTGATGTATTTCTACTGCAAGATACTGTCAATTTTTTATAAGGGAAGTAATTTTTTTATTCTTTATGAAAAGTTGTTCAAAAGTTGATTGATAATCATCATGAACTATCCTCATTGCCCTTTCGTGAATCGGCAATCCTGACTAAAACATTTAACTTTTTTCCAACTTTTTTGCAAAAGCTTTCAATATGTTCCTTCAGTCTAAGTTGATGGTCCAATGTTACTGCTTATAATTTAACATTCGTTCTTTCTTTGATAGAACAACCATGGATTTGAATTTAACATTCCTCTAAATTGGATCGATTGTCCCCTGAACCTAAACTCTCTATCGTACATCGAACTATTGAAACAATCTATTTTGAAAATATTATAAGATTGAAATATTTTTACATTTGAATACATATGAGTCTAGCACTTTTCATAAGCATTTTTGAAATATTTGTAAAACTTGTGCAACAATCTCCTTATCAAATACCATCATTTTAGTTCGAAGAGGAATTCGAAATTTTTCGATTCACTGGTACTTTCTACGCTGGAATATTCTTTTCTCTCATCTGGTTAATTATTCTAATGGGCCAGTGGGCATTTTCCAGGTTTGTATTCCAAAATCATCTTTTACTAATATCTCATAATCAGTATTACTAATTTTTTATTCTAACTCGGGAGTTTTGAAGGCAAAAAATAATTTCTTATCAATTTGCTTCCTAACAACATTTAAACTTTTGCTGTAAAATCGCGTCTTCTTTCAGATGATATCTCCGACAATATTTTGGGAGAACTCTTATCTTAAGTCAACTAAAATTGCAACTTAAAAGGTTTTGCTAGCATATGCATGTTTTTTCAGATTTCTTTTGTTTTACATTAGAATGGTATTTCCTACCACACAGTTCAACGTTAAATACTCTAAGGTCCTTAATAGAAGGAAGGGACGCTTATTCATTTTTTGTTTTTTTTCTGACCCCCGAGCTTATTTGGACCCCCCCCCCGTTCCTTTGGTCTTGCAGGTGGGACATTTCTGTAAAGTTTCTCTTGAATGAAGAGGTTGCATTGTACAAAAGTTTTAACATAGAGAAGTAGTGACATCCTAAAAAGATTTACATAGGCCTGACTGATGTACACAATGATAATTAGCCTGCTCATTTTAGTAATACAAAAATACATTATTACATGATGATAATTGTCATTTTGCTATCGATTGTATTCAGAAGAAAATCTCTTTGACCCCAAAAAAGAATCATCACGTGATTTTTCAAATTTCCGACCCCCAACTATCAAGACCCCCCCCCCCAACTATCAAGACCCCCCTTCTATTAAGGACCTTAGAGTAATCCCCCTAAAGAATAATGCATTTTATGTGATGTACATCACATACAGCCAAGATAAGATAAAGCATACGACTTGTGACATGGCACTTCAGTTGAGATAAAGAAGATTATCCGATGAAAACCTACTTGAAATGAATGTCACGGAAGGTTTAGGTCAACTATAGCAAGCATTTGTCTGTATTATTGTGTATTGGAAATCTCGCAATAATTTTCTTTTTCAGACGAATTAATGTTCCCGAATGGATAAACTTCAACCAAGCTTTGTCTTTGGTTCTCTTTGTCGGTGTTGTTCTTTGTGGGCTTCAACTAAATTATACCAAAGTGAGTTTCAAGTTTCTTGCCTTCCGACATTATATCTCATTGTGAAAAGCGAAAAATTTCCAAGTGTAAATGTTTGAGTCAGTTGCGTACCAAGGGTGCCAGATTATAAAGGGGCAAAGAATGGATAATTTATAGGTTAGAGACCAGGAAGTGTCTTGCCTACAGAATTTTACGGTAATTGCTTTTATAGAACACTAAAAACACGCTTTATAAAGGGGCAAAGAATGGATAATTTATAGGTTAGAGACCAGGAAGTGTCTTGCCTACAGAATTTTACGGTAATTGCTTTAAGAACACTAAAAACACGCTTAAAACAAATAGTTGAAGATTATGCCAAAAAGCTTCTTGTCTGACGGAGACAGACCTCCAAACTTGCTCAAGAGTAGAATGTTGAAAGAGGATGTTTAAAGTCTAAGCGTTTAAGCAGATGTGTGATAACTATGGGTAAGAGGGCTTGAAAGAAAAGTCACATTAAATTGCTTTTAGCAGTTTGCTTGATCATGAGAAGGAACAAAATAACTATTCTTCATTTGTTATTTTTTCTATGATACCCATCCTCGTTTGCATTTGCTTTCAAATACACTGATTGGAACATTGACATCGAGCCCTTCTTTTAGAGCATGTGTTCATTACTGGCCTTCCTCCTCTATTATTTTGGCCTTGGCGTTTTCTTCTGGCAATTCCTCAAAGCTGCACAGCTCAGTGGAAAGTTTGACGACTTTTTTGCCAGCGGACGCAACATCTACCTTTTCTACTTCCTCCTTGGATGGAGTACGTTGCAATTTTATTCTATCCCTTTTAAAACTATTAAACATTTGAGCAAATAGATAAAGAGTCGATTTATTGTAATGTACCCCTAAACGCCTTGCTACGTAATACTCCAGTTGATTTTTTTTAATCATATGAAGATTGAATTAAGCATCGAAGAAAGTTTAAAGTCCGGATAAAGAACAAATTTAAATGAGAATAGTAAACTTCTACCCTCAGGTTAGCAATTTAGATGGCGTGAGTGTTCAAATTCGGCTCATAGGTCAAGATGGTAATTTATATTTGACTTGTTCATGGATATACGACAAGGTTTTTTGAAAACGCTCAAAAGCTGGAAGTAAGCTGAAAACACTTTTACAATTTTCAACAACGATAATAACTTTTGCACACCCTTATTAGGCCTCGCAGAGACTTGATAGATGTTCATCTTACGTTACCTTTATTGTTTTTCATTCATTGTTTTTGGTGGGTAAAATATTAGCTAATTAAAACCAACTTACTTTGCATCATAACTAGGCACTCAAAACTTTTGCCTGATTTTTGCAGCATTACCAATGTTCATTGCTGGTATGGCAGCTGGTGCTTTGTTTATCGAAAGAGATGCATCGCAAAGGTGTGTTATTTGCATTTGACAAGTGGTATATGTCACGTAGTAACAGGTCTAGGGTCATTAATAAGCTGAAAGGGGGTGGGGGATGGAGAATATTCATTACGGCTATTACTTGGCTTGACAAGCAACACGTCATCGTCATTACCTTGACAATCACCGAATTTGTCAATTTAGGACCTGAAACAGTTGTCGATTACTTCGTTCCATTTTAGTAGATCTGCAAAAATTACCGCTCCTTTGCTTAATTGTAACTTTATGCAATCGTTTCTTTGCGCTCGAAGAAACATTGAAATTTCTAGACTTTTTTGCAACTTCTTTTTTGCAACGTGTACGCTAGCCAAAATAAGATCGTTTCTACGCCAACGTTAAACACGACTGAGTTAATGCATTTTTTTTTCAAAAAACCACTCATCTGAAAATTAGCTCTGGCCTACTATCCTGCAATATTACAAAATTTCTAGCTAATTATTCAGTTAAGGTTGCACGGTTAATAAAAAAGACTATTCTGTTAATTCTGGCATTGGTACTGTTCAAATTTACAGATTTTAAAAGGCCTTAACTCCATGACAGTACCATGAACAAGGAATTCAATGGGGACGGGGTGCGCAGGTACTTCCCCCAAATGAGCTGTGAAACGATCATTAGCGCTTCCTAGAGACAGAGTTTGTCTTTCGGTAGCGTTCTGACCTGACATATCTAGATGTGTCACTGCTCAAAACTCCGAAACTCCGTCAAAAACTAACAACAGGACTGGCTGATTGGCATAAAACTTAAGACCCAGACTTTTCTGACATATTTGCTTGCTGTAGCATGCTCTAATTGAAACATTTGATAGGATCTGGATGACTGTGAATATTTCAAAAAGTTTTTTGTATTGTTCTTGCCGATTTAGCGAAGCCAATCTAATTAACGCGTCATTCATGTCGAGGAGTTTTTAAGCGGCATTAACTAATCGCAGGTCACATAGGGTTAGAGAACGATCTTCTGCCAATATCGAGGGGCAATTCACTCTTGAAAATAGCGTACAATATTTTCTCTAAATCAAAAGGATTTCCAAGGATTTTCAGATAATACAATAGGATTTTCACAAAAGAGTACGAAATTTTCTTAGAGTGATTTGCCCCTCGGCCAATATGACATCCTGCAAAATGTGTGACCTCTCCGTCTCGCTCTTCTCTTACCACCAGGGTCGCGAAAATTATATTTTGATTAATTGTATACTCTTTCATTGGCTAATGTATCTTAAAATGGATGGACTGAGTGAAGATTTGATGTTTTCACCCCTCCCCTACACAACCTGTGTTTGTGTCCCTGATTGTTTCTTATAAAGAAATTCATTTTAGTTTTTAAAAGCATTGAATAACCTTTTTATTAATGTTTGGTATGAAAATTTTAACTCAGAAAACTACAGTAACGTAAAATTCAGTAATGTGTTCATACACCAAACAAAAAAGTCTAAATTCGAATTAACTTTCCTGCATTGCATGCTCTCAGCCTTAAATTGCATCTCTCATCCATATCTCTTGATGAAAAGTGTCTTTCTTTGTCAAAGAGAAGTAGCCAATGCAGGGTCCTATAAAGTTCAAATGGATTAAGGGGAGTGGCAAAGGGGCTGTGTGTTGCAAAATTAGAAGCAAATTCTAGAGATGAAGCACGTACACCCAGTTTATGGTGCTAGGCCTCTCGTGCACAATTTTACGGTCATGCCGGGACTTTCACGGCCCTTTATGTCATCAGGTACCAATACTGATACTTCTTTCCAAGAACATTTTCAACATGTCTAGCCCCAATAATTGCAGCTTTCGTCAACTCTCATTTGCATTGAAACTCAGACTCGAAATTTTTCAGCATCAATTATTGATTTCAATAATATGTTCTACATACATGTTACCAGTTTTTGTATACGTATTACCAAATTATGAATTAAATCTACTAACAACAACAATTAAGATGAATAGATATCAGACACATGGCTAAAGCTCTAGACATTGCGATCAAAGTCGTGTGAACAATTCCTTTGATAAGGGCGCTAGTTAGCCTAAAGTTTGGTTTGATGTTTAAACTTTTGTTTTAAGCTGCGATTCTGCATTTGAATTTTATAAAATCATCAAGCATTTCTTGCTATTTTAAAACTGGCTGCTAATGAGGTTCATCGACCTTTCATATTTCTCAAAGTGCTCTTTCAGTTTGAGGTTTAAGGGTCCAGTTTCTCAAGTTGTATTTGAAATAATCTTGATCGTGTTATGATGGCTAAATTAATAGAAACAGCAAAAGCAAGTGAATCTGAAGTCGAGAACACATTTCCAAATGAAATCTATTACTTAAAATCGATTAAAAAATTTCACTGTAAAAGTTGCTCACTGGAGGCCATTTACAAAACTTAGAATTGACAGTTATGACTTCTCTCGTAATTGAGACAATCAAGCGGTAGGTTTCTGCGTCCATATCTTCAGCTTTGTGGCACACTGAAAACTTTGGCACTTACAACTTTTTACAATTGGGATATTTATCTTCAGTTTTTTCAGCTTTCTTTTCGGACAGATCAGAGTCAAAGGTACCAGCTCGACGGATCTTGGGAAACACCCAAAACAGCCAAGTTTTCCGACTTCAAGATCTGGAAACCAGATCGAATTGCACCAGCCTTTGCAAGCACGGTTCATTATTTTCTTCACTTTGCAGCCACGGACCTTGATGCTCTCCATTTTCCATTTTGCAAAGCAGCGATCTTTGTCCACCATAACTGACACGCCATTTTCTAGTTCAGGCTGATCGCAAGTCTTGTCTTTCAAGGACTTCCAAAACGTGCACTTGGTCCTTGTTACTTGCTTTTCTGTTGTGAAGGCAGCTAAAATGAAATGGCAGTAGCAGGCGATGAACAAAACATGTCCGCGTGGAAGAGCCATTTTCCCTCCTCGGCTGCTGCCTTGCCTGATGTGCTTTGACAACGCCAGACACAACGCCTCCTTATACCAAGGGTGTGTCTTGGGCAGATATGTCTAGGACTGGCCAATCATAACGGTTACGTCATATTATGTTCTCAAGACAGGGATAACAATGAACCTGCAAAAGGGTTCATGAACCATTATTGTACCACTTTGCACCAAACAGGACAGTGATCCACTGTCACGAAAATTCTCTTTTGTAAAAGTTTACCTAAGGTCAGCTCGCTCAGATTCTTACTTTTTAATACCCAACTCAAGTGCTTTAAGCGGATTTTGTTCTTACTTCACTGAAGGGTGTAGATTCTAGTCTTTTCTCTTTCACGTTACAACGGCATAAATCTTGACCTTTCATGTTCAAACGAATCTTCTGGACCAATAAACGTAATACCAAGAGAGGTGCGGTCACCAATACTGTTTTTCATTCTAAAATATATTTGAAAATATTGCAAATTCTTCAGATTACTGCGAAGCTCTAACAGAATGATTCTGCAGTAAAATGTTCTAAAGACATTTAAAACTTCGTTTCGAATTAGGATGATTACGCACTGTAGAGGCCAACAAGTACTGTGTCACTTAGTTTGGTCGAGCCCTGACCTTGCAAGCTTCCTCCATTCTTCCCTGTTTTTCATTCAGTTCCTAATCTTTCCAGTGTCCTCTTGGCTGGTGTCTTCCTGGTTTGTTTCCTCATTCAGGTTTTCGAGATAGGTAACTGCTCTTTTCCCTCTAGCTTGCTTTCCTCTTGTGGGTTCCCACAGTACCAGGTGGACAGCAATCTCCACCTTGTGGCTCACACAATGACCTGGCATTCGGTGTCTGCTCTCCCTAACCTTTTCTGAGCCCGACATCGCAAGTACTGTCTCACTGATGGGTTTAAAAATGTCATTTCTGGAAAACAGCTTCGTAAATTTTGTCAACAAGATTATTCAAAGCATACTCTATGAAGAGTGTCGATGATTAAAAACTCGTGAAAGAAATTTTTTTGATGGCAAAAAGTTACCATAGATTAGGTCAAAGTCTTTAAAAAACGTATGTTATGAAGATAATCGTAAGCAGGGACGATGTTGCAGGGCCTCTAAAGCTCCAAATTTGTCGCAAAATTTGTCGATTTGACTCCCACTGCGTCACAGATGGTTTGTATAGTTGAGTTGTTACGATGGAAAGAAATGTAGATAATTGTGATGCAAAGTACACGCAAGGCCACCGAGAGGGAAAATGGGAGCCTCTGGGAGCCTTTGGGAGCCTCTGGGGCAAATCCGAAAGACGAGGCTCTCTGGGAGTGAATTGAGCATAAAATATTTGCGACCACATCCTTAAGATTAGTTTAATTTACATTTCAAAATATTTTTTGCATTAATCATCTTGCAACCGTTTACAACGTTTCACTGTTTTGGGCCCTGAATGCTGACCCAGTCGTTTCGACAGTTTTTGATGAGAGGCATTTTTCTTGCAGCTGTTGGCATGCACTTGTTGGTGGCACTGTTTGGGGATATACATCTCCGGCATATTTTCTCGTCCTAGTGAGTAATACTGTCTTAATTTACATGCCAAACTTCTTTTACGGTTTATTAAGCATAGAAAGTTGAATGCTGTTCGCCTTAAATTGGTTGTGAAACCTAATCGATTTCTCTACTAGGCTAATTTGCTGATATTATACAAAGTTTCAAAGAAAACAAAAAAGAACTTGGAGCGTTTTAATCATCCGGAGTTAAGGTAAGGGCACGGAGATTATTCAAATGAATAAAAAATAGAAACATTTTATCCGAGGGGCAATTCACTCTTTCAAATAGCGTACGAGATTTTCTCTAAATCAAAAGGATTTTTGGGGATTTTCAGATAAAACAATGGGATTTCCACCAAAGGTGTACGAGATTTTTTGGAGTGATTTGCCCCTCGATTTTATCCTTGTTCTTGCTCTTGAAATATTACCTTTTTACTTCACACTTTTTGACATTGACAGAACTGCATTCTGGATTGCGCTGTTTTTGAAACTTTGTGCCCAGTTATATCGAGAAATGGGTGGTTATAGTTAATCTATGTGGTAATTCTTCAAGGCGTGTATTTTTGTGAATTTTTATGTAATTTCATTTACAGGAAGAGAATCCTGCGAGAGTTGCTGCAGCTAACCTTGTACATCCTTACTGCAGTGTCCGGGATCCTTTCCGTTTTGAATAAGACAACTTTCTCCCTTCAGTACATGTTCTGCTTATCTATCACCTTAGCGGTAAGATTTAAATGCATATTTGAAATAAAATGTAACGATCTATTTTTCAACATTCTTACCAAATTTTCTTACCAAAGATTTGTCCACGTTCAGTGACGTTAAACGTGAATTACCTTATAGTTTGTTATCCGAAATAACGTTGCAAACGATTGTCCTTAGCATCTGCTGGTTGGTCCTAAATCGCAACATTCATCGCGGATGCAGACCTTATTCTGACTGTCGCACGCATAGGTGGGATCGGAAAAATTACTTGCGATCACTTCCATTGTCTTTTCATATTGTAATATGGACACGTCTATTAGATTTCCCTATACCTGGTCAAACTGCATTACACTCCCTTTAGGTATTTTAAAATGAAATACCTCATTCATCATCGTTTATTACTTGTAGGGGCATAGCTAGCGGGGGGTGTAGGGGGGTGTAACACCCCCATACTTCATGAATTCGTCAGTAAATCTTAGGTTTGTCTACCAAATCCGTAGTTTGTCGGTAAAATCATCTATCAGTTGGTGAAATAGCACCTAAATTATCATGACCCTCCACTCTTCTAGTCTGGAAGGTCAAGCGACGCCACTGATTACTTATAATATTTACAATTTATAACATTTTTATTGTTATCATTCAATTTCAGGTGCTGCTGATGAGTCTTGGCGCAAAACAGGTATCATCTATTTATTTTCATGTTTTTCTTATTAATTTAGGACTAACCAAAAGCAGTGCACGAAGGGGCGGTTTAATTGGCGGTTGATGGGGTTTAGCATACTTAAAACCACACAACGAACCCTCCTGCTCTTGATTTTTAACCTTCTAAAAAACGTTAGCTGTATGTGTCAGCAGACATAAAGTATTTAAAATGCTATGCTAAAAATGTAGTTACAATATTCATTTTTTCATGTACAAAGTATCTTTTAACTTTAAAAATAAACACTTTATGTCTTTCACGGATACTTCGTAATCATAGCCAGAGCATTTTTCATTTCAGCGAAGGCCAGGTTATAAAAAGATCCACTACGCCGAGGCGCCTGGAAAAGATTATGAAGTGAAGGAAAAGGAAACAGACGAAAAGGATGATGTTGATAATGTGAAGAAAAAATCTAAATTTCCCTTCGCTCCATCTTTATCGATGAAAGCATATAAAAAATGGAAAAGATTTAAAAAGGTAAGTAGACACTAGCTTTAAATTGTAAGTTCATTTTAAAACTGTCCTGCAACATGTTAAATATTATTGCACGACAAATACAACACATTTCAATAAAATTTTTGTACTGCTTTGCACTGCTTGTAATGTACATTCCGTTACTTCATTTTAATGTATATACTGTTATGTGCCGTACCATGCTATGTTAGGCAGTAGTGTTCCGTCCCACATATTGAAAAAAATCTTTAAGTTTCAGGTCTGGTGCGTTTCTTATAAATCGAGATACAAGTCAAATTAGTTTATTATAAGAATGTAGTAAAGTTTATAACAGCGATCAGCTAGATAGCTATACGTTTTACGATGGTGGTACAAAACGTCTCATGATGACTGCGGAGAAGAGGAAGGGGATATATGAATCAAAATCCTCAAGGATATAAAAAGCTATTCATTTTAAAAAACTGATAAATATTTCTGTAAAGACTGATCTATAACTTATAGTGGCACAAAGGCAAATATTGTTGAACAGTAAAATTGACTGTCCTTGACAGTCAAAACGGAAGGTTTAATACATGTTCTTTTTAATAAGAAACAATATTTTTCAGCCATGTACCTGTCTCTATTAATGGGGTATTGTTTGAAAATCAGTGCCTGTATTTCTAAAATTTGTGGTTCTCACATGCGGGACATTACTGTACATTTACGCATAATACTGTGCTATGCCGTTGTTTTTATGTTATGTTGTACTCCATGTGTTCTTTTCAGTATGACCTTAAACTGGCAAAATCCTTCCTGGGCCCGTCGAGAACCGATTCTCCTGAATACAAAATGTACATTGAAATGGAAGAGCGCAGCGAAAGCAAGGCTTCAGTGCGGACTTCGACATCCGTTAGAAGTGACTCTGTTCTCAGCACAGAAAAATATGTAGAAACATCGGATGCTGAATCCGAACTTCAAATGGTAATGTTTTCAATAGCTCTCGTGCAATCACTTTCGATATTATTGACTATTGTAATTCTGTTGAATTGTAAACACCATCCGCAGTCGGGACCAGATGACTATATGTCCTTCCCCACTGCATGGTGCAAATGAAGTAAGTTGTTCTCTCTTTAGGTTTTGTGTACCTTTGAGGTACACAAATGAGGAGATTGAGGATCTTCAGGTTTTGATTGTTGATAAAAAAACTTTCGATATGACAAAGTGTTCTCTATGACAGGCCTGAAAGGTCCTGTGGCAGAAAGGTAAAACCTTCGCGAAATGTCACGTAACAATGGTGTGTAGTGCCTTTTGCTTTAATGAGTCTGAGTGGCATTTGGTTTACGATTTTTCAAGTCCATTTCACGCTTATTGTGTTCCGTTTAGTCAGAATTCGGTTCTTCGTCGAAAGATTTTGCTAAATACCTATTTCACTTCGTTTCCTGTCCATTTTGAGCTTGAAAAGAACTGAGAGGAAGAAAAGAGAAATGATTATTTGATTTCGTTCATTTAAGAAATGAGATGTAAGAAGAATTTGATATAGTTAAGTTTTCATTTCCATTTGCAGTCATCAGACGAGGAAGACGGAAGGTCGTCACGTGTATCAAAAGGAAGCAAAATAGAAGTGAAAGCTGACGTGAACGTAGCCGGGAGCCGAAGGTCGATAGCGACAGTTGGTTCACAAAACCAAATGATAGGGGATGATGATTATGATGAAAATGGTGACACAAAAGAAATCATTCATGATCCTGAGCATCAAAATGATGGCAATACAGTAAGCGGCAGCAGGGCAAGCATTAATTCTGAAGCACAACTAAACGACCATGAAACACAAGCTAATGATGGCCACCATGAAACACAACCTAATGATGTCCAGGTACATGTTTTAATATCTTATTTAGGCCGACCTGTTCCACCAATCAAAGCGTATCAATTTGAAATCATATCCTTTAAAAATATCACTTCGAGGTTTAGCAGCGATACTGTTGAAGAAATTTCGCCTAAAATATGCATGTTTTTATTGCTAAGATATAAAACGATGTGCCTGTTCCATTTTCCTGCTCAACTGCACCAAATGATACTGGTTTGGAGTGACAAATTTTCATTTTCTTCATACCATTGATGTTTTGGATATGAAGGATTTTTGATAATTTGACGATTTATTTTCAAAGGACGAAAGTGCGGACATGCGGAGTGAAAGTGCAGCAGAGGAAGCAAGAACGCCCTCAGAGCGACCGTTGACCAGAGAAATGAGTGTAGCTTATTCTAACAAAGATGGCGAGTCTGAGGAAGAAAACAGACGGCCCACAGGGGAAGAATATCAAGTAGGTTCTCCAGAAAACATGCCACCTAGCGAAAGTGGCGACTGTGCAGAAGAAGAGGAAGATTTAAGTGACTTTCCAAAAATTACAGTCAACGCATTTGGTGGGACCCCCGATGATGATGTTGGTCCAGGAATGCACCCTGCTATCAACAGATCAGCTTTATCAATTCGAGCAAATGCAGCAAAAGAGGCAGAGGACGAGGCTATGTCCGTTTGCTCCCTTGAGGAAGATGATGATAACGAAGAACATAACGAGGAAAAAACTGAACATGAGCCACAGGGTCTTACAAACGAAGATATATCTACTTCTTAATATGCTTCTTAATAATAATCCACTGTAACATAGGCAATGAGAGAAGATTGGGAGGCAAAGGCAAGTCTAGTTGAAAGAGACCAGGGGGAAGTTTGGGAAAAAGCCCATTTTTAATAATAAATCTGAAATTAGTTTTGCGCTTTCACCACACACCAATCCTTTCCCAATCAAATCGCTTTAACACTCCTCCTTTCCCTCGTTAGGCCTTAGCTTTAGGCTCTTGAGCCTTTCCCTAGCATCGCCTACTTAAAAACAAACCCTGTGATAATTAGGGAGAGGCTCCTCCCTATCCCCCTAGCTACCTCAGCAACTAACCATAACCTGTTTGTTCATTGATTCCACTCTGGGCCTTCGGTTTCAGCATTGTAAGCAAATATTTCTGGCATAACGATACTGTTTTAGCATGGTATAAGTGAATTTATTTCCATTTTTCTCAATAATTTATTTTCAAAAGGCTATTTAAAGCACAAATAGTAACTGCAAATGGAATTTCTGCATTAATTTTGCAAGAAAAAAGTGAAAAAATTCAAAGGTTATTGGTAGCATTAATAGAATACTTTTTGCAATTTCATTTCCAAGTCGACTACATGTTTAAAAATATGCGAAAATAGATTTAAAGTAATCTACTTCGACATCTACTCTTTATTTAATGAAGAAATCTAATTTTAACTAGAAAAGTATGTATAGATAATTCTGAAATTCATTGTACACTAAAAGGATTCGTACATCACTGAAAATCATAAAAGTCAATATGATCACCTGATTTATATTCATTTTTTCGCAAAATTCTCACTAATTTATCAGCAGAAGTATCAGGTTGGATAATTGAGTTCTTTTCTCTCATTGCCTTAAAAAACTCTCTTGACGCTTCATTTCCACAGTTCTGTTGAATGTTCATGGACATCGCAGTTTCCATTGGGCCAGGGGCATAGTTAAGCACCCTGATTTCAGTTTCCTCACAAGCAAGGCATTTGTGAAACATATCCCTTGCAGCTTTTCCGCTACAGTAGAAGGACATAAACTGCATTTCCTGAATGGCAGCCAGAGATGAAATATTAATCACAAACTTTTTGCTGGACTTAAAAGCTGCAACAAACTTTGATGTTAGGTGAAAAACTGATGTGATGTTGAGATCAAAATATCTTCTTGCCAAAGATAAAGAATCCTGTTCTTTAACTGGAACTTTTATTTCACCAAGGCTGCCAGCATTGTTTACCAGGATTGCAGTGGCAAATTCTTTACAGTTGACTCCTAAAGCATGTGAAATGCATTCATTTAGAGTATCAAGGTTTTCCAAGTCACACAAAACTATTTCCACAGACACCAAACAATTAGCTTGATTGACAAGTCTCTTTGTTTCATTCAACCATTGCTCATTTCTTCCCATCAAGATCATGACCGACCCTTCATGAAATCTACATTGTTTTGCAAAGGCAACTGCAGTTGACCGACCAAACCCTCTGCTGGCTCCAGTGATCAGGCAGAATGTTTTGTCATCAAAATTCATTCTTGTTTTCTTATTAACACTAAATAAAAACAGTTTAAAAATTAATAAGTCAAAATTAATCATGGAGCTATCAATATATAAATACAAACAATTCTTCATTCTAAAAAGGGACGAGTTCATGCACAGCAGTGAAGAGAGTTTCAGAATAGTTCTGGGGAGGATTCTTTTGCATGTTTGCAAGAATTCTTTTGAAACAAGGGCTAACATGTATCAACAAATAGAGAGTAAAAATCATCTGAAATAATTGACACTTGCAAAGCAGGTCATTCAACCTCTAGCAAAGACCTTTCACCCTGTTTAATGAATATATTGTTGCATCTTGCCATTATTTTGTTTTTGTACTCAGTTGCATTTGGCTGCTGGATAAGCATATGCATGTTTTCCAGCCCGGAGTAAGGGCCTAGGGTTAAGCTCCTAAGTTAGGGGCAGCAACAAATTTATCTTGCCTTTCCGAGATTAGGCCTGAAAACAGCTTTAAGGAAAATGTTAAGACCCCATTTTTGTTAAGATAAAAACGCAGTGATTTCACAACATACCTTTCAAACTTTAGGACTGGAACGTGTCAATTTGGATTGTAACTGTTTCATTGACTTTCGGTTTTAGGCCAGTGGTTTTAGGCCAGTTGCTCCGCAGCGGTATCAGCTACACCATTTCTATGAGCTACACGTTCCATGAACCGGAAGTAAACAGCATTTTGGCATACTAGCTCGGGCAAGTCAAGTTTTTGCTACAGTGTGAGATGGACGTCACTGTCGATTTCATTTGTACGAATGGGCAAAACAGTGGGGTCTGTGTAATGCCTTTGAAACATGTCTTTGCGCTTGAACTTAACTATGGGTTATCTATATTATTCTTAGGATTTTTTGAAAGTTTTATTTGAAACTTGTTTGACAATAATTTTTTAGAATATCTTTTCATAGTACATGCATATATTTTATTAGAGCCTTTATTATTGCCTGATGAATCTGCAGTGATAGATATGAGGTGGTGAATCTGAGGCAGGCAGCAGCCCCACAATAATAGCCAAACAGGGGTGATGGTGGCCCCTAATTTTTTAGCCTTGCCCCCCCCCCCCCCCCCACTTTTAAATTCGTGGCACAGGCCCTGATAACAGAGTGCTAGTAGGAAGCAACAGCTGCTTTGGTCTTCTACCCTCCACTAGCCTAGCCTGGTTGTGATGCAGACTATCAGTCAGGTTCATATATGAATTTTGCTTTGAGATAGTGCTCTCTGATACCTCAGAAAATTGTAACACATGTAACTGATTTTGCACATTTAGAGGTAATTTGTCATGTTTTTGCAGATCCTTTAGACAAAATTTAAAAATTCTAAATAGGTTTTTTGCAACATAATCAAATCAGTTTATATCTATACATTAGCAACTCCTAAAATCTTATTGTAAAGAGATAACTTGCTAGATTAGTTGTAAAATATTCAAAAGACAATAAACTTAGAAAGAACAAAACTATGTATCACACAAAATCATAATATTTACTTGCTAATTTACAATCACAATCACACTTGAATGCATCTGAGACAAAATATTTGCAATCAGTTGTCAAATTAGAGAATTGCCATCACTCTTCTGTATAACTGAAAAAATTGATTTGAGTTCAATTTTTATTAAGATTGTGAACAACATTAAAAATCAATTGAATGTGGCAAGATATATAAAACTACATATATTTTCTGCTGATGGGTTGGCTTAGGGAAGCTTAAAATCTTAGTTTCGTAACAGAACTTCCTTTTGGTTAATTACAGAAGCCAATCGTCTGGTGCACAACTTCCTTCTGGGAAGTAGAATCAAAATTACTAGATTTTCTATCTTTCCAAAGAAAAGAATAAAGCATACAAATCTTTGAAACAAATTAATTTAAATTGGAAGAATCAGTAACACTTACAAACAATTATCATAATCAACAACATTACAACAAATACACTCTTTTTTTATAAGAACAATTTTGAACGAGCCTCAAAATTTGTCAAAAGTTAAGGACAAATTAAGAACAAACTGAGGCTGAGCTTTTGCAAAATGCAATTTTGAACAACGCTTTTTCTAAAAATTGAGGATTTTTAGCAATGTGTGGGTGCTTTTTCGGTGAATATTCAAATTTTTCAGCAAATTAAGGCTGTCTCACTCACTTTGTTGGCAAATGAGGCCTGCACATCACCCTAGAGCAAAAAAGTGAGCACTCGGACAGCTTACACCCTATAGATTAAGAACAAATTAAGAACAATCCAGCCTCAGATTTTCGAAAAAAATTAAGAACAGTCAGCCTGAACTTAAATTTACTGGTTCTTATAAAAAAAGAGTGTAAATAGACTATCTTTACCTTCTATTTGATCAATATTTTAACATTTCAAGAAACTAGCAATGGCAACCTGGGAAAAAAGTCAGTTTCTAAATCAACTTGTATGATCTACAAAATATTCAGCAATGATCTACAAAAATGCAGTTATAAAGAGCAGCAGTAAAGTTGTCTGCAATGGACTTGGATAAACTTTCAATGCAAAACTGGTTGGATTTTTTGAAATTCTATCCTTTGCATACTGTTGTGCAAGTTTCAAATTGTCTTTCCAAGAGGTTGGCCACATAGACATACATTCTGAGCTGTTACTGGATCCATACTTGAAGGAATAGTTGAAGAGTCTTTCGCAAAAGGTTTTTGGGTTGCCAAAGTACTCTTTGAATGTTTTGCAAGGCTGGGTACACATCTCAGGTGTACCCTTCTTTTTCCAATTCCAAGTGCTTATATTACCCCAGTTACCACTGCATGTGTAGTCGAATTTACAATCTTCAAACCACTGATCACAATCCGATGCACAAAGTGGGATATGCATTATTCTCTCAGTGCGGGTTTTCTTAGAAAATTTGTCATCGACGATCCATGGGGCCAAATTAGGGGAGCATTCGTAAAAACAAGTGTCCTTCTTAAAATGCCTTTTGCACTTATCAGACATCCCTTTAATAGAAGGACACTGATCAAGCAGCATGTTATACAAAGAAAGAATACCATCAGTTTCTATCTTCTGAGCTGTAGTTCCAGTACAGCATGAATGGTTTGACCATGGTCTGCAGTGACCAACGAACTCCTTCCCTTCTGTCCCTGGAACGGACTTGTGATTCTTGGAATCCAAACATTTGTTCATGAACTTATCAATAGCTGAAGAAGTGAGCGCTGTCAGTGCCATGGTCGAAAGGACCAAGAGCCACATGAAGGCACGATTCATTTTGTACGATTTAAACTTTGTGCATACGACTTTGCTGCCCCTGGCCTAGTCTTTACCATGTGTTGTCAGAACTCTTTTCTTGGCCTCGTTTCGGATACAGGCTCCTTCGCATCAGATAACTAAGCAACACACTGATAAGGAAAACAAAACAAAACATCAAAATATCAGGATATGACAAAACGAGATCCCAGTTCTGAAAACACCTTGAGAAAACTTTCGCCTTTCACTTCTTTCTTAGTTGTTAAAAGAACCTACATAATCTCGTACACCGATGACTTAATTTAACCACATTCACAACGACCACTTCAACCTATTTTGTCCCTGCTTCAAGAGTAAAATGTTTTTCTTTTTGCACGATATCTTCGTATCAAGATCAATTAATTTTTCAGTTTGGTCCAAAATCAATGCATTTATTTCTCTTATGGACTGCAATGTATCTAAATGGGTTGAAAAAATCTTCCCTTCTTCCCCCTTGTATTTTTTCAACTGATCTTTTGTAGATTGTATTTTTTCTTTCACGTTAGCTGGTCTTGTGTTCTGTGCCAATGTCAACTCCAGTTGTTCTTTCTGTTCTGTCTCATTATCAATGAAAAACTTCAAGCGCTCGAGTTTTTGCTTCTGCTTCTCCATTGTTCTTTCTATAACCCGTAGGTCATTCTTGTATTGTTCTATTTCTCTTTGAACAGTTTCTCTTTCTTTTAGAAACTCCTCATAAATGTGCAAATTTTCTGTTAAATTGTCTGATATATCTGCTGGTGACATGAAATCTATGCATTCTCTTGTTAACGTTGCCATTTTACCCTTCGTCCTTGCTGGCATTTGTTTATCGAGACTTCAAGCACGAATGACATCAACGAGTCCTCTGGGAAGCGTCCTTTTCTTCTAAATCCACTCAATTTTTGTTTCGCTTCACAAATCGAGAACAATAAAAACAAGCCACAGCCATCACTGTACACATTCCAGCTGGTGAAGAAAATGGTTGGATTTGCGTTTGGCCGATAGCCGGGATCAGATCAATTACGTGCCTGGGGGGTGGGGGGCGTTAAGAAAAGTGACCAACTTTACTTTTTTGACTGACTATTTCTCCATAGAAAATTAGTTAACAATGAAATAAATGATCATATACACACTTGATGATAACAATTAAGAGCAAATGATGGCATGAAAGTATATTGAAATTAAGTTTGCGGAGTTCGCGATTTTGGGTGAATCCATGAGCATCTTTTTGCGAAAAAGCAATTATAAGTTAATCTGCAAAAATTAACTACAGCTTCTTTTGAGTTCCTAATGGTAATAATTTCAGCTTATAAAATACCCTCTAATCTATAGAGTTTTATAAGAATTGAAGGGCAAATATGCCTGGAAGGCCGCCGAGAGGTTTCCAGAGGCTCTGGGGCAAAATGGAAAGGCATTGCCTCTGCGAGCGGAACGAGCAGAAAATTTTTGCGACCACACCCTTATTATTTCTTGCAGTCATTTCTTATAGTCGTTGGCTTGCTTTTTATGGCAAGTTATTTGCAATACACTCTTTTTTGTACGAACCAATAATTTTGAGTTCAGGCTGACTGTTTTTTCGAAAATCTGAGGGTGGATTGTTCTTAATTTGTTCTTAAATTAATAAATAGTGTGATCGCTAGCTTTTTACCTCTAGGAAGGTGTTCAGGTCTCGTTTGCCAGCAAAGTGACTGGGACACCCTTCATTTGCCGACAAGTTTGAATAATCACTTAAAAAGCACCCACACATGGCTAAAGTCCCCGTTTTTTAGATAAAACGTTGTTCAAGATTCCATTTTACAGTAGCTCAGCCTCAGCTTGTTCTTAACTTTTGACCAATTTTGAGGCTCGTGTTCTTATAAAATTGTTCTTATAACAAAAGTGTGTATTACAAAAAAGAAAGTTGACAATGACCAACCATGACCAAATAAAATGAATGAATTGCAGGTTGAAATTTGGCCAAACTTCATACTTAATGCTAACGTTCCCGCTGCATGACCAACTTTCTTGAAGTGTGACGCCCCCTAATCGGCACATCCCTGGCCGGGATCTTAGGTATGAAATAATAACTTGAGGAGCAATTTACTCTTGCAAATAGCGTACGAGATTTTCCCTAAAACAAAAGGATTTTTAGGGATTTTCACAAAAGGTGTACGAGATTTTCTTAGAGTGATTTGCCCCTCGTAATAACTAATAACAATATCTAGTTTATTAAAACCTGCAAAATTTTTTTTGTCTACTAAGCGTAATAAAAAGCTATAACTAAGATGGCAAGGATTTGTAATGTTTAGAGAAAAAAATCGGGGCACATGTAGAAAATATCTTAAAAAACAGCATCAAGTGGAAAAAAGGTAATTGTTTCTTGGCATTAAAAAATTGGCTGAGCTCACTGAATTCTCAATATTAATCTCTTTTACTTCCTCGGAAGTTTCATTTTATACAAAAAATTTCAACAACACTAGAAATGAGTTGAATTGCCCCTGGATAATGAAAATAACAAAATGTTTTCTTTTTCTAGGTGCAAAGCATCAAGTGAGCGTTTGGTAGAAACCAAAGCTAAAATTATAAAAATGGATATATTCAAAACACTTTCTGATTCCAAATAGGTTAAACTCAAGACGCTTTTTGACATACTAACTACGGAAACTGTGTTCGTTCTTTAAAACAATAGGTCACTGTCCTTCTCTTTTTATAAACAAAGGTTATACCCCCTAGCGGCATTGCCTTAGGCAAAATCTACCCTTCTCAGAAACCCGAGCTTGACTAGATATAGATTGCTGTTTGCAAAGACATGCAAGAAATGTGTAACTTTACAGGATAAAAGATTCATTTTCAAAGAAGTGCCAATTTCGACATGCGCAAGTGGGGTGCGTACGTCCCATTTGCTGACAAGGTGGGTGAGCCATCGCTTATTTGCCAATAAGATTGAAAAATTGCCCACGAAGCACCCCTAGATGGCAATAGCCGCTTTTGCAACGTGATTTTCTTCCAACAGAGATGTCACACCAACCACACCCTCTGACACTCCACTGTATCGACGGCCCTGCAAATCGCATTGAAGTTTGGTGACGTCATTCGCTGTTTTTCATAGTAAACGAAAATCACTGGAATAAGCCTTCATAAACGTACGCAAGAGAGTTTGGCATTGTGATAAACTAGTGGAAAGGAAGTTCTAAAATAGGACAAAATCAAGTTAAGTATAAATCCCCGGTTTCCAAATGCGAATTCAAGAAGTGCCGTTAAGTTTATTAGCGTTGCGAGTGTTTCAGTGGATCTATAATCCATCCATCTCTTCAGAAATATGTGAATAGAACTACAAACTTCTTAATTCATCTAATTCTCTGTCAATATAAAATACAGTTGGAAATTAAATTCATTTCATACAGCAATAGAAATATACAAGAAAATAATTGATTATTCAGACTTAAAGAGCTATATGTTTCATATATTAGTTACAGGCTTAAATGTTTGAAAACATATCAAGGATTTCATCGACTTCGACGGGCATCTTAATATTTGAGCCGGGGTAGCATTTGTTGATCAGATCTTGATAACGCTCGTATTGCTGCACGAATTCAAGCTGCAGACTTCGCCATATGACCTTCGAGAAGCAATTTGTGTATCACATAATACAACAATATCAAATGCGAAGGAAATTCTAAATCATAAATTTGGCCAATTGATAAAGAGGTATACTGAACAAGTGAAGAAATTATTTTCCGAAGTGTCGAGCTGAATAAATTTCAGCTAGTGAGTTTATTGCATAATTGACGTACGTCATATCCGGGAACTTCAAAACAAAATGAATAGATACCTAAAGATTCACATATGCATCTTATTAACTCTTTTTTAATTACTTTCATAGCAAATTTTCAGATATAGATGGAAGAAAATCAAGCACAGCTTCGAGGTTGTGATGCTTACCTGAACAAAATTGTCAGTCGAAAAGTATTTCTCTAATTTCTTGTATAAATTTTCCAGTCCCTTTTTGATCTGAGCAAAATGAGTACAGTCAATTAATCAAAATTGAACAGAATTTTTTTAGCAAAATTAAATCAATTATATTTTTGCAGGCACGTTTTTGCAATGCAGTTGACGTGAATGACAACAAAGTGCGGACGACACAAACGATGGTGATGATGATGATGATGATGATGATGATGATGATGATGATGATGATGATGATGATGATGATGATGATGATGATGATAACTGCTCTTAGCGTTGATCAGGCTGAGAATGATAATAATGACCATTTCCCAAAATTCACGTTCCTTGGTTCCTTTTTCACCCTTGGGATTCCTTGGTTCCTATAAGTTTCAGGCAGAAACTCTGTCAGTTTGTTGGGGGAGAGTAAGAGTACGATGGCAGTGAGAGCAAGAGGAGCGAAAGCGAAGTGTTGGACATTTGTCTACAAGTGTTTTCCAGATGATGTTATGGAGCGCTTGGAACAGCGAAGCGAAGACTTCGAGTATCTTATAGCGTCGAAGGTGAACAACGAAGGAGAAGCACAATCCCTCCGTGGATATATCATTTTCAAATGTCAAAAAAGAGTGAACAGCGTTGAAACAATACTCAATATTGAGGGGAGACCAGAGCGACTGGAAATAGAAATAGCTAGAGGCTCGTCGAGGAAGCACAAGGCTCAGTGCAAGTGTGGGCAAGGATTCTTTGAAATTGGAGAGAACAAATTCAAAGAAAGAGAGAAAAGTCAATTGGAAATGATGAGAGAAAGACGTATGCAAGAAGCCACCGAAGATGCCATGCTGGAAGAATTTGGGGACACCTGGATACATAGTCAGTCCTCAGTTGACAAAAGTATCAAGCGGCAGCAAAATGAGGAATCTAAGGAACGGATTTTGGACAAGTTTCAAAATGCACTTCTACGACCATGGCAAGAAGAGGTTTTGCGTCTGCTTCGCTGCCAGGGGCCACGTAGAATAACGTTCGTTGTTGACGAAACAGGAAATACCGGCAAGACCTTTCTTGCAAAGTACATTCTGGCAACAAAAAGTTCCTTGTATTTCACCTCTACAACATTGAAAGACACTGCTTATGCCTGGAACGGAGAGCGATACATCGTGTTTGAAGTCAGCAGGGAAAAATCGGCAAAGATAAACTATTCAACATTAGAGACTATTAAAAATGGCATTGTCTTTAGTAGCAAATATAAGTCGTCAACTAAAATTTTCCCTATTCCAATTATTATATGTATGATGAACACTAGACCCTACGGTAAAATGATGTCCAATGATAGGTATCACATTGTCGTCTTAGATAAGTCCCCTGACCCCCTTGAACACCACATTTCATTTAAAATTGAAGACTTTAGGTATGCCCAGGAGCGTGTATCTGAATAAAAAACTTTGAAGTAAAATTGTGAATTTTTGTCGTTCTCTCCTTTAAAAGAATCATAAACGCCAGTGGAATGCTTACACGCCAGTAGCTTCAATTCTTAAAGCAAATATTACAATGCAGAGACTAGCCCGAGGAAGATTTGTAACCAGATGATATATTCAACCTTTTAAATTGCTTCAGTGGATAGGTTTCAGACAAAGGTTCGTCTTCCAGCCTTGAAATGAAACGGTCTTATAACCTCATTGTCATTTCATTGATAGATACAAAACCTTTCTTTTGGCTGGGCTTGCATTCATAAGTTTGCAAGGATATCCAAGGCTTTTGGCCTCGTTCCCATGTTGATGGGCCGGTGTTCTCGATATCGTTGTAACAACTGTTAATATAGAATGTAGATATATCATTGGGCTGGGCTTCTATCCATAAGTTTGCAAGGAAATCCAAGGCTTCTGACCTCGTTCCCATGTTGATGGGCTGGTGGTCTCGATATCGTTGTAACAACTGTTAATATAGAATGTACATATATCATTGGGCTGGGCTTCTATCCATAAGTTTGCAAGGAAATCCAAGGCTTCTGACCTCGTTCCCATGTTGATGGGCTGGTGGTCTCGATATCGTTGTAACAACTGTTAATATAGAATGTACATATATCATTGGGCTGGGCTTCCATCCATAAGTTTGCAAGGAAATCCAAGGCTTCTGACCTCGTTCTCATGTTGATGGGCCGGTGTTCTCGATATCGTTGTAACAACTGTTAATATAGAATGTAGATATATCATTGGGCTGGGCTTCTATCCATAAGTTTGCAAGGAAATCCAAGGCTTCTGACCTCGTTCCCATGTTGATGGGCTGGTGGTCTCGATATCGTTGTAACAACTGTTAATATAGAATGTACATATATCATTGGGCTGGGCTTCCATCCATAAGTTTGCAAGGAAATCCAAGGCTTCTGACCTCGTTCCCATGTTGATGGGCTGGTGGTCTCGATATCGTTGTAACAACTGTTAATATAGAATGTAGATATATCATTGGGCTGGGCTTCTATCCATAAGTTTGCAAGGAAATCCAAGGCTTCTGACCTCGTTCCCATGTTGATGGGCTGGTGGTCTCGATATCGTTGTAACAACTGTTAATATAGAATGTACATATATCATTGGGCTGGGCTTCCATCCATAAGTTTGCAAGGAAATCCAAGGCTTCTGACCTCGTTCTCATGTTGATGGGCCGCTGTTCTCGATATCGTTGTAACAACTGTTAATATAGAATGTAGATATATCATTGGGCTGGGCTTCTATCCATAAGTTTGCAAGGAAATCCAAGGCTTCTGACCTCGTTCCCATGTTGATGGGCTGGTGGTCTCGATATCGTTGTAACAACTGTTAATATAGAATGTACATATATCATTGGGCTGGGCTTCCATCCATAAGTTTGCAAGGAAATCCAAGGCTTCTGACCTCGTTCCCATCTTGATGGGCTGGTGGTCTCGATGTCATTATCAAAGGCCACTACCTTGTCAAACTTTATAAGGAAAAGCCCAGCCCAACATTTTATAATGTATAGTATAGCACACCCATCCGAGATTAGAAGCCAACATCATTGCGAGGACGGAAGACCACTCATTGCCTTGTTAAACTTTATAGGAAAAAGCCCAGCCCAACACTTTATAATGTATAGTATGGCACACCCATTCGAGATTAGAAGCCAACATCATTACGAGGACGGAAGACCACTCACTGCCTTGTTAAACTTTATAGGAAAAAGCCCAGCCCAACATTTTATAATGTATAGTATAGCACATCCATCCGAGATTAGAAGCCAACATCATTGCGAGGACGGAAGACCACTCATTGCCTTGTCAAACTTTATAGGAAAAAGCCCAGCCCAACATTTTATAATGTATAGTATGGCACACCCATTCGAGATTAGAAGCCAACATCATTGCGAGGACGGAAGACCACTCATTGCCTTGTTAAACTTTATAGGAAAAAGCCCAGCCCAACATTTTATAATGTATAGTATGGCACACCCATTCGAGATTAGAAGCCAACATCATTGCGAGGACGGAAGACCACTCACTGCCTTGTTAAACTTTATAGGAAAAAGCCCAGCCCAACATTTTATAATGTATAGTATAGCACATCCATCCGAGATTAGAAGCCAACATCATTGCGAGGACGGAAGACCACTCATTGCCTTGTTAAACTTTATAGGAAAAAGCCCAGCCCAACATTTTATAATGTATAGTATGGCACACCCATTCGAGATTAGAAGCCAACATCATTGCGAGGACGGAAGACCACTCATTGCCTTGTTAAACTTTATAGGAAAAAGCCCAGCCCAACATTTTATAATGTATAGTATGGCACACCCATTCGAGATTAGAAGCCAACATCATTGCGAGGACGGAAGACCACTCATTGCCTTGTCAAACTTTATAGGAAAAAGCCCAGCCCAACATTTTATAATGTATAGTATGGCACACCCATCCGAGATTAGAAGCCAACATCATTACGAGGACGGAAGACCACTCATTGAACTTTATAGGGAAAAGCCCAGCCCAACATTTTATAATGTATAGTATGGCACACCCATCCGAGATTACAAGCAAAGATCACTACGAGATTATAAGGCCAGAACGTCTACAAAACTGTAGGAATAAGAGCTAGTCAAAAATCAACTTATATCATTGTTAGGCGTCTGGCACATGCGTATATACGAATCGAACAGAAAAACAACTTTGTAGAAGAAATATTCAAACATTCTTCCCATCATGTATTATGATTCCTAAACGATTTCTACGACATAACTTTTCCACACAGCTTTTCATACATACAACGAAATTGATTGAGACGTTGAGTTACACACACAGCTTTTCATACATACAACGAAATTGATTACTTCTAACGTGTCTTAACAAAGAGTTACGTGCTCTTCCCTCTGCGAAGCACACGCTCGGGTCCGAAAGTATTTTGCCCCATTTGCCATAACCATGTTTGTTTATTCCCTTTATCAAATTCAAGTCCTCCTTCTCAGTGAATGGTGTTATACGCTTTCGAATTGACGTCATCTGGCAGTCGCTGTCTGTCTTTGCTACAGGTTTGGTATTGCTCTGTGTAATGAAAATGTCCGAGTCCGACTCAGAGTCTTCTGCACCCGTCGAAACATTGACGAGTTTTTTCAAAGAGCTGTCTAGTTGTTCTCCAGTTTCTCCCCTCAGCTTCTTAATGCAGTGATTCCCCTTTTCGGCAACGACTCTCGAACGCTTTTTGCGATAATGAATCCTTGCAACATTTGAAGTATGTTTTTGATCTTGCGAGATCAGCTCTTGTTCTTCAAGGGATAGAACATCAGCACTCTCTGTTTCGATTATTTGTCGGTAACGTGTTGGGTGCACATACTTGCCAATAGCTTCATAGACAAGCAAACACATAGCTTGACTCAGCTTCGTAAATTTGGTTCCATTGCGCGTAAGTAACAGATATTCGCATTTTGGAAGAAACCTCGGCCTAACGTGTCTCACATAGTCGTCCAAAACATGCATGCAGACGTCATCTATGACCATGGAATCAAAGCCATACTTGTCAGCTGTTTTGAATTTCTTCTGGTCGACGTATCCGCCATTTTTTGCTGCACTACGTAGCATGCCAATTGTAAGGAATTGGTATGTCATTGGCCGAGAACCCTTGACACGTAAGAAGAGAAATGTCGTTATAAATCTCGTTGAAAAAGTTAGATCAGACGCAGAAACTTCTGCTGAATGCTCTCGACATTTGGCCACTATTTTCTTGTATCGTCCCATGTGAAACGGTATGACCTTTTGTAAGTCTTTTAGTGATGCCCAATGTCCTTTTCTCTCCAAGGTATCAACATCCAATTCTACAGTCCACTGTACACGCATCTTACGAGCAATACATCTTCTGGCGCGCTTCAAAAATACCTCTGCAACACTAAAGTTTGATAAGATGGAAGCTGACACTCCTTTAAACTTCCTATACTCCATTGTTTCCAACAAAGCATTGATGTAACTAACGCTCCCAGCAAATCCAATAGATTTCTCATCCTCCAAATGTTGTAAAAAAGCTGACAAGCATGCCATTGAAGCCAAATAGTAGTCAATTTTAGGCCCCTCTATCCCTTCGAGCATAAGATCGTCCTGAGAGTACTGAATAAACTTGAGGATACGAGAGCAAATCTGATTTGCGTGTGCCTTCGTGCGAGCACCACCGGTAGAGCTGCACATCCATTTGGCAAACGTTTCACTGAAAATGACGTCATCTGGAATGATATTCGAACTACCATCCTTTGACTCGTTGGTCTTCTCGTCACATGTGTTTTGTGGCGCAGCTTTATCATCCATAATATCTTTTGGGTATTCGTCAAAATAGAAGAACCAAGGATGCGAATTTGTAACGTGCTTTCTGCAACCTCTTTGACTGCGGAAGCCTTCATGCTCGCAATCACCAATAGGGCACTGAAATATTCCGTGCACGTTAGCTATTAACATCAGCTTTTTCTTCAGCTTTGCAGCTCCTGGGACGTCTTTCCAACGTACTACCATCGAAGACATCTTCTAGTTTTGTGGCCAAGCTGAAAACTTGCAGCGCCTTATATAGGTTGAAACTTCTCAAGAGACATGTGAATTTCGTCTTGCTGTTTTCCGGAGAAACGTGACTAAACTCAAATGAGCAAAAGAAAATCGGCCCAAAAGTACTTAGCGCACGCAGAACGAAGGAACTTGAGAACGTATATTCAAATTTATGTTAGAATGTATAGGAAAAGCGAGCGACCAAAGGTCCGTAATTCCCATAACGGCACGTTAGCAGCATATCCTAAAATTGACGAGACGTTCCTAACACAAAGGAACAAAGGAACAGTTCCCATGGTCCAAAAGACCTATCTTAGTACCTTTGTTCTTTTATGGGGATCTATGGAACATTAACCAAATGCCAGCAATTTTCACATATGAATTTTTAAGATGCTTAAGGGCACTCTTTTCGGGAAAAAAACATCAGATGGTTGCATGAGTATGAGAGACATCTGAAAATAGCATAATGGGACTTGATAGAATTCACTCTTTTGAATAAACTAAAATATAAAACTTCAATGAAGTATCTCCAAATTTGGCAAATACTGATGATGATGCTGGTGATAGTTATGGCGATGCTGATGTGATATTTTTGAAGTATTTTATGTGGTATTTACTGAAGGGGGCATTTGTTTATAGAAGGGCGTTTATAATAGAAAATATGATAGATTTATCTTTAAACAAAACTACAGAAAAATACTTTACCTCCTTGGCAGGATATTCTTTAAGTATGTTTTTTAGCTCTTGTCTGTTGTAGGCAATTTGATAACCAACATCTTCCATTCTGACTCCAGAAGCAATGCAATTTTCAACACCCTCGAAAAAGTTCTGAAATAAGGAAAACAGGCCATGAATAAACACATTGCTCTAGTGCAATATCTGTACTTTGTTTCTGCTTGTTTTTACATTGTAACTAATGAAATAATTAACTAAGGCAGAAAATAACAAAGAATCGAACAAAGAATCAGTCGTATTTTTTGCACCAAGAATCTCCGAAAACTATAAAAATTTTGATTAACAACAAGCAGTTATTTACAATCTACAAAAGCTTTAATTCTATTTAATAATAAAAATCCTTTTAACAATAAAAAAACTACAGTACTTTTAAAGAATTATTACCTAAAATGCATTAGTGTGTTGGAGAAAAATTTCACTGATCAAGATATCCAAAAATATGGCTCCAAACATTAAGTGTTAAATACTTACACTAGACTGCGTATCACAATCAAGATTACAAAATTATGTAACGCAAGCTCGTTTTGATAAAACAAGCAATGTCAGATATTCTGAACATCGTTTTTTTCAAAAATGTAGCCCATCATGACAGAAACTCGAGACAAAAAGCCCATTGTTCACAAAAAGGCAAAATGAAGACCTTAGATGTTTAATGTCTTAATGCAGACCATAAATCAAATCACAAATCAAATCTAAAACTACTCTAACTGACATTATAAGCTAAATAACCATTGCAATTGCAAATTGAATGACGTGGTCTCAAAGTGCCCCCCCCCCCCCAATGCCCCCTCTGATAATTATAGCATGAAATTACATCCACTCACGCTGATCTTTTCAACGGGTAAACCAACTCGTTTGCTGACGTACTGCGCCATCGCATCGGTACTTCGTTGCTTCGCCTCTTTCTTTTCTTTCTCTAATGCTTGGTTTCTCAAACCAGATATAATTGCTAAAAATAATGTAATATGAGTTACTTGGCTGCTTAAATTTCTTAACAAAAGTAACGATATATTTGTTCTTGTTGATAAACTATTTGCCAATGGCTTTGGAAAGAATAAAAAACAGTGAAGAAGGTTGAACGCAAAAACCAAAGAATGGAAAGGGAAACAAAATATCGAGGAAGAAAAGAATTTATTAACAATGTTGCTTTTTCAAACTCACCGTGTAATCTATGGTAATTTTCTGTAAAGGAAAATAATCAAATTTTAGCAAAGACTTATTATGAAAAATTGATTGGAATGAGATGTATTTTCGTATCTAATGATCCAAAAATCGTATCTAATGAAATTTCGATCAGCATGAGAAATGTCAAACTTAATCACTTTTTAAATTATGTTACTCTGATTGCATTTATAATTCGATGATAATGATTTAACTGAGATTTAATTTACATGAAATAAGAAAGACACCAATTCTCTTACTTTTGCTAAGTTTTAAAGAGTTATGATACCGCTTTTAGCCAATCTATAAGAGATGCAGACATCAAAACTCGAAATGTAACATGATACGCTGTTACATTTGCTCACTTCATGTACCAGCTAGACTTTACGTGTTATTTATTTCTTGTCTTATTGCCTGTAGACGACCATGGCCAACCTTCTCTTACCCCAAGGGCCAAAACTTAATAAATAAACGATATTTCTTACCAAACATTATTATTTCTGGCGGAATCTTTTCGTGCTCAAACGAAATTCTTTCAATGTTATCGAACATCACTTGTATCAGTTTACTGTAGGCCTTATCGATATCGCCCCGCCGATCAGATCCTTTGAAAATGACCTCCGCGATGTTGCTAAATTCCTTCAAACATAAATAAACATTGGCATTTAAGAAGATCGCAGGTGGAACAAGTTTATAAAACGTGGAGCTGTTCTCTAAAATATTTATTTAAGAAGACAAACGAGGCATCAAAGGACAAGAATCATTTTAAGCTCCAAGGACTGGAATAATATGGAACCTGCAAATTGTGAATGTTGACCTGAAAGCTTTAAAGTAAACATTAAGGCAAAAAAACAACCAAACATGCCATCGAATAAGAGAGAGGAAGAGAGAGAGAGAGAGAGAGAGAGAGAGAGAGAGAGAGAGAGAGAGAGAGAGAGAGAGAGAGAGAGAGAGAGAGAAAGGGAGAGAGATAGGGAGAGAGAAAGGGAGAGAGATAGGGAGAGAGAAAGGGAGAGAGAAAGGGAGAGTTCTTGGTGCTACTTTGAATTTCATGCTAAGTGTGACAATCAGGTCAATAGGGAAAAATTATAGCAGTTGCCGTGAGACAAGAAGTCTTTTTACAGTTCGGCAGCTGAATATACGATAGTTTAAATTATTCAGTGCAAATAAAACTGACATGATTAATTTGGTGCAAGACCAGAAAGACATTTTTAGAATGAAAATATCAATGTGTTGGGCGTTTACCTCGAACTTTGTAACAAAAGTGAACGTTCCGCATTTATGTTTCTTGTGAATTTTTGTATCTTCCACATTTCTACAAAGTCCCGTCTGAAAAGGACACAAAACAATCCTGGTATAGAACGTTTGCAGCAAAGGTTTTACAAAACAAGTAAAGCCGTTAAAAGCTATTAAAGCATATATAAAACGTCATAAAAATTGCTTTCCCTTTCTTTCGATTTTTAGTGACTGCGTTTGAAATTAAGGCTGCTACTTCAAAGTAGACTACACATATTAAAGCAAATACTAGGCCAACTTCGATGGATGAGTTGGTTCAAAATGCAACAAGCATTGTTACAAACTCCGAATCTTTCGAAATTTGTACACAAGAGGAAAATATATCTTAAACCTTAAATAATAGAAATCTTGGCTTGATCATCTCTGCAAATCAAATGTCAGCTAGAAGACATGAAAATCTTACAACGTATTTGTCGAAAAGCCTTTTGGTCGATATAAGCCAACTTGCAAACATAGTGCCAAGAAAAGAGGGTGGCCCCCCTGTCGACTGGCTTGTCATCAAATGAGCTGCCTGGTTGTTGATACGTACAATCATGTACATCGTGTTACTGAGGAAGGGAATTGAAAACACGTGGTAATCGGTTGATAATACGAAATATAAACCTTTTGAAGTTAACATTTTAAATGGAATATAAAGATATAAATATCATATAGCATCGATATAAAGAATGGAGCTAACAAGAGTTCAGCTACGGAAAAGATTTATATACAATAAAATCTTATAGCAAACATGTAACTTCCTAGTAATTTCCTAACTATCATTAATTAGCAATCATTTAACACATATAGGTCTAAAAAAGGTTTGCTGTTACTATAGATCTTATGAGTTTTGTAATAACATTTTCTACTGGTTTTAGACGGTTTTATAGCGTATGTAAATTATTTGATGGAGTTAGTTTTCTGTATATATCATGTGAGTTGACAACATAAAAATCATAAAATAATAATGATGAAAATTAAAAAAAATATAGAGATAAAAATCGCATAATTAAATCACCAAATTGGAATATTTTACGATTTTAAATAAATGCTTACTGAGGATCAAGTTTCTCTCCATGTTGAATGAAATTAAGGACTTCTGCGTCCAGATAACCGAAAATATTAGTCATCGTTTCCCTTCAAAGGAAAAAAATTTGTGAAATCTGTCAACCGGAATAAAATAAAAAACAAAAATTCCTGATACCATATTGATGCAAATTTAGCAACAGTTTTGCTGAGATAAAACATAATAAAATATTTGGCCAGCTGGAATAAGAAATACTTCAATAAATATTTTACCAACTGGAAACAAATAATTTTTGGCCAGTATTCTACAACTCGTTACGGGTATTTAGTCCATTGTTATATCAAAAAAACTTCCTTAAATCTGTTCCTTTAAAAGAAAAGAGACTATTGCTGCATAAATCGAAGGACGAGTAGCTTGTTTGGGGCAATTGTGTCGAAAAAGATAGGTTAACATATCTTATAATAAAAACAGAATTGACTTATTTAACAGACATAAGTCAGCATTGTTACTTTGTTGTAATTCACTTCACTCTTATAGCTGAACGGCATTGCGTAAATAAGACAAATTGGAATGAAATGAAAGCAGAACACGAGTTCTGCGGAACGTACTTCACTTCGTCCGCAATTTTCCTGAAAATGATAAAAACAAGTCTTAGAAAGCATTTGATACAAGATCTTCTTTCCTAATAAAGCAGGTTTTTGTAAAAAGCAAGCTAGCACCTTAACTCCTTTTGCAAGAATAACTATATGCAATACTGCTTAGTGCGCCAACCCACGTTCATCCTTTTGCTCTACTAACGACACAAGAAACGCTTCAATAACCATTCAAGTTTTGAGTTTAAACAGAAAAAAATCTGTACGGTACTCACGAAGGTCGACTTCTACTCATTGTGCCACCATCTTTGACGTCAAGGGCAGAACTTGAAGACTAAAAGCAAAAATAGGACCTGAAATGTTCGACATCACCACAAGAAATTTACAATGTCATCGGGTGAAGCAAAATGAAAAACTGATAGCGAATTGATATAGGAGAATTTTTCGAAACCTAGCCTTTCTTATATTCGCCAAAAGACAAAATTTGACATTTTCTATCAACTGTCCCCGAACAAGTCTAGCTAAATTGTCGATGGAGATACATTTCATGTTTTTTTATTTCCTCCCTATTCTTCATAACCCTTTTACAGGGTAGCTGCTTATCCAAAAGGCAACCTTTCCTACCCTTCCCATTCGAAAATCTCACAAAGAAGACAAAAAGAACCCTAGATAGACCATCCACTTGTGTTCTGAATCTTACGATGTAAATAATGAGAAAAGATAAGTACAAAGAACCAAAAAAAACGAACAAAGAACTAAGTAAGGATGAATGACTCATACAATGAAAAACTCTAACTACTATGACAGATCATAGACTATTGACAAACCCACATACGTATTAGTGTCCTCCCTCAAACTGCGGCCTCGATTTCATGCCACTTTGAGCAGGAGGCCAGCAGGCGTACAACTGAGCAAAACTACTACCGTCAACAAGGTAACTCAAATAACAGTCAAGTCACGCCTAGGCCAGTCGACTAGGGAAAAGTATAGTGGATTACAGACTAAGATCGATTATTTCTGCGCATTTGCAACAAAAGCCTTTGAAAGTTAAAATAAATGACTTATTAGATACTAAATAACATCAGTTCACAAAAATTTTTACCTCTGAATCTTGAACAGAAAATCTTAAATGGAAAAATTTCACACAGAACTCTTGCTCTACCATTATGTACGGCTCAAGTTCGGAGAGTATTGAATCGAATGCCTAGAAAAAAGAGAAAAAGATGTTAATATATACATACAATTTCAAAATGGTAATAATACATTGTGGAGTGTAACTACGAAAAGTTGGAATTTTCTGTTACAGAATTAAGTTATGGTTGAAATCTTACAAAGGGGGTCGTTTTGAATGCATATAGAGCTGCCGGCAATATTTGAGGTGAAAATTGATTGAACTTAACTGACACAAACAATGGCAGTTCGCTGTGATTTGATATTTGAATAATTACTCCAAGAAATAAGTTGTGTGATGTCATCAAAGACGGAAAGGTATAATTGCCATTATCATTACAAATACTTATATAAGCATATCACGTTAGAAATATTTTCAAATATTCTGTTATCAATAAAGAAAATATTGATGTGCGCTATTTGGTGTGTACAAAGAACAGGACGGTTCTAAAGCGGTCCTTTACATTAAGGCTTGATGAGTTGCGTATTGTGTATTATATTACTTATATAGCTTTGCTCCTGCGTAGTGGGGCCTCTAGAGTATTCTGGTGCTAGATTAGGCAGTTTCAATAACGTTCCATTAGGTCTAGCCTTTTCGTATGTTCATTCATTTCATGATTAGCTAATAATTAAAATTTTGCTAATAGTTAATGGTTGGCTGGTGATTCTGCAAATCTTAAACAGGTTGTTTTGCATTACCTCAGCAAACTTGTTGTGCCCACCACTAAAGAAACTGCTTTCCGAACCAAGAGATCCCATTGAGTTGATAGACTCCTTTGATGGTGAACGGACTAGACCCCCAAGCTGCTTGCTTTTCCCTTTCGAAATAAGACCCTCTTGACTTTGGGCAGCGTACAAACCACCACGCAAACCTGCAACAACAACCACAATCACAAAATAATTGTAACATTGTAAAAAAGGAATTTTTCAATATGCATACAGGTAACACGATCTTTTATGAAATACATAGATTTTTATAGCTTGCTTAAAATCTTCTCATAATTACATGATTACAGCGTACACGCCACGTCTGTCTAACCAGGTTTAAGAACAAAATTTGATCAAGTGCATGCAAAAACCAGCCTGTACAGTTAGCAAACCTTCAAAGTAAGGTGTAGTTATCCATCGTAAGAAAGTTTTAAGATGAGTAAATAATGCATTGAAGAAAAACCTTTTCCTTTGGACGCCTTGACCTTCGCAGCTTCAATGAATTCACGTATTTCTCGTTCATACATCCTTCCAAACGATTCTTCGTAATGCTTAAAAGGAAAACAAATCGGTTGACCAGCTTTCTAAACAATAACTGGCAGAATTAAAATAAAAATTAACAGATTTATTGTCCCAAATTTAATATTACTATAACCTCACTCAGGCTATACAAGGATTTGTGTCTCCGAAAGTGAACCAAAAACAAAACAACGAGGAAACGAAATGAGTAACTCGGCACGAAACAACAACTGGGCACGCTAAGTTAGGCCAAAATTTTGCGCAGCAACTTCTTTCTATCCGTGCAAAAGACTAGAATACATTTGTTGGAATTTTGTTAGAATTTCTCGTCTATATTAAACTCCGAAGTTGGCAAAAAGTTCTTGTTTTTTCTAAGCTAACGACAAGGTCCTCTACTCTTTAAAAATTGTTTTACCTTTTTCATTTGATTGAACTTATCACGATCGAGTTCTTTCAACCACCCCATCAGCTCCTCGTACCTTGCAAAGTCATCATGCACAGAGTCGTGAGGCGACAGAGTCAATTCAGCACCAACGGTTCTCGACGACAAACGGTCTGACATGCTCTAAAATCAAACATGCATTAAATCAATGCCAGGTCAAGGCCACAACGCCCAAGCTAATACCAGGCAGGCAAAATATCGGCAGAAAATTGTCTCCATTTAAAGGACCCATTATCTATTACTCCAGGCACTGAGGTAGGATAAAAAAACATTGAATTAAAAGCTTCGAATCAAAAAAAGGAAAAACTTCAAAAAACTTCTAGAGTTAATTTGGTATCGCCTAGGCAGATATGACTTTTGAATAATACTGAGGTAGCTGCATTTTTTTCTCAAAAACAACAAAATCAAGACGGCAATTAAGAGAAAAGAAAATAGGCAAGCGGCACTGATTGGTCAACCTTTACAGTCATGGGCTCGTGTTTCTGATTGGCCTATTTCGATCCACAACTAGGTATATATATTTCTTAGAGTAGAGTTTTCGATCTATGTTCTGACGTTTTAAACTCTGAAGAGTGTCAGACGAAAAGCTTTAGTTTACTAAATGTTTGCTTTTTTCAAAGCCACTTAGAAAAGAAAATGAAAAAGAAAAAAGAAATGAAAATAAAGAAACGACGAGACAGTGTTTGACGTCACCTTCACTGCCTGCTACTCGTCCCAATGCCAAAACCGAGAGAAAATTTCGAATACCCTTAGTCGAACATAACACAGAATGTGTGCTTCGAGACAGTATTTTGCACCAAATTTGACACTTATATGGGGAAAATTACCAAGGAGGTCTTTTGAGGAATGTCTGAGACATATCTCGAATTATGAGGTAGGTAGGTTAAAATGTTTTCTGGAAAGTGTTGCAATCAGTAAATAAAAACACTTCTCGATAAAAATTCAACAAAAGAGTCTTACATATTGTGAAATATACTTGTCAAGGTGCTGATAAAACCGCGCAGCAAATTCAGTCTTAAGCTGATTAATGTACGCCAATTGCTCCCTCACAGACTTCAATTCCGTTATACCTTAAAAAGAATTAAACGCTACATAAAATAAAACAAACAAAAAGCTCTTAACTGAAGATCGAGAAAAAATATTTACATCCTCATTCCACTTCAAACCTCAACCTTTGCAATCCTAAGACTTGAACTTTAATTTTCAACCTTACATCACGAATAGTTTAACAACTATTGAAGAAAACTTTCCAGTCTTACAAGCCTGCGATGATCAACAAAAAGTTTAAATCTGTATAGCCAATGCAAAAATATAACAATAGTTACGTGTTTGCTCAGTTACGTGCCAAAGGTGAATGATGCTCCACAGCTTTTAAGTTCTTCTAGAGGATCATTGGCTTCGACTGTGCAACATCTATGTCATATGGTGCTTTAAAGTTCTACACCAAGAAATTGATTTAGCTATGCTACGTTCCAGTGGCAAAGTATTTGCAAAGATAAGTCATAAAAACTTTACCTGGATTGAAGTTAGTTTGTGATGCTTCAAGCAATATTTTTGCAGCTGAAACGATATCTGATATTCCGGCTGGATTATACAGATCACCCTCTCTTAATGACATAACATGACGCTTCGAAATGTCAAGTTTACCCTGAAATCAAATGAGCACAAATTTACAATCGAATCTATATGACCCTGATTAAAAACTCATCTACAGAATTAGAGCATTAAAAGAATAAAGGAATCATAAAAAGGTATTGATATTTTAATACACCAAAGATGCTAAAATTCAATCTTCGATATCATAAAATAATTGGTGTATAGAAAATCCAGCTTATCGTACTTCTGAATCTAACTCCAAACCATGTTCAAGATCACAGAAAAGTGTTCAAAAGATTAAGCTCAGATACTGAATTGAAAAAATAATTAAATACAAAAAATATTAAAGGCAAATGTACATACCACAATATAACGAACTTCTCCCAGTATTTTCCTGTTATTTATTCTTTCGACTTCCATCCTGTTGTCTCTAAATTCCATCTGTCCCATTTGCTCACTCACGCGCTGAAAACAAAATGGCAGAAACTGTCAAACTTGTGTTGTCATACCATGGAACAAGCATTTGTTTTTACGTTTATCCTTCACTCGATCTCAGGTATGAAACCTGATCCATGCTGTTTCTATTTGGCTATCGAAATAAATGTTTAATAGATACAGTTAATTTTGTTCACATATACTGATTACTGTTTTTGTGAAGCTCTACGATCACTCCTCGCCGCGCGTTGTTCGAATTAACAGATATAATTTTATATTAAATGGAAACGTGACTGTGTTTTACGACGTTACATTTCTATGGTGTGAAATCGGTTTCTAGGCAAGAGTCAAGCAGTATTTACTCACAAGCAGCATTTCGTCGTATCTTGACAGCCTTTCGTCCAGCAAGTCCAGCTCATCTAGACCACGGTCTATCAGTGAAGCAAGACTCTGGGCTTGTTTCTCTGAACCCATAAGTGCAGTGATATTCAGCTTTGAAAAAAAATCATTTATCAGTTACAATACAAGTAAACTACAGAAAGCCATTACAAAATACAAAATCTTGCACAGCCAACTAACGGAATCGAAATACACCTATACTGAGCTATTAAATATACAGGGGTAATTACAATTAATGCATACATATTCCAACTGTTGCAGTTCCTTTGACAACTGACCAGTGAATTCTTCCAGATTTCCCAAGGCATGCTCGAAATGTGACAGCATTTTCTCAAGATCATTTTCCTCTCTTGGTGTTAGCTCTTGATAGTCATCGCCTACAATAAGAGCGTTACACTTTTATTTCCTATACTTTCCACGTTTTGCGGGTCAAAAACGAATCAAAAGAGGCCTTGATTTAAACGAAGTAAATGAACTACTGTAACATTTTGAATATAAGCCCAGGGCTTATAACGGTTCCAAGGCCATTTTAGGTGGCTGATATTGGGGGGGGGGGGCTATATTCGGAAGGTCTATAATTCAGATCTTGTCAGGAGAAAATGCGAAATGAGTTCGATCAAGACTAAATGAAAAGACAGGTTATGTTTCCCAAACACTTTCAATCAATCTGTCGCAGTTGTGGAATGATGGGTGTATTTAAAAAAATCACAGGAAAAGTTGCTGGTAAAGCCAGAAAGGCCCCCAGAAGGCACATCAACTCAAGGAGAAGGTATTCAGTTACCCTTAGAAATGCACTAAAGAAAAATTGAGGAATAGAATTTGTTGCTTTCGTCCTTTATATCGGTAATGGAGTGTGAAGGGAGAAAATTGTACTTGTATGTTTAACTCCAAAAGTAAGACCTCAGGCCAATATTCGAGAGAGCTTATACTTGAGAACAAGTTTATGTCCCAGGAATGAGGAGATTTACATTTTTGGGGACAACATTTGGGGGGGGGCTATATGCTGAATATTAAAGTACTCACTCTTATTCTTTATGTGCATAACTTGTCAGGACCCAGCTATACAATAAGCTGAAAAACTTGACCAATTGATGCATAATATTGGAATTTCCTTAAATTCACTATAAACTGACAAGTTTCAACAAACTTATGCAAGATTACAGGAGGAAAGAGAAAACAGATGAACGATACCTTGTCCTTCTGACAATGAATCTGTGGCATGATGGGACTTCTGTGAACGATTTGTGCCACTTCTTGCTCTGCCTGCAACATCTACAAGAAAATGTTCCATCTGACTCTAAAGTTTAAAAAACAGGTTTAAAATCAGGGAATACAGAATTGGAATAACGAAGAAATTTTATGTTATCAATTAATGGTTTTACCAAACTCTGTAAAAATGACAAAGTTGATCAAACATGTGAAAACATTAAGCTTGGAAACATATCAATATACTTCACCTCCTTCAAATAATTTTGGGCTCACATTGACAAATGCAGGTTTTTTCCCAGCAAGATATCTCTCTGATAACTATAAAGATATAATGGAATTTTTATTCATATTCTCCCATTCTCTTGCAAAAATGTTGAAACAAAATAAAAGCATATATGTCAATACTATATCCAACAACAAAATTTAAAGAGATCTTTGATAAAAACATTGTTAGGTTACATACTGAAAACAGGGTTTCAATGAAGTCTTCTTTGTCTGCAACTCTACTTGCAGTCCACTTGTAGCATTTTTCAAAGTGAAGATCAAATTCTGGAATTTCCTGGAGGCCAAAGAGAAACATTCCTAAAAATTTACATTTACAAGACTCAAGTGTGACTTTGAATTTCTGAAGACCTTTGTAGTAGAAGGATGAATAGTTACAGATATTTACAAAATATCACCATTAGTAGGCCTGGTCGTCTGTACTGCAGGTGAGCTGTGATAGAGGTATCACTCACCCCAAACTCCCAGGCCTGCATTAGTTAGCAACAGAGAACATTATACCATTAAAAATTTCCCATATTTTATCTCCTACTCCTTTTGTTATAAAAAACTGCAGGTTACAAAATGCCAAAATGTGTCTGACGATAAAAAAACAAAAAATTTCTAATAGGGTTTTATCATATCATATATACATAATAGGGTTTTAATTTCTAATAATCATATATACAATGGATTATGAAAATGAATTGAGTAGAACAAAAGCAAGCCATTCTCAACCTCTCTGCCTGTAAAGTTTAAGAGTGGTTGGACGTAAGAAAGACATTATTTTAAAAATTTATTTAACATCAAACATAAAACAAAACTAAAGTTTGAAGATTTGAGCATCTTACTTCAAGTTCCTGCTTGCCATCTACAACCTTGAGGTCTGACAATGGCCAAGTTTGTTTCTTCTTGAAAACTTCTTTATCTGATTTTTGGACTTTGTAAATATTGACTTGAAATGGCTTCTCCTTGGTTACTAAAACCAAAACAACAAACTTGATTGCCTAGATAATCATAATCACTTATAATTAGTCATGATAATAAAAATTACTTATAACCACAGAAAACGTTTATATTCAGAAAAGTCACAAATCTTGAAATTGGAAAGGAATTCTGCCATCAGTCAACATCTTTTAGATAACCCAGATTGTGCAAAACTCTATAATTATGACATGTTTCGGATAATTGGCAGAGTCCGGTCGTCTTTCCACCTAGCAGTTTTGCAATCGATCTACATACAAATGAAAGAGCCACCATTGTGTAGACAGGAGTTCATTTTCTCTCTTGGCCTCCAGTGGTAATTTTTCTTTAGGCTCGCGACAATGATTGGTCAACTATACCGGTCTTGTGCTTGTGTTTTTCTGATTGGCCTATTTCGATCCACAACTAGGTATATTTTTTTTATATTGTGTTCTTTCGGACCCTTATTCTGACGTTTTATGCTCTGACAGATGAAAAAGCTTTTAGCAAATATGTTATAAAATGTTTGCTTTTTTCAAAGCCATTTAATAAAGATAGCTCTCTGGACAGAAAATTTTTAATGAATACACAGTGGTGCGTTTTAAGGTATATAATCCGATTTTTCAGATATTGTTTATCATTACATAGATAAAAAACTCTTGAAATGTGAAATTTGCGGAGTTCATACAGTGATGTTTGTTTTTCCGTATTGTTTTACTCGTCATTACATCCTAATAACAACATTTATTTGGTGCCAGCCGCCACTGTATATACGGCAAATTAATATTCATCAAAATGAAAAACCAAAACATCTTTCAAGTATTATTGTGTTAAGCAGCCTGCCGTATGCTACTGGATATTATCAACTTCGCCGAGATATCATGTGGCAATAATGAACTTGGTTTGATTCCATTTCCAGGCAGGTTTCATTTCATCATACAAAAAGAAAGGCACTGGCATAGTTCGGGTGCCTTACCTGTAGCGCAAAGAAAGCTTGTTTTCTTCTTCTTACCACCACCTATTTTGGCAACATTGACCACCGAATAAAGAGCTTCATCATTTGGTCTGAAAAGCTCTTGCTGCAGTGAGTGCCTTATAGCCGCCATTTATGTACCCTGGGAGTAGAAACTCCTTCCTTCTTCAAGTGTAGTTGTAGCTGTGCTTGATAACAAAGGGATACAAAGGACTGAGATATTTCGTAGAAATATTAAAATGGCGGAAGACGAAAATTCAATCAAGGCTCTTTCGCCAAAGGTAGTGAAATCTCAGAGCCCTTCCAAAAGCGGTAGAGTTTCTTTAGACCCAGCAATGAAGAAAAGGACACAGGATTTGATTATAGACTTACACGGGATTATTCAAAAATGGGAATTACTAAATCAAAAGAGCTTCCAAACTTTAAATTCGTTGGTCACTTCGCGAACACAGCTTGAATCATCAAAGGAAGCCTACGAAGCAGATGCTTCCATTGTATCAAAAGAATGCTGGGTAAAGTATAAAGTTAAAATGATAAAGCTTCGTGAATCACTTATTCAAGATCATAAAGATAATGTCATGGCCATGGAAGAGCTGTACAAGAAAATTGATAGAATTGTGGTAAACCTGGAAGCTATAAATTTAATGGCATCAGAGCAAGAAAATCCAACAATTCTGTTCTCTACTTGGTCAGTGAAAGATTTCTATAGAGGTGCAAGAGCCATTTCTAACTGCTACACGAAAGAATGGCTTTTTAAGCAGGAAATTTCAAAATATTTTCTAGGTAAAGACAGTAAGGAAGAAGCTTCAAAGGATGCCTGTTTCCTTTCAATGTGGCTTCAGCAGCCATATTTAGATGATATTAATGAATATCAGCTTGAGTTAATGCTGAACGAATGCTGCATGAAATCTCTGTGATGAAATTCTCATTTAATCATTTCGTTTTTGATTTCTGCAACCCTTCCTTATTTTTCCTTCATCAACAAAATTAGCAAAGCATAATCAAAGAATACCAAGCTCTAAGGTTTGGTCTTTGTGTTCCCCTCACAATAATTTTTATGCTTAATTCTGCCCATGCATTATCAAGAATCTGCCATAGAGTCCATGCATAATATTTTGCTCATATTCCCTGCAAATATTCCACCAATTAATCTTTCTGAATTCTGATAACAAGCAAAAACAAAGAATACAAGATCTTTTTGAAAGCATTTGCTATAACTTCCAGACAATTTCCCTGCTCGTGCTTCCTGCTCAGAACAATACATTACAGTCTAAAAAGTTTATGAAATTCTCAGTGACTGATTTATAGTACTGAATAATTTGAGTAGAATAACAATGAATAACTGAGAAAAATGAATAACTGAAGCAAATCAACATAATCCACTAAATGATAAAAAATTAAAAAGAGTGGTAGATTGGTTTAATGTGGAAAGTTGTTAGGAGAAATAGAAAGAGAGATACTAAATAATAAGGGAAGCAAGTTAAACAATCAAAAATCATAAGTAATTAAATTTGAGAAAATTTGGTAATTCTGGTCACTGAAATCAGCATGAAATTAGTAGGCAAAAGCAGCACAAAAATTAGGCAAGAGAAAGAATTATGTCTCTACCAACCAAGAAGTGGAAATGCCAAGAAAAACAACATATGTTAATCTAATCTAATATATGCTAATGTTAGTAGAAATGCTAGTTTGTACAAAATACATACATCAATGGTATAGCCAGTGAAATAGAGTAAAATTACAGAGACATCCACAACAGATCATCTAGTTGCCAGTATTTGTATGTGACTTAACTAGGGAAGATAAAGGGGGTTATCATATTGTAAGAAACTGTTAATATGCTGTTTGCAATAATTTTGTTCATATACAGTAATTGTAGGAGGGTAAACAGGTCAAATGCATATGGGCTACTGTGAGGTAATATAATGGGAAATGTTAAGTTCTTTTCCAACATTGCAGAAGTACTAAAATTGGGGGACAGGCAGCTTCCCCCAAAAGAAAAACATGTAACATACCCTCGATTAACAAAGTTTCTTTGGTTTTTAAATAATAAATTACACTCTATTCATGTCTTAACTACCCAAAATATACTGCGTTTTAGATTTTGTATTGTACAAGATAGATGAAATGGCAAAGGGTGAGTAATCTAAATGAGAAATGCTGTTTTCATTTATATAGAATGCCAACAACAGAGTTAGAGCTGAAGATTCCTCAATTTTCCAACTTGTAGCATACATATGACAACATAAATTTAACAGAGTTTCTGATTACACAAACACATTCTTTGTTTGCAAAAAACAATAGCAAAACCAGGTTACGCATTTATTTTTTAATTGTATTTTTGTTAAAAACATTATGCCCCATTTAAATTCCCATTAGCTAGACTAGACATTAGGCAATAGCTGCAATTTCCAATTAACAATGCAGGACTAATTCTCAACGTTTTCCCACATGTAAATATGCTGTTGAGCCTATTGTTAACCCTTAACTATCACCTTATGTGAAAAGTGCCTCTAAATGGCAACAGGGACTTTATTTTCCCTATGGCATTGCTACTGTAGTATGTGCCATTGTTTGTATCTGTATGTGATGTCACATGTACTATTAAATAAACATCATAAAACCATATCAAAAACAGTCCTATCTGATATAACAAACTGTTTGAAACACACAAGAAATAAGGCCCTCGCTTAGCTATGCAAACCCATCTCCTTTGTTTTGCATTGAAAAAATAAACAAGAAATCCTAGTTATATGGTGAACAGTCCTGCTTTGTATTACAAAGGGAAATGCTATTTATGCTGACATTAATCGCTAAACCACAGCCTTTAACTTCACAATTATCTTGAAATGAGCCAAAAGTGCATTGGCATGCTGTTGAAATCGTTCTTAACTTTTCTACTTCTCTTGCATTCTTTAAAGCATGTAGATAACCAGAGGCATAGATTTTAAGGAATGCTAGGGGAATACATTTGTTCCTCAAAAATGTTTTCAGCTGTCACTTCCATGGTTATTCAGTACTCTAAAAAACTGTTCTTACTTTCTCACAAATATAAAAAAAACCCAAATAACTTAAGTTTAACTCAAGCTTTATATGTTGTGACTACCTTAATATAGACAAATACTTGATAACAGCATTTCTCTTCAATTTAGCTTCAAAATAAATAAACCGACCTCTTTGCTTTTTACAAGGCTATCCATTATTTTCAAAGATTTTCCAATGAAACAGTTTTAAATCTGAATGACATTTCATTAACAACCATGGGCTATATGGACAAGAGGAGCCAGTATGCATTTGATAATTCATAGACTTCCCTTTCTTAAAAAAATTAAAAGCAAATGAACTCTATAGACCCTGGCAAAGCCAGGCCCTATCAATAGTGGAATGTCAGCTCAAAGTGACCAAGCTGATTATCAAAGTTCACTTGTATTAAGAAGTCATCTTCATCCACAAACTGTTCTACCATGGCATCATCCATATTAACTAAAATCCTTAAAAGAAAAAGGTAAATATACTCAAGCAATGTCTCTTTTCATTATTCTATCAACACTTGCAACTCCAAAGAATGATTTCCTTTCCACATGTCATGTTATCAAAGATGAGGAGAACAGTTATCACAAAACTAGCCTTTACTGGTGTAATCAATGGCAGCAATAAGTTTTTTTGATAATTAATAAATATAAATAATAATAAAAAGCTTCCAAACAGTTACATTCTTTACTGTAGAAAAAAATGTACTTGAGGATATTTTGCAATATATGCTAAGGTGATGGAAAAAGCTACTGGTTGAAAGAATATTGGAGGTCTCAAGGTAACATTGAGCCAATCACAGAGTTCCCTTTTCATTTTCAAGAAAATTCCATTTTTGCACTGATCTTACTTGAGCAACTAGAAAACATTAAATGGAACTGTAGTTTATTTCTACATGGCAGTTATTGCATGCAAGTTTTTAACTGATTTAACACTCTAGACATTGGATTTTTCTTTGCTTTGCTCCTTTCATCTATTTTAGCTTTTCTCTTTTTTGTTCTCTTCTCTATAATTCAATCTATGGCAGTTTTATAAAAAACAGCTACCGTAAATCCTCAAACTAGCCCCCTGGGGGCTTATTTATTGTTTATATTTCTGGATAGGGACTTATTCGAGGGGGGCTTATACCAGGGGGGCTTATACCAGGGGGGCTTATACCAGGGGGGCTTATATAATTATTGTAGACATTAAGAAGACAATATTAAAAGACCTTGTTTATCTTAGTAGGAATTTCTTTATGAGCATTTAATTAATTACTACCAAAAGTATGAATTTGTTGGTGGTAATTCATTAAATTGCATAGGTAACCTCAGATGGCAAAAATCATCAAATGGAGGGGTCCAATTTGAGAATTTACAGTAGCAGTTGGGTTTATTCGGGGGGGTGCTTATTGACAATTTGTAGTTCTAGAGTGGGGGCTCATTCGAGGGGGGCTGCTTTTTTGAGGTGGGGTCAATTTGAGAATTTACGGTATTTGATTATGTTATAAAATGCCCAAACAATATTCCTATGCTCCAAGAAATATGCTTCCAAGTATTTGCCATAAATATCAAACTGAGCTCAAGATAAAGGCCTGGAGCACCTGCCTTTTTGCAGTTATAAAAGTGTTTCTATAACAGTATTCTTACCCTTTTCTGGTTTTCTTATATAAGTTCTTTACCATCTCTGCCGGCATGCCATACTTATGTGCAACCTTAGAAACAATCAGAAATTATACAGACAATCACACCACAAATAAGTGTGACATATTGTCATAATTATAATCACTAGGGAAAACTTTCCAGTCAGAGAAGCTAAACCATCATAAATGCTTCTTTAGCATAAAAAGGTTATGAATATATGAGAAATTTCTTAAAGGCAATCAAGAGATATAAAAGTGGCTTAAGCCATTTGCCAATCAAAATGAGCCAATCAAGAGCCTGTGAGTGGAATCACACTCACTGATTGGACAGTTTTGATTGAAAGAGTTTGATATGAGTTTCAGAAACTAGCAAACAGAATAGTGATTTGACAATTGAATAAAGATCTTAATTATCAATAAGACATTGAATCATTTTTAACTTCATACAAACAAACAACCAAGAAGATTAGAACTTACAGCATCCTTCAAATCCTTCAAAGTCAGGTTTTCCAACATTAAAGCATTGTAAACTTTTTCTTCTTCCTTTCTGACATATATAGTCACAGCTAATGAAAAACATTATCATTCTTAGTATAATTCATTAAAAAGGCATAAAAGTTTACGGAATGATCATTTTATGAGTCAGACTTGTCTTTTTGTTTAGCCTGTGACAGCCCAAGCTCTAAAGGGCTCAATGTGGCGGTTTAAATGCCATTTCCCAGTCTCTAGGCTATTAAATTTGATCCTAATGATTATCCTGAATTTACAAAAAGCATTTGAATTTTAGTTAATGAGCAAGTGCTCTATGATAATTCGTTGCAACATAAAACCATCTTTTTCTATACACCAAAAGCATGTGCTAAAAGTACATGTAAACACAGGAGAAACAATATTAGATAAAACCAAAACAATGGAAAAATCTAGCTTAAGTTACCACTATGCATTTTTCCACATTTGATAATATTACCTCTATTGCAAGTAATATTAAAGGAGAAATAAAATCATCACATCAAATTTTTCATTTCATTGAGCAACTGATAAACTAACCTGGAGTTTTTCGCTTCATTACTCTACATTTTGGTTGCTTTGGCAACATTGATAAGTCCTCCAAGTCAGCCTACAAATATTTACAATATGACTTGATTAGAACAAAAATCTTGAGTTTCATTTGTAAAGTGATTTCATAACATTTCTTCTCACAAAATTTGCTGGTACACGAGAAATCCACAAAATACACAACTTACACAAAATCACAGCTAAAACATAATTAACTGCTTATTTAAAACAATTACGACATAAATTTCATGGTATTCTTCCAGACCAATTACTCAAGTTAATCTGACTTTAATCAGTGCGATACTTGGCCAAAATGTTACTCTACCCCTAGATTTTCACACTGGATTTTAACAAACTACAAGATCAAGCAAAAGCAAGCTTGAAAGGAACAAGGGAGACATTTGCAAAAAATTTCTCAAAAAATAAAGCAAGATAAAGGTCACTTTTTGGAATAAACAAAGGGGGCTTAACAATGCTGAGCCTACACCTGGGGGGTTATGTTCCCAATGGTGCTGCCATTGAATATTACTTATTATTACCTTAGCAACATTTACAGCTGCAGCCAGCTGCCTCTTTGATTCTTGAGATCTAGAAGCAAGACTCAAGGTAATGAAAATGACATTGTACATTGTGCCTTGCTGATATCTATAGGAAAAATTGTCTACTAGAAAACAATGAATCAAACTTGGATCTTTTTATGTGATAAATCCATTATGAAAAAGCAACCTGTGCCATAAAGACAAGAGAACAATTTTATAACAATGAAAAGAAAACCTAAGAGAATAGGAGAAAGATGTACCGATTGTGAGTTTGCACAGTTATACATCCGTGCTTTTCTTCCGTGCTACATACAGTTATACATTGCTTGTCTTTGAAAAAAGCATGATAGCTCCCATTTACAAAATCACTTTTGGTATATTCCAAATCCATACAACCTATCTCTCCTAATTTGTTCAAAAAAGAAATCTACAAAATTAATTTCAGCCCTGAAGATGGAAAACATCAGTGAAATCTTGCATTTCTAAAGATGATATTTATCTGAAAGGGTTAGATTCACAAGTCACAACTATCTCAAAACAGATTGGTTGCATTGAAATCATTTTCCACGATCTTTAGCAAAGATCCTATGTAACATGCCTGAATTGTGCCATTTTCTGGCAATTTACAGGCCTGATTACAGCAATTAATAAATGCTGAATTAGTGCCTTCCATTGTCTTTGTTTTATATCCACAACTGTTTCAATATCACTAGCAGGCTTCCTTTTTCAATATTCCAAAATTTGCTTACATGATGGAGAAAATGCCTTTTTGGGAAAGAGAGCTTTCTTATAACATATTATGTGCAACAAAGTTATTTGATAGATCAATGCATGTCCAACAAAAAGTATAACTTCTGAATATAGGTCTATGAATTAGGAACAGTTTAACTTATGATGAATGGAAAAAACTGTGACTTTAGTCATGCCCCCAATCTTGAATGCTGGCAGCCACCCCATTTTACTTATATTTTACTTTAACAAAGATGCCAGTTTGAGACTCTGACTAAGCTATGAACATACGACCAATAATCAGTCAAATGTGATTTGAAAATTGTGGTCTGAAAGTAAAACATCTTATTTAGATAACATGAAGCAAGCAATATATGAAAAAGGTCAAGTTGTTGAACAATCAAATCAATATTTCAGTTGTGAGAATCAGATTTATGACATATAAGAAAGCCTCTGAAATAAAAGTATGTAAACTGAACAGCAAGTGTTGCTGGATTAACAATACTTAAGGATCAATGAAGGACAACTGACTTCAAGCATCTTGTGCAAAGCTCTTTTAGCAATGTTTAAAATAATTTCTTTTGAGGCCTTTCGGGTGTTACATACCGAATGGAGGCAAACAATGGTGGTGGTGATGCGGTTGTTGCTGTAGATGTGTGTGACCCTGTACAACTTTCATCTGATGAACAGCTTTTTCCATACTAAAATCAAAAGATATGGACGATATTTTTGCAGTGGGCTACTTTGTCTTGTCAGAGAAGAATCAGCATCTTTCATTTGAACATCAAATTTTCAGAAAATCATAAAAAACTAAGGCCCTTGTTTTCAAAGCTTTGTAGCTTGCAAAGACCTTCAAAATAAATGTCAGCAGTCTTTGCAATGGGAAAAGATGCTATGGCATGGCATTTTGTGCCTTTAACTGAACAGAAACCATAAGTAAATTGATGGAGAAACTGTTCTTGTTCTCCTTTAAGGATGCTTAATTTCTGATTAGCTTATAAATTTCCAGGAAGTAATCATAGACTTGTGTTGCAATTATTTGAAGTTCATAGTCCCTACCATCCCACGAAATATTGCTATGCAACATCACTAACTTATTATCACTAAAGTATTATCACTAACGTTGTGGATATCAAAGCAATTTTTCAAAAAAGTATCTTACCATTTGACAGCAAAGCAGGTGGGTAAAAAACAGAGTGCAAAACAGAATTCAGTGTGACATTTTAGACTGGAGTGGGCTTACAAATTTCGAAAAAAATAGCAACTATAAGGTAATGGAAGTACATTTCATATCAAGAGATGTGTGCCTTACTGCTTGATTGCTGACTTTTCACAATAATATGGCAAGCATAGAATATGCCATTGCACACCTTGAAAACCAAAAAACTGCCTTTAAATTTGGCAACTTTGACTTCCTGATGCTTTGGAAATTTTTTAAACATATTTTCCAACTTTGAGGATGTTGAGTTTTTTTTTAAATTTTCCCTGCAGACTTTTTGTTTTGTATGTGCAATGTTTCGCACTGCTTGGATAATTTTGGCATGTGCGTTCACACACCACATATTACAAAGACTGGGTTTCGGTTGAATCCTTTTAAGTTGGACTTTCAAGAGGGGTAAGGGAATCATCCAACTTAGCGGAGGCCATGGTACGACAAAATTTAAAAAAGGAAACAACACTTCCTTCCTTAAAGAATAATTCCTTAAAGAAAACAAAACTATGATTCATTGCATAATCTCAGCAAGTAAGGAAACATCAACTTACAGTTTGGGTTTTTGGGATGAAAACCCATGGTTTTTCTCCTTTTGTTGATACAGAGTTGAATTTTGTCACCTTATTTGGACCTTGAAAAATTGAGCTGATGTTGTGTAAAGCTGGAACAGAACAAAACAATATCAATCTTGCTGTGAACGAGAAAACTTTGAGCAAAAAAATATCTTTAGCCACTGCAAAATAAACCAATGAAAATGTTAAGTGGTGCATTAATGTGAAACCCATTTCAAGTTATGCACAGCATCCCAGACACAGCAGGAACTTTGTGAGCAACGAAACAATCATTACATATACATAATACAAACATTAAGAAGTTGGTCTTTTGATATTCCTGTATTACAGTGCTCAATAGGTTTGCACGTAGAGTGTGATATAGTTTGGAGTTGAAGAAAATAAAACTACATGTTAAATCTCTACAAACCTGTTTTGTGAATAACACACTCTTCAGGAGATGTCCTCAAATTTGAGTTATTCAACTGAAGAGGAAGACGTGAGAATCTCCTGAAGAGTGACTTATTCACAAAACAGGCTTGTAGAGATTAAACATGTAAATTTGTTTTCTTCAACTCTAAACTGATACAGTGATTACATATATATAATACACACTCATTCTGTGTATAAAACAATCATAACAATGTTTTGAGTAAATTAGCAGCAGGAGCTCAATAAGGCTTGTGCATAAAGTTTTTGACAGCTACTTTTTGCATTGATGCAAGATTCTAAGCCTGACGAAATACATCCAGGAAAATTATGAAAGTGATGTTTTCAAGTTAATTAATTGAAGAAAATTCCCCTTATTTACCTCAGAAAGCGAGACATGGATCCTAGCAATTGGTTTGAAACACAATAGTTTCGAATAAACACCTCCTATACATCAAACAGGGCTTTTATGTATAAAAAATTAATGTGCATGACCAAAAGCTTGGGTGACAAAACGAGTCACGTGAATAAATTTATTTGATAACACAAAATAATAAAGTTTTTTCTATTAAAACACTAAACTTAACAAAACTCTCAAAATGACCTAAATGCTACATTGGATAGTTACGTTCAAGTTCTAGATTTTATCATCACTGTCTGACTCTGACCAATTGGCCTTAGATGAAAACTAGATTTCTTTTGAAGTTTAGTTGCTTTTTTGATGATCTATTTTCATTCTCCTTTTGATTTGATATATTTATCCCCAGCTCTCTCAATGATATTTCCCCAGCTCATCTGTATTCCAAAGATAGCGATATAACATGCAATCCAATTTCCACGAAGGATCATGTGCGACACAGCAACGTTTCAGTGAAATTAGGAACATGAAGAATTTTCAATTATTTTCAGAAAAGTTGAAAATAAAACAGCAAAAACAAAAAACAGACCAACAAATAGCACAATTAATACTGTGTCAGTCCCTGGAAAATCAGGCCCTATGTCCATTATTCCATTTTTATACAAAAACAGAGTCTTTAAAACAGAGTCATGTTCAAAGTTTTCAAGCGAAAATACAGTCATTTAAAAACAAAACATTCTGATTGGAACAGCGAAAATGAAGTCATTTAAGAACAGAGCCATTTTTAAATGAACTCTTTTAAAAAATTGAAAACGGATTGATTTGAAAACGAATTCGTTCATCTTCAGTATCAATACGAGCTTCAGCAAAGGATACGAAAGCGGACAAAAACAGAGAAATGGGGACTTTATCATTAGACCAAAACCTTTGGCTTTGCTTTGACCAAAACGGTGTAGGCCGGAGCAATGTGAATGGCTCAATAATATGGAAAACGAAGGATTCGAAAACGAAGACAAACGAGAACAGAGAAACGGAAACAGGGCTTCGATGTCAAATTTTCCGTTTTGAAAAATATCAAGTAGATTGGCCTATCAACATCCAGTAATTGCTCTATTCAACAGAAATATTTATCACTAGATGCGCAATTAACCGCTCCGAAAGGAAACATCGGGTGCGTGCCTGCGCGCTCGCAAATTTTGCAGATAAATTTCCCCATTAAATCGCTATGCAAAGGTTGCAGTTTAAGTCTATAATAGCACCAAGAATGTTGTATTCTAATATTTAGCAATGAAATCAACAGCACTTGGCTTAAACCAATTCAAAAATATTTCATGATATATATCATAACATGTACCTGAATTTGAACCATTTTTTAAAAATTTTAAGAGTCTTCTCTCAGCACTTTTAGACTCATCTTTGTTTTTTCTTTCTGCACCCTATCAAATGAAGGTTTGTTAAAATAATACTGTACAATACAAGAAGAAACTTGCATTGAAACACATACATATGTCAGAAACATATATATAAAGCTTTTACTTTGCCTTAAATCTCGTTAAAGTGTAACAAAAATTTTGGTGCTCCATCAACAAATATGTAAACACCTTCCAAGAGAATAAGAACAGCAATCAAAGATAATTTTCTCAAGAATTACAATACACTTACATGACAAAAGTATTAGGCCAAGAAGAAGAAAATGGCAGCGCGGAACCTTGTTTGAAAAAATTTGGTTGTCGTGGGGAAGATTTGAGATAGTCAGCAAAAAATGCAAATCCCAGCAAATTCAAATGCTACCTTTCAGTAGAAAAATTAAAATTTCACAGCAAAATGGTAAATATTAAAAACTTTCGTTGCAATGTTGAAAACAGAAAAATAAACACAAAAAAGAAGAGAGCTAATGAAAAGCTTTGGTCTACCAGGTCATCCATTTGCCAAAATTTGGTTGCTGCAAGTGAACAAAATCAAACTTAAATCAGTCCATTCTCCATAAAACCCATCCAAATTCTTTGTTGCTTGCAGATATTTTTAAACATTTTCACTTAAGGCTGTAGAAGAGATCAAAAGGAAATAGGTCCACTTAAAATTAGCTCCTTTAAAACGTTTTTTGAGATGTTTTCCACAGCAATGGTAGCTGCATCCGTACAAATCTTGAGGTCTTCCAACAAATTACTAAACAAAAAAGTTGTACTTGTTTGAAGAAAGTTGTTATTGTTCTAATTTATCTAATTTATGCATATTTATGCTTATTTTATACAAATGGTCAAATCACTGTCGAAAATATCAGCCATCAATCTTGTAATGCTTCAACTGATTTTCTTTGTTGTCCTTTGAGCATACGGTTACCAACCGTTTTGTTTTTAGGCCATCGTCCTAATACTTTTGTCACAGAAGTGTACAGTTACGCTTACACAGAAAAACAAAGACATGGTACCTTATCTCTAAATACTTTTATCTGACAAAATGCACGATAGACAGGGTCTTCATCTTGCTTGGATAAATCTTCGTAGGTGTCAACTTGCAGGTGTAGAGGGATACCCTAGAAAAGAAAGATGAATGATGACTTTGAATAACGATAAATTTAAGTCGCATTTTCTGAAGTTCGATATACATGTATACAAATCATTATATACATACGAATCAACCATTAAAGGAACTTAAACATAATTATTCACTGGAAAACTTCAGCACTTCTTTTTTCAGGAGTCCTTCGGCATACAGGGTTCTTCTGTAATTGTCACTATTTTCCTACTGAAATTTGCAAAGTATAATGGCCATATCAATTCAAATATCTGCTTGCAGTATCAGCTATTTTTGCTTGCTATGTAGACTTTTATTCTGTGCTGCCCATAACCTATAGGGTCTTTAAGGTCATACATTTCTTTGAATGAGTTTGACATCCTTTATTCTGCAACCTAAAAATCTGACGGATTTCAAGCCCCATTGAAGCCACAAATTCATGGTAATGAATGGGCTAAATCTGATTATGTAAAGTCAAATCAAGACAAAGTTACCTTTACACCCTTCTGTGGTGAGAAATCTGTGCTTAGGCAGTTGATACGAATAACGACCTGCAAAAAATGAATAAGACATTACCTTAAATCCTCAAATCAGCCCTCTGGGCTCAACGGGGGAGGGTTAAAACAAGGGGGAGGCATATAAAAAATACTTTCAAGTTTCCATACAAATATAACGTTTATCTTCTTTACTATTTTAAAGTTCATTTCAACTGCAAATTCATTTAATAACTCTTTCCAAATTATCAAACCAAAATACATTTAAATCAACACAAAAATGTTATATCCAAAATATTTATTGCCCGCAACTCGCGCGCGATAGCGCGCGAGTGAAGGGCTTATAGTCTGCCCCGCGTATAAGTAGCATATGGAAGCTTCAGTTCATGTTGTCAGCACTTTGTCAGCAGATTTTGTCACTTTTCTGCTGCCATGACAACTGTCAATCAATTTCATTGTCAATCAATCGGCTTTGTCGAGGAGGTCGTTAACCGCCACCTCTTTGTGCGGAAGGGAATTATCTTCGGAGAGTTGCTCTGCCAAGACTCTGTTAAAGGCCTTCGGTTTTTTGGCACGAAAACGGTGCTGCATCACAGCTCGGTTCTCCGCAATGGATGGAAGTTTTGATTCGAAGTTTTGGGAATCAAAACCAGTCGAATGCCACACCTTTCTCCCAAAAACTCGACACCGTACGAGCAAAAGTTATGATTTTCGTGATTATAGCCTGTACATCGCTGTACGAATCCTTTATCGCAATCGATTTTAGCTGTACCCATTCTATCACGTGTCCATTTTCATACGTCTGCTTCACGAAAACGCAAAATAAATGTCAAACCCTAGAAAAACTTCATGATTTTCAAAAGGGCGTTGGACTTAAATCAAAGGCAAACTGAACACCAAAAATTCTTGATAAAAAGAATAGTTTAGCATCAACTAGAGCAGCTGTTTTTATAAAATTGTGAAAACCATAGATGGTGTCTTCTTCGAATATCCTGACCTAAATTTTCAAAACAATCATTATCAAGGAACTAATTGTTTGCGGGCAGTACTAGCAAGAGCTATTTCTAGTATATGCATTTCTTTCTGTGGTCTAGTCTTTAGTGTCTCGTCTATTTTGCCACTGAATGTGTTATCGAATCGTTCTGGTGTATCAATATTAAGCTACGATTGGGGCCTGTTTGGGTGGAGGTCTATTTAAAAGGCCTAATAACAACATTAACTTCCAGGGTGAGTGCTTAATCGATGGGATGCTTCAGAGGCGGGAATTCATTTCTAAGGTGAGGAGAAAAATCTCCAAAAACATATGAATTTGCTGACAAATGACACAATTCTCCAAAAAAGCCTTTTAAACTGTTTTGAACCCCATTAGAACCTGACAATTTCCACCGTTGGAGGATTTATATGGGTGCCCAATTCGAAAATTTGGGGAAGTTGATTTAGTGAACATGACATGGATTGTGAAAACAGATTTGTCAGTGACACGCCTAATCACTAGTGCTACAAGTTTCCAATGTCTCGGGATTAGGCCTGATATCAAATGTAAATGAGTAAGAGAGTAAAGTACAGGAAAACACTGGTAATAATTGTAACTACGAAATGATGATTGCCTCTGCTACTTGAATGTTGCAGGTACTGCCGGTGCAAACAGAGGGGAAAATACCAAGCTATACATTTGGATGCAAGAACTTGCCAAACTTGATTTGGGGAATTATCTAAAAGAGCCTAGACATATTGTAGTCTTTTAGTTTGGCTTTAGCGGTGTTTAAATGGGCAAAATTTAGCAAAATAAAGAGCAAATAACAAATTACGAAATTGTCACTTCCTCACCAATAAACCATTAAAAACAATGATTCATCCCCGTTCATATAACTTTCAAACGGGCCAGCAGTTGGTTAAAATTACACGGAAAGGTACACTGAAATATATTAGGGACCTGATGAAGGCCATACGTTTTTTAATAATTGTGTGAATTTAGCTAACCTTGGCTTTACCATGGGGATTCCAAGTGAATCCAAATGCATTGTAACCTATTTCATCAATGAACTCATCCACATTCTGGCAAGCCTTCCTGTCAATATCAAATGCCCTTTGGTTTGGATTTGGCTGCTGTGAACACCAAAAGTGCCAGTGGTTCATTTCATTTCTAGGATCTTTCTCATCCCGGAATGCCAGATAAATAAACGACTATAGAAAAATTAAAAAAGCAACAACAAATAAGAATTTTGCAACAGAATAAAGAGCCTTAGTATGATGTTTGGATATCTTTTTATCAACAATTATTCTATCGCCAGGAAAATAAAAGCCACACTTCTATATCGAGTATGTTAAAGACCAATTCACCTTACCAGGCCTAATACAAACTTCTTTAGGTATATAAGGTATTGCCCAGATATACTGCAAATGCTGTAAAAAACACTGGTGTGCCGATTTAACTGAGTATCTTTCTCTTGAAGACAATATGATATTCATCTTGACTGTAATTTCTCTTTATTCATGCGATTACGAATTTCATTGATAATTCTCTGACTGTGTCCTTTGCTGTCATCCTGTGCAGCATTTCCGATAAGAAAGCTTTGCACAAGTAGTTCTCAATTCTTGGTTCGTAGAGTAGCTAAACAGCGCTCTCTCAATTTTTGAAACCATTACTACCAACTCTTTGATTATCCCACCATCATGCAAGAAGAGGATTTAAATCAACTAGACATTTCAAATATCTGTACCTCGGTTTTTCAAAATTACTGTACCTCGTTTGATAACACTCTGCCGCAACTGGGCCAGATCTAAGCACCTTTGCAAAAACTAGTTTGTCAATAATTGATCGACATCTCTCTCAAGTATCAAACTAACTTATTTACATGTAGTTGAAAAGTTGAGAACAAACCTTTACTCTGTCACTGGGAACTGAAGATGGTTTTGTAGCTTCGCAAGTAATGGCATAAAATTGGCCTAAAACAATAAAAAAACCTGTAACTAGAAAGCAAAATACTTCTGTATTCTTCTATGCATACTTGAAAAGTGTTAAAATGTAGGTAGGTACTCTAGCACAGCTTTCTACAAACCTTTATTCAGGTATGTCAACGAATCCTCCCCTTTTTTCTGGATGATTGAAGTCTGTGCTTCCAAAATATTTATATATCTGAAAAAGAATATGTTCATGAGCTACAAAATGTTAAAACTGTCACCATTTGCGTGACTGTGTAATTAGACTGGTTTATAAAAAAACAAAACACGCACTTGTTTCAGAGTATGAGGAATATCTTAAAGAAACCTTGTCACTTTTATCATTTGTGACATAATAAAAAACCAGGTCAGCTCAGTCTAGTCTACTCTATGTTCAAAATTCTAAACATATTACAACCCAAAAAGAATATGGGAAAGATAAGCCGCCAATTGTACATTGCCTAAAAAAGGGAGGTGTAGAATTGTGATTTATTGACATATATCTTTAATGATATTATATTGAATTAAAAGAGCCTGAAAAAATCATAATACTATTTACAGTTGGCTTAAAAATAATTATGGTTAGAACTAATCAAGAACAACTATTTAAAACAAATGAGATGTAATTATAATCACTAAAAAGACATAAAAATATACTTCTGGTGTAATCCCCGCAGGGTGAGACTCTTTATCTACAAAATTTGCATGAGCTTTTGTTACCTTTCCCCTCTTTTCACTGTAGAACCAGAACAAAGGTATACTAAACGCACAAAAATTTTAGAAAGAGGGAAAATGTAAGAAATCAAGAAACAAAAAGGTAGTAAATAACTGTACCTTTCATCTTCTGAACAAGTCAATGTTTGTTGTACACAGTCTGTTCCAAATGTAGCCTACAAAAGAGGCAACAAAACATAAAAGTCAAAAATAACATGAAACATAGATTGTTAATTATTTGAATATTATTATAATACGGATAAACACTTAATTTGGATTTAAATATAGCAACTTGGTGGCCAGTCAAAATGCAAGGAATCATCTCAAGAATTAAGAACATTTCAACAGAAATCCAATTTAAAATAAACACCAGGCATGGATTTTCAACACATAAAATAATCTACCACTCTTTTATGCAGCTCATTATGCAAAGGAAAAACCTTAAGTACATTTCATACACTAAGCATGGAAATTATTTAAAACAAAAATAAAGAAAACATACAAGTTCCTTTTCACCAGCTAGAAATCCATAAGTTGAACCATCATCTGGCGAAGTTGGGGAGCTGCAAGACAAATACAAAGCTAATTATAAAATTATCTAATAGACAAGATCAATTCTTTTGGAAAGCCCACACCAGTTCTTTCCAATTATCTAAATACATTAAATGTTAATTTGGAAAAATAAATCATTGCGTCTGTCAAAACCATAAATTATATTTTGTCAACTGCAATTCATAGGACAAAATGTAAAATAACATAAATAAAAACTTTCAAAATTTAATGACTAACGTTCTTTCTGGTTTCACATTTATTTCTTTGCCGGGTGGTAATTCCTAAAATGAGTAAAAGAATATTTTACAGCAAAATATTCCAGAATGATACACTTAATTAAAAAAATAATGAAACACCTTTGAAAATTTTATGCATTGAATTTTGATAGAACTTTTCATAAAATTTTCACAAGATGCTGTTTATGCTTTGAAGAATTTGCCAATAAATTTGCAAATATCAACGGTAAAAATCAATCAGGCTTTAAAACATTTACAAGTTGTTTTTCAAGATGAAGAACACTTACAAGTAGCTGTCAAAGATCGTTTTTAAAAGAATAACAAGGAAAGTTATCAAGCAACTCAGCAAATGTTGGCTCATTGAGCAGCACTCCTGTGGGCAAAAAGTTTTTCTACACTAAAATTTAACATGGGTTGATAGACCAAAGACGATTTTCTTGACAACATGTCTCTTGTGCAGGACGGAGAAGCAATAGAAATTTGTTTGGCTAATCTCTGAAAAATTTTGCGATAATGTCCTGTTGTCATTTCAAGGCTGTTCAACTTGTGCTCATATTTTGCATGAATACGCAGTAATTCAAAGAGGTTACTGGAACTCAAAAAACAAAGTTTGAGCATTTTTAGGATATGACCAAAATACCAAAAACTGCATGTATACTTTCTACTGGAATATGTAGCAAAATGTAGCACCAGTCATTTCATAGAAGTGACACAATCTGTACTGACACAGGCTTACCTCATCTGCTGCTGATGCAGAGACACTGACAGTTGCTGATGTTGTTGAGAATGGTGAGTCTTCGTCATTGAGTTGCCTTCTGGAATATAAAAACACATAAAAAAGAAAATATAGAGGCAAGACTGTATATTACACAGAAGTTGAAAGCAGTGGCGGAGACCTGTGGGGAGGTGGGGGCATCCCTCTCCAAAAATTCACAAGTTTAAGAAAAGTTCTCCTGCTTGAACCAATTTGATTCTTTTATCACTTAATTATAACTCTTTGAACCATACCAATTTATTAAATATAATCTCAGAATGCCAAGGGTAGCTCTCTCCTTTTTTTCTTTCTAAAGCTGCTCCTTTCTAAAGCAATTTTCTAATACACTGAGCTTCATCTACGATCTTATCAATCTCTGAAGAGGCTAAGACCATCACAGAGATCTAGCTTTGTCCTTGTATTTCTACTCATTCGTCAATTTTTTGTTTTATTGTATTAAGCTCATGATCATTATGATACTCTTGAAGTTGCATAAGTTTTATGTAATAGGGGGAGTTTGCGGGCTGGAATGTGCTCTAAGTGTAGAGTGAAACAATAATTAGTGTTCCTAAGGAATACCATCTAGGTAACAACATTGCATAGCAAAATCTAACGATCTGTTAGTACAGTACAACTATCACGACAAAAAGCACAGCGAGCCATTCAAAATAAATATGAAATCAATTAAGATTTTTGTCTCCCCTCGTTTCACTCCAGTTTAAAGCTATTGACAACAGCATTATCTGCAGTGAGGGCAGAACAGATTTTTAGAAAATATACCGCAAGAAAATTTGAGTGACTCCCTCCCTAGAGGTGTAAGAAAGTGTATTTTTTTGTTTCTATGCTAAAATAAGGCCTCGTTCAATCACAAATGCATTCGTTATGAATCAGATACATAATCAATATGTTAATCAATATGTTATGAATAAAAATGCGCTTTAAAAACAGAGCATATTAAACAAATCGAAATAAAACCGATCAAAGTAAAAACATATCCTTCCTAATCACTCAACAACATATGTGAGGTGCAACTAAATCTTCAAAAACCTTTTGACTTGCCATAAAAGAATTTTACTTGGCCAAGACAAACAATTGCTTGAATAATGTTCTAAGTAGTATAGTTTCTTACTTTTTAACATCTTTTGGGTATCTTGTGAAGAAATGTTCATCTAAACCAATGCAAGCCATCCGTAGAATAGCATTAATGAAATCATTAAGTGAATGACAATAAGTATTTTCCTAAATACCTTTGTCTCCTCCCCTCCCCAAAAGCAGAAAGAAGTTTCCATCATTGATAAAAGATTTTTCAAATAAAATCTTAGTTTGCGCGGTTCTTTTATGTTAAATATGATAGATCCATAACGCAGGCTTAGAATTGAAGTTTACCAACCCCTTTGTCTGGGAATCCTGAGCTGCTGTGGCATCTTCTCCAGATGAGTCCTGCAAATTGAAACTAACTGTAATAGTATGGAGCATTAACAAACTCTTGAAGAAAAGACTTTATAGAATATAAATCCCTTGGACACATTTTGCCTTTGACACATTTTGAGAGTTGATGATTGCCACTGATGGGACTGAAAAACTAGGAGAACCTCATTGAGATATTTGGAACTTTCCAATTTCATTTGATTTCTTTGTTCATGTCATTGTCAAAAACACTTTCACAACTCTCTTTTATATGCAGATGATACAACAAGAGACAAATAACAGGATAGTTTTTTGAAAGACATTTACCTTATTCACAAATATAGCTGGCAGGAGTAAAGGCATTCTGTAAAAACATTCCACAAGAAAAAAGCTTAAGATGGTGTGCCTGCATGAGTTTAATTGTTGGTTTATGTTGTAAACCAAGATTTTATTTGCTCAGAATAGTTAGACTTTGTGTGATTCACCTAGAATACTTTCTCAAGAACATCACAATTTAAATCAGTTACTAGAAGTGAACAGTTATCAATGCAAGCACTAAAACACAATCACAGCAGTGTGTAATTTCATGTGACACGTTTCAAAGGTTGAGAATGACTTCCCAGGTTTCAAAGACGCAAACGGCGAATGCCTGAATTATTATATCACAGAATATAACACTTGCTTCTTTGACATGTGCAAAAAAGGAATTGACAAGACAATTTTAGAAATTGTAGATCATAAGAGAATTAGCAGAAAGAGAATGTATCCTACAAAAACACAAAAACAAAATCAGAAAAATGAAAGTCATAGCCTGTCGATTTCAAAACAATCAAAATTAACTTAAAATTTATAAGTTTGGAATTTATATTGATGTTTCCTAGTCTATTATCTTGCTTTGTAACTTTGATAAATCATGTTAGATAATCTCTAATTGGAAAGTGATTTGATAGCCAATATACTATATCAGATTTCAAGAAAATCGTGCGCAAAAGTAAACGGTTTTTTACCTTGCAAACACTTAGCAAAGACAGAATTATCAATGAAATATTATTCAATACTTAATTCATCTGAAGTTCCTTGCCAAAAAGAAAATTGAATAATGGATTATTTTTTTACACAAACAAAAATTTTGACAACAACTGTTTTTTTTAAAATATTGCTTGAGCAATAGTCCTTAATTCCATATATGAATTCCTAACTCACACTTACTGAAAAGCTGTGAAAATTCTAGTAATTCTTGAAAAAATAGAGTTTGTGTCAATACAAAACATCATAGCAAGGGGAACAAAACACAGCTTCATTTAAAGAAATTCTGCAAAAAGGGTCAAAATGAAAACTGGTTTTAAACTCAAAAAACTAAAACTTGTTACTTAGAAAGGTTTGAAGTAAGCACTAACAAGCATAACAAGCAAAATATTTATCTAATTTTTGTCAGACACTCCTGAAAGCATAAATGTTGGGAAATGACTAGCTTGCAAATAATTTTATACTACTAAGAACTTATATGATAAACACTGGACACTCAATGATTTAAGCAACTATTGATATAAGCAAACACGTCATATGTTTAACCAAGCTCTGGGATAATTTTGCACAAAGGCTATCACCCTCAGAAAAGTGAGTCTCACCCTGGCTTCTGTACATAGTTGGTCCAAGCATAGGTACAGATCACTCTAAAAAAGGATGCATTATAATGAACTATGATTCACAGTTGGCCATGGTTAAGTTAATTCTCATTATATGGCAGGATTCTTGCTCTACAGTAATTTTGTAGTAGCAAAACCAGACAATAATAACCAATGCACAATCATAAGTGATTGCCACACACATAAAGTCATGGTAGCATTGGTTTAAAGCTACCATCTATTATAAATTGTTAAATTTTTAACAAACAACTTCTATTTGCACTTTCTGATCCAAGACCTTGAATAAAAACGTGGAAAATGATCTGACTCAAGCCATTACAGACATGCCTTACATTGCTGTTGCTTTATCAAACCTAAAGCTTGAATGCACAGAAAGGTTAGTTAATGAAATTGAATTTTTTCAAAAGCACTTTCGAAAATATTGCAAATCATTAAACTTGCTCTATTTACTTGGGGTGAAGATATTTGATATTCTATAAAAACAATTTCAGTGCTTTTTGCAGAAAGTGGAATTCAAGTTGGAAAAATATTCCAGTTATTGAAAAGTGTTTAAGATGATAAGGGTGTCACACTTCTTCCTTCAACTAACTCTCCAATAAACTGACTAAATTTTGTGAAAACCTTTCTACACTCAGGGCCGGATTTTTGATCCAAAATAAAATTTTCAATATCAGGGGAGGAAAAATAAGGGGATTTTGTGATGTGTCCGGAATATGTATTCAAATAATGTGCAATGGTGCAAACATTTAATTGTTTCTACCATTGGTCTCTCTACTATTGGTCATGACTCATGACTGTTACTTGTTTGTTTTGATGACAGAACCAGACTTGACATCATAACCTAAAGATTTGCGAGCAAAAATAACACTTTAAAATATCTGTAAATGTGGAAAATCAACTAAATCTGTTGCATATTTTATGTGATATGGCCATTTGTAGCTTCCTAATGGAAAACTGTTAATTTTGCAAATGGCTTTGAAAAAAGCAAACATTTAGTAAACTAAAGCTTTTTGTCTGACACTCTTCAGAGTTTAAAACGTCAGAACATAGATCGAAAACTCTACGCTAAGAAATATATATACCCAGTTGTGGATGAAATAGGCCAATCAGAAACACGAGCACATGACTGTATAGGTTGACCAATCAGTACCGCTTGCCTATTAGAATGTTACCAGTGGAGTCCTAAGGTGAAAAGGAACGCCTTTTGTCTACACAGTAGCGGTTTTTTCGTGCTTATGTAGATAGATTCTGAAACTGCTAGGTGGAATGACGATCGGGCTTTACCAATAATCCAAAACATGTCGCCATTATAGTTTTTTGCACAATCTGGGTTTTCTAGTAAATGCTGCCCAATAGCAGAATCGCAGGTTTTAGTTGTAATTTTAGATTTGCAAGACCGAGGTGGCTGTTCTCTTATGGGATGGGTTTTGTTTCTAATATTTTGCTTGGATCAAAGATTTTACAGCTGAGGCAGCTACCTTATTTCCTTCACAACTTCCATAAAACAGAATATGTATAATGTATGTTTGACATAAAAAAGCAACTATACCCTGGTCTTAATGTAACTTCTTAAAATAGGGAACACAACAATGCCAAAAGCAATTATTTTGTCCTACCAATCATAAGAATGAACTACAGGAAATCCTAATAAAAAACCCTCTGCTTGTCTTCTAAGACCTTACTATACAATAAAAACAAAAATATCGTGCAGTCTTTATTCTTTGACTTATTTGCTCAATCTTTTTTTGTATCTTTCTTCACCTATTATTTTTTTTCTTCCAGTTCAATAATTCTAATAATTAAAATACTACAAACTTCAATAAAACCTTAAATTGTGAACTGGTATAGAAAACTCATGTCTCAAACACCTAAAGGACCTGAACAAATACCTAGTGTCTTACACTACAGTGTCCAATAAGCAACTCTCAGTGTCCTCAGTAGAAAGTTGAAATATTATATAAATGTTATCTTTTATAGTATTTCTTGTAAGTGTTATTATTTGAATTAATGTTATAGCATAAATGAAATTTAAATCTGAATTACATAAGTTTCAGAACCAGAACCAAAGTATAGTGATTTCAGGGCCCACATCACTGGGGAGGGCTGGAGGGGCCATGCCCCCTTTTTTGCAAAACAAGTAGTTTTAAAGCTGCAGTAAAAGAGGAAAAAGCCTTGGCCCCCCTACTTTTGCTAGCCTTGGCTCTCCCCCACCCCCCCCCCCACCCCCACTTTCAAAATTGTGACATAGGCCCTGGATTTAAAGGGGAAAGCCTGTTCTCATGCAGCCAACAGTAACAGATCTAGTTGACTTTGCAAATTTCAAATCTTTTTATGATGCTCTTTGCTGGCCTTTTTTCAAAATCAAAAAGTTTTGAAATAGATTTTGATGTCGTCATTGCATTGCCTAACTTCGGTACCAGTGCTGCAAAAACTAAATGCAGCAAAAAATAATGAGAGCTGCAGAGTTTGGTCTGCAAAACATGTTTGGTCTAGGGCCCCGCAGAACCATAATCCGGCCCTGTCTACACTAATGAACTGCCTGGCCTTCTAAACCTGCTTTCTCTAATCTAACTAATCACTCTTTTCATATAATAAACCAACTTTGTTTGATTTGGGTGAAAAATTCACATGCAGTGGTAAAATATCTGTGTTTGCTTGCATGTGCCTAACTACTACACAGGAGAATACAGCCCAATAAAAGCAGAGTCAACAGCCTAAGGGAGAAGTGATAACTAATTCAAAGTCTAAATACTAAAATTAGCAACAAGAATATCAAAACTCTAAATGATATACAACTAAGAAATTGATATACAACTAAAAAATTGATTCACCTTTTCGCTGCAATTTGATGAAACATTTGAAACTGGTTTGGAATCTTCATTGCTTGATGTAAAAGGACTGAAACAATAAAATTAAATCTCAACTGCATTTTCCATAAAAATTTAAACTCAACTGATCACTTTATGCCTTCAAAACATAAACAATCACCTTAAAAATCAATTCTTCTACCAGGTTTTACTCATTCAAAGCAGCCTATGAAAAAAAGAGCATTATTTTGTGGGAAATACCTTCTACAGTATGTTGTGAACTAACTATGCACAGGAAATATTTCAAATAAGAACAGTACTGGCTAATTTTCTCTGCATTTTATTAAATAGAATAAAAACAAATTTCCTTTTACTTTATCTTTTCCAAAATAAATATGTGCAGACTGCCGGCATATCTGCAAATTTTTAAAATCCTTTTTCAAAATAAAGTAGCTTTGTTAAATTAGATTTTTAATTTCAGCATGAACTTTTAAAAAGATTCTTATTTTATATTATATTATTATGACTTATGCATTTGAGCTATAAAATTATTAACTAGGTGTTTAACATTTCTTTTTCTTGAAGCAGGACAAGCAATGAAACAAGAAATCACTGGCGAAGCTTTTGTCCTGTAAAAACATTCATATTATTTGTATTCATTATGATTAATCTTTGAGGGATCACTCTGCCCAATCAAAATAAAGAAAGTCCTAAACATCCTCAGTAGCAGTAGAGATATTTTTATACTTCTGCAGTTCTTTTGCTTTCCTTCTTTTGCTTGCAGTTCTTCTGCAGATATTTTTATATGTTCTGCAGTTCTTTTGCTTTCCTATTTCAATGAGTTTTCAAAATGCGTCCAGTTCAAATGATACATATGACTTAGAAATCTGCATTAAAACAAAACTGTATTTTGTAAGATGGTTTGTAAAGGAATTCAATGAGACATTCCAGGGATTTGAGGGGATATTAATTTAGTATACATTTTTCTGACTTGTTAACAAGAAGAGATTAGCATTCAAATTAAGATGTCTTAAAGCTTCTTCACACAGTTCCTTTAATACGAAGGATAGCATCGAGGAAGCATTTAATGAAACAACGAAAAATGACTAACAGACATTGGTAAACAAATAGGCAGAAGGAGATAGTGGTGTGTGCTACTTCTTAAGAAAAGGACTGTTTATTGATATATCTTTAGTTAACATGCATTCGATAAATTATAAATATGTTGATGAATCAAATGAATTTTAATTTGAAACAACTCTATAATTTACCTTGTTACTGGAGATGGTGGACCTTGCTGTGTTTCTTCAGTTATACCATAGTAATCATAAAAAAAACCCAATGCTCCAGCAGAAATGTCATCAGCATTCATCTGTAAAATCGACGAAGATCCAGAATCTGATGGTCCAAGAAATGATTTCCATGATCTCTCATCCTTAAGGACAATGGTTGATACTGGTATTTCCACTTGGCTCGCAGGAGGTGAATCTTCAGCTGAAAATGAGGTAGAACCTTTCTTTGCAGACATCCTTTGCAATTAGCTGTCTCAATTTGCTTTTGTTACAGAACAGGATATGACGATGCACTACAATGACTGTCTATCTATGAATTAAAGTCAAAAACATGAATTTTTTAGAATCTTTTAGAAGAAAAGGTAAATTACTAAAGTTGTGATGTTGTCAGTTAGATACAATGGTCAAGAGGCTTCTAGGCACATGAAAAGTGAAGAAGATTGGTGTTGAAATAGAGAAAAGGAGATGAAAGGAGATTTAAAGTACTTTCTTCTGCAATAAAAACAGAGGTTTCCAAATAAGTATCGCAGGAGTGGACCTATATTAAAAATATATATAATGTATACAGACTGTTAATGGTAGGAAAAACGCTAAAAATCAACACAGCAAATTATTTAAAAGCAATTAATTGTTTAAAACTGTTCAAGAATAGGAGAGATTCAAGAAATAAACATGAAAATAAAACCCTGTCAACAGTGATGCTTAAACAACTCAGAGACAAGGAGTACATGCTTGAAGAAAAAAGTTTTTGGAAAACAATCAAAGTGTTTGCTATTCCTTTTTGATTGAATATATATTTTGAGGTTGAAAACTTTTTCTTAAAGCTGGTTTTTCATATAAAATATTTCAAGATATTTCATTGCACAGAGTCTACAATCAATTAAAATTCTTTCCGTTATATGAAAATTGACAAAATTATATGAAAACCACCTATGGTAAATGATCTTAATAGAACATAATTCAACGTAATTAAAAAAAAGAAAACAATTTTCTTTCTCCCAACAAAATATATTGAATTACAATGAATTAAGATGAAATATGTTTTTCAGTTTTCATATACCTTTACCCATTTCGCATTTTCACAATCCAGGGCAACTGGCAAAGAAATATTGTTGGCCAATGGGTCTAGGATGGCCCTCCAAAAAATTTCAAGAACCCCATTTTAATGATTCAAAACAATCCTAAAATGGTTGACAGGCTAAGAGTAGAAATAATTTGCAAACGAATGGGATTCAAAGACAAGAAAGTTAGAACAACATGTTTTGGAACATTAATTAAATAACTTTAACTTCATATCAAAATATTTTGGATTTTCGAAAGACGGAGTCTAATTGTAATAACATTGTCAAGTTATACTCAAAAAATTTGCTGACATGGAAACAAGCTATATTTGCAAACTAGCTGTATTCTGAATGTGATTTGCAGACCTTTAAACTCATCAAATCACATCATCATAAAAGGAAATTGCAATGCAGAGTTTCTTTGAAAATCCTTCAGAACATCTTTATTCCCAACCTCTCACATTAATAGAATCAAATTACTATTAATGTGGTAGCTGTCAACAAAAAAAGTCAGCTATCACATAATTAGACCCACCAACAAGTGTCTACTCTTACGTAAAAGCATGCCACATGAATAGAAATATGATTCTATACTTGCTATGGGGTCACCTGTCTAAGAGTTGAGGCTGTCTAAAATAGGATCAACCAAAGGAAGAAAAATTACTCCAAGTAGTTTGAGCATATCAAGATGAAAGTTTCTTTTGGTGTTTCATTCATGATAATATGAAATTCATTGAACAACTGAATAAGAAGGAATGGGTAGAGAAATTACACAAAGGTCGAAATGAACACACTTTCCTTGAGCATAAAAGCAAGTTTTTACAGCTCTTAATTTTAAAAATGGTTCAAAAACAGTTTAAATAATTAAAAAACACTACAGTAGCTTAGGTTTTTTTCATTATCTCATTACCATTATCAATCTTCCGCTTTCTTTTCTTCGAAAGATAGAGTTCTATTGCCCTTTTCAAAATATTTTATCTTTCTCCCTCCGTCCATATATCAGCACTGATTCCAATACGAAGTCCCATCTCCATAACACTGTGTGATATTTGTAATATTCTATCCAACATTAACATCCTGAGAATGCTGAAAGGTCTCTCTACTGAAGATTTTAAGCAAGAGATTGCAATTCACTATCTGTCCCAGAATGCACAGGTTGGAGACTCATCTGCCCTGTAACAAGCATATTTAGCTTTCTTGCTTCTAGGAATTCTGTTCTATCCCAAACCAGTAAATGTAGCAGCTCCACTTTGTTTCGCCGTGATCAAGAGTTAAGACATCTCTTTGATCAAAACTCTAAATCACCAAGTTTTGACAGTTAATAAAGCAGCAGGTGTTGATTGCAGACTCCCCCTTGGCACCCACTTGGCACCCCCTTAGTTAAATAACTGTTATGTTAAGCAATCTTGTTGTAACTATCTTGTGAATACTTTAACAAAACCCTGGAAAACAACAGAGCTGCCTTTGAATTTGGCCCTTGCTTTAGAAATCTTTGAAACATAAGCAATTTTAAGAAATTTATGTGGCAAATTCTTTGTTTTGCACATGTGATGAATTGCACACCTTGGATAATTTTGGTTTGTGTGGAGGCATCACATGCTTCATATTACAAGGACTGGTATATAGAGTGGAATGATCAATTCTTCTAAAAACTTTCTTGTGTTGAACTTCAACTTTTAAAACCTAAAAGACAGACTCACCTGGAAATGAATTTTGTTATGCTTATTGAATTATTTTATTTCCCAAATATGAAATTTCTTTCTCCCAAAAAATCTTGTTCTATTCATTTTTCATACAAGACTATTCATACAAGACTAGAAGCAGTGCCCACAGTCTATGTCACCATCAAAACTAAAGGAAAATTGATAAAAGATACTTTAATTAGAAAGCAATATAAACTTTCCAGGGCTTTTCCATGATTTACCAACCTGCCCACGTTCTGACACCACTGTCAATTTACATGAAGCAGCAGAAAAAGTACTATGAAGGGAAAAATTAAAACTAAAACTGTGCTTTTTGCCCAGTGAAACAGGCATTTGGTTAAATGCAAATGACATCTTGCATTGGAAAAAATGTCAATACAAGATGAATTTGTTCATGATAACTATACATGGATATGAATACTAAACTATGAATACAAATCCAAAAATAGGTATTGAGGGTATTTGAGTAAATTGTAGATATCTTGATCTACAATATAAATGACAATTAACAGGTGAGCAAATTTGCTTTCATTTATCAACAGTCCACTTGGCCTTCAAGCTGGGGAATGATGCAAATGTTAGCAATTTGGTTTTTTAAAGCCAAAATACAGAAATTTGTGTTTTTCTCAAAGTAGTGTATGAAAAAGTAGATTTGGCCTTTTAGCTTAGTTTTAGTTTTTTCATCTGGAAACAATTTTTTATAATGCAATACTAATTTTAAAGTAACAATTTAGCTGTTGTTAAAGAACTGCTGGATAAAAATAAGAATATATAAATCAGAGAACCTTTTGCATTTCAATGTAGTTTCATGGCCTTTCGAGTGATGACAAGCATGTAAAACTGGAACAATTAAACTATTTTTAATGTCTGTTGCCTGAAAAATCAAGGTAAAAAGATACACTGGGCAGCCACAGGGAAAAGTTGGTGGCACAAAGGAAAAGAGTGACAGTGGAACTCTTTCTTAGACAAGTTAATCCAATTATTAATGAATGGTTGATAGCTATGGTGATCTGCTATACATATCCCTTGGCCAATGTCACCAGTATTGTGAGTGTTTGATTTTGAAATGTATGAACTGTAAGCAAGACATGTCAGACAGACAGAAAGCTGACCATAAGTGTAATCAGCAGAGGGGATCAAAAAGTTAGCTGCTAATAAATAACAAGAGGATTTTAAGACAACCCTTTAACAAAATGGAAACTTTCAAGTGGGATAGGAAAAACAACAGATCCAGCTTTTTACACAAACTGTTTTACAATGGACATACAGCAAAGTAATAAAAGAAAAAATTCATGCTTTTGAAATGTGGTGCTACAGGAGAATTCTGAAAATAAGCTGGACTGAAAAAGCAACCAACAAAAAAGTGTTAGAAACAATTGCACATCAGAGAGTTTTAGTCAACGAAATGATAAAAAGAAAAATGAGATTTGCTGGCGACATTATGAGGGGATCATCTGGGTTCTTGGCAAGGCTTGCTTTGGAAGGTATGATTGACGGAAAAAGAGACAGGGGAAGACAAAGAAGGAATATGGGTAGACGATGTCAAGGAATGGAGCCAGTGTGAGAGCATTGGGAGAGCTAAATGATCTTCTGAGGATAGGGATAGTTGGAGGGTCATGGTAGCCAACCTTCTGATAGAAGATGATAGAAGGTGATGATGATGATATATATAAGTACAAATGTGCAACATGCTTTAAAGTAAAGCTTTAATAATTTGAGTGTGAATCAATTTTGTATGCTTTGATTCATTTTCAGGAAAAGTAGATATATTTTATCAATACCTACATTTGTATTTAAGTGCACTATTCAGAGCTAAAGCTTTAATTTGCTTGTACCCAAGAGTACCACAAAATCCTGATGGGAAAGTAAAGGACGTTAAAAACCACAGATTCTGTACGATATAATTTATTAGAAACTATTCAGAGAGATTTTATGGAAACTACATAATGTTTTGTGCCATGATTATGGAGGGGCTGACAAAATTGCGTGAGGAAAACTTTAGAGCTTTAGCCGCAAAGAAATCACGCGAAATGTGCACCAAAATAAAGAATAAGGAAAAAACAAAGCTACTAAAAGTAAAATTAATAAGCATATAAGCCCGCTGTCAAAATATATCTAGACTGATTAATTACAGTGTCAGTGTGCGTGATCCGTTTCGCTCCAGTGTATACCTTCTTTGTAGCCCTAATAAACATCGATCTTGGCCATATTACTCATATTAGCGAGAGAGCGTGGAGCTGTGCTCTTTATTGTCTTTGATGAGAGCTTTCAGCGAACGCAACGCGAAAAATCAGTTAAGATACGAAAATCGTAGGCATTGGGTCTTACTTGGAAAGAAAAAATATCAAAACAACAAACCACAAGCTATCGCCTCGAAAGTCCTACTTTTGGCATGGTGGTTTCTACCGGCCTAACGATTAGAACGATGAAAACTTTTGAGGCTTTTGCTGCACTGTCAAGATAAATGAGGAAGATACCCACCCTTCATGCCTTTCTCCACACAAAAACATCCCTGAGGTTAAAGGCTTGTAGTTTTCATGCAATCAACAAACACTCAATTAATTGAATTCAGCCTCTTCACAAGATGGAAGCGCTCTCATGTTTACGATGTCGATGACTAAACGAGCTGACGAGCATGCGTATTATGTCGTTGTACCAACCTCCAAACAGGGGGCTAATTTGGCGGGTAACAGGTGTTGAATGGAGGTCCATACCTAATTTTTTAAAGAAATTATACTGCACATTTTTATGAGATTATATGGTAATTGTGGGACCCTTAAGAAATCTTTGCTGGCCGCGCCCTTTGTATTCGCTATTATGCGAACAACGCCATTTTGCAACAAAAATACTAGGCTAAAAGAAAAATTCATTAGTGATTTATATTTATATCGCTATTGATATCTCAACTAAAACAGATCCTGATACAAGAGGTCGAGCAACTACAGTTTTCACAAGTCGTTCAAAATGTCAAAAATTATTTCCATTATTTACTGCATCTTTCTGCTCAGTTTTATTGTCTTTTTCGGTGGGAAATTAATTTTTGGCATAATTCGATGGAAAGGTCGGCTAGCCTTTGTGCAATTGAAATTGCATTGAAAACATGCAAGCAGCTTTGATTACATCATCTATTGATTTCATCAGCAATTGGATCCACTGCCTCCTTTCTCGGTAGCTCAGGCTATCAGTATGTTCAGGCTATCAAATTTCTCTTTTATATCCCAAAAACTTTGAAGTACCTTGTCCTTGCAGGACATTGAATTTCATTGATCTCTACAACTCTCTAATGCTTGATTATTTGATCTATCTACTATATAATGCTTGATTATTTGATCTATTTATTTAGGTATATTTCTATCATTTGTCCATTATTTGCATCGATTTAGTAGATAATTTTCTGTATCATTGCCTGCATTTTGGATGTGCAAACATGGCCTACTGAAAACACTCGAGGCAAAGAAGATGCACATTTCTGTACAGGAAGTAAAATTCTCTCAATCAATACAACAGCTTCTTGTTCGATTTGCACTCTAAACCAAAGGTCACCCTTTCTTTCTTACCTCAACGTCTATCACTAGAGTTCTAGCTAATGCTTTTCTGAGAATCGTCGAATTGTCTCTTTCGAGCGGTATAGTGATTTGGTAAGTTTTAGTCTAATCAGGGGCGCCTACACAGGGGGGGAGGGTGGAGGACAGGCAGTGCTTGAGAAAGACTGCACTGTGCCTCGTTATATGTTTCATTGGATTGTTAGTATTAGAGTTCGCGGAGAACCGTCGTTGTTTATGTTAGCTGTTTAGTTAAAGTTTAGACTTGGGATGTTATAAGATGGAAATGGAAAGGAAAAGTATAGGCGCTCGCAAGAAGCCGTCATTCTTTAAAGTATCAGTCTTCGGATCATCTCTCGCGATTTTAAGCCTCCACGTTACAATGGTAAAAAACCCAGCTGTATGGGTTACTCCAACCTCGCCCCCCTCCCACCTAGGAATACTTGATTATCTTAGTAGAAAAATTTCACGATTTGCCCTCGGCACCAACACTGTCCCTCCTGCCCTTATCTTTTGCAGGCGTCCCTGAGTCTAATCAATGCACAAATTGGCTATCACTTCACCTAAGGGTCCTAATAATGTTTGATATGAACGGTGTGAATGAGAATAATAACTAGTAAGATATGATTTGTAATGAAAACATTTTATAACATAGCAATTGACAAAAAAGCTTAAAAGCCAATTAAATGAATGAAGAGGTACCTCACAAAGTAGGTGTTCGCTCTCAGAAGGTAAAATTTTTGATGATACATTCTCTGTGTCTCCAGGAGCGGGCATTAGAACAGTGATTATGAAATTTTTAAAACATGCAAACCTATTTATTATCAAATTCAAATATCTCAAGAAAGAGGAAGGACTAGAAATTATGAAAATTACATTTTCTTTCAAAAAAATTCGCAAATGTTTTCATTTACTTTATTGGTCTAATCCTTTTTCACGCTTCTTTCTTGAAAATCAAATCTTCCGCAGAGATTCAAAATGAATTTTAGAAATCTAGGTTGTTCACCCTGAAAAGGCACAGTGAAAAGAACAATGACATCACAACTTTTCTCTTCCAAATCCTTTTTTCTTGGATTTTGATTGAATATGCTATTTTTCGATTGAATTGCTATTCTCATGAATGCAAAATAGGTGATATTGCAGTTCCGCACTTCTCAGCGTGTGGTTACAAACATACGGATAGGCTTTGGGTACGGATCAGCGTCCAAGAGAGGTGAAACTGCATTAGCGCCTCTAATATATTAACACTTGAAATTTGTTTTGCCCTAATTAGGTATTAATCGCCTGGACTACAATAAATGGCGGACTGGTAGGGATGCTATGTTGCGATCGCAACCAGAACCCCCTCAATTTCGTATGAACCGGGCCCTTCGAAGACAAATCAAAGAAAATAACATAAATGATTTGTAAATCTTCGTTATTGAGGAGAATAAAAGTCACAGAATATAAATTTGTTAGAAAGAAGACATTTCAATGTTGCTTAGCCTTAGGACACATCATCAGTTTTTCCTGATAGCTCCCAGTGTTCTTCTTTTCTCGACAAAAATTGATCATTATCTCGCGCATGTATATTAATTCATCCGGACAGCCCACTGGTCTGTTTCATACTCGATTTCCCGCTAACTGATATCGTTACATTTCTGCCAATCCGTTGACTCCATTCGTTGAAAATAACTAAAAACCAGTGCCTCGATTGCAATTTCTAGAAGCTCAATTTCTTTTTGATGATAAAAATTCATCTAAGTGAAATAATCTGGGGGAATGGTTAGTAATATGTAATTCAAAGGATTGATTCGCTCAGTCAACACGGGCCAATTTTTTCTGAATCAATAACCCAAGAAATTTGCTGCAAGTCCAGTCCACCACTCCTATATATAATAGCATAAAAATTTGGTTTATCCTAAGAAATTTGGAGGGGTGAAGAATACTTCCCTCGTCTCTATCCTCATTTTGATTTGTTGGGCTCTGGTACTCAGGGTATTGAAGCAGAAGCCACACAACGATACCCCAAATTTTTGACAAACGGAACGTAAGCAAAGGTAGGTATCCTGTCGCTGTGTACGAAGATTATTGGTACTCTTAAGATGCTGTTGAAGACAGTTATGAATACGTCGAAATAAGTAAATTTTCTTCGTACACAAAAATTCGTTTATTTGTTGCTATAAAAATAAAAGAGATGCGGTGAATTTCTTCATTGACAGGTCCGTCTAGAGTCAATGATGAACTTTATCTGCCTTCTTTGTTTTTGGCTTAGGCATAGACACTAGAAGTTAAGTCACTAGAAGTTAAGTCTTGTAAGTATGTCTCAGGACACTAGAAGTTAAGTCACTAGAAGTTAAGTCTTGTAAGTATGTCTCAGGACACTAGAAGTTAAGTCACTAGAAGTTAAGTCTTGTAAGTATGTCTCAGGACACTAGAAGTTAAGTCACTAGAAGTTAAGTCTTGTAAGTATGTCTCAGGACACTAGAAGTTAAGTCACTAGAAGTTAAGTCTTGTAAGTATGTCTCAGGACACTAGAAGTTAAGTCACTAGAAGTTAAGTCTTGTAAGTATGTCTCAGGACACTAGAAGTTAAGTCACTAGAAGTTAAGTCTTGTAAGTATGTCTCAGGACACTAGAAGTTAAGTCACTAGAAGTTAAGTCTTGTAAGTATGTCTCAGGACACTAGAAGTTAAGTCACTAGAAGTTAAGTCTTGTAAGTATGTCTCAGGACACTAGAAGTTAAGTCACTAGAAGTTAAGTCTTGTAAGTATGTCTCAGGACACTAGAAGTTAAGTCTTGTAAAGCTAGGAAGGGCAGAGTTAGAGAGGGAAACTGGTTCCTAGAAAAAGAGGGTCTCCTCTGCAAGTTCTTAAGACTTAAGAGGGAACCAGTAAAAAAATGAGCGCTTTACTTAAAAGAGGACGTACCTCCCTTGACTCCGGTTCGCTAACCCCTACGTTTCCTGTTTCATGTGTTACGTTCTTTTGAATAACTACAGTAGAATCCCGTTATAACGTACCCAGTTATTACATACTTTCGGATATAACGTACTGGTGTGCTTGGTCCCGGCAAAAGATGTGCTTGGTTTTAGTCAATTTTTACTTACCCTCGTTATAACGTACTTCGGATATAACGTACTTAATACACTGGTCCCTTAAAGTACGTCATAACCGGATTATACTGTACTTTTCTGCTGGTTATTTTTCAGTTTGTTAAGCTATTAGCCTAAGTTCCAGACCCCTGACTATAAGTATCGGTAGTAAGTAAGGCTCGGGCTATTAAACTATTAGATAGCTTGTCTGTAAAAGTCCTCTACAGAGCTTTTGCTTTTTGAAGTCAAACCATAAAAGGTGCGTAATGTGGCTTTATTTTAGTTCTATTAACAGTATTACCTGGATGCATTTAGGATTCAGTTTGGATTTCCAGTAATTAGAGTGCGCGCGGAGGTAGCTTCAAGGTAGGCGCATAGGACCCTTACATGCGAAGAAAAACATGACAAAATTGACAATTCCAACACATTTTTACCAGTCAAAACATTTTTGCCACTATATCCGTATCTTAAATTACATAATGCCACAAAGGGTCAATTGTTTCTTCTAAAAGCTGTCCCAACTTCCCTTCTGGCAATGAGACAATAGTTTTCTGGATCGTTGGCTTGCCTTGCGTAGCAAAATTCTTCGTACACAAAAATGACGTAACAGCACGTAGCAGTCACACATTCACGCATGCGTCATAATTATTTTGGTTTCCAATGGAGGAACTGAGGCAATGAAGTCTTGAAAGCAAATGAAAGATCTAAGGATTGTTAACTTTAAATTCAAATACTTCTAGAGATGATTCACTTGTAAATATGCAGGCGATAACCTTAACTGGCAACAACACAATGGCGCTGTCAACGTCAGGACGCATTTTGACGAGCACTTCTCCGATTCCGGGCCTAAATAAAGCGGCTTCAAGTGGTACAAGCAACAGTGACTCAGACTTTTATAAGGGACTTGGGCTTGCGCTCAGTTCTTGTTTGTTCATTGGAACTAGCTTCATCGTCAAGAAGAAAGGGCTGCTCAGAGTGGCAAGTGGCTCAGGAAGTAGAGCAGGTTATAATTTGACCCTTTCAAAATATTGTTTTCGTATATTAGTAACCAACAAGTAATTAAAATATAAATACCTATTCATTATTCAAGCTAAATGAATAAAATGTAGCCTAGAAAACCAGCAAAAATACGAGACCATTGCAATTTCAATGTGATAACCCTATGCATTTTATAAAAAATCCCCCACAAACATAATTTTTTGTTTTTTCAAGAAATGGCTTAAAAATGCTTATTTCTTGCAAGCTCAGTGACAATATTGCAACATAATATAAGTACATATTTGCAAATTCAGTTTTCAGATTCATGTATGCACTCAGTGATTTCTAAAGGGCACAATGTTCGATTGAAGGTTTTGTGCAATTTAAATAACATTTAAGAATGGCCAAACATAACTATCAATGTAGTGAAGATTCAACAATACAAAACCAATTATATTATGCATTGTAATTTTGAATATGTAATTACCAAGACACTGCTCAATAAGCACAGTTTTCATTGATTTAAATGCTACCTTTTTCCAACTAGGTAGTAGCAAAGACAAATATGCACAAATCTGATTTTGTGTATGATTTTTTCATGAATCATTCTTTTTACTATACTACTGAAATTCTAACTACCCAAGGCGAAAAATTTTAATTCATGAAATTTGACAGATGGAATTAACATTTTTATACAGTTTAGGGAAATATGATCAGGCCTTGAAAAAAAATTTTTTCTTCCTGGCAGCAAAATAAAAAATTCAAGATTTCCTGTGAAGCTTCGAGAAAGTTTCCAGCCACTGAAATTGATATTTCAAGTTGCTTGATATGTTTTAAAGTTTGTCCTAAAAATAAACTATCACACTAAAAAGAACTAATTGTTGGTCCTGCAGTTTTTATCATAGTTATATTCAGAGAACGTGATCAAGCACGATACTCATAGTTTGTTTACAAGGTAAAATAAAGTAGATCTGAAAATCTATAATAACTTTGATTAAATTTCATATCAGTACTAGCAAACTAGATACTTTATAAGTATTGATATATCTATACATCTTGCTCTGGGTGGGTTTATCATCAAAGCTAGTAGTTCATACAACATGTAAAAATACTGTTTTATTTTTCAATGGTTAAAATAAATGTTTTAAATCAGGGGTGGTGCTAGAGGCAAAGATTTAAGACCAAAACGCTTACATTCTATAAAGCAAGTGATGAAAAATATATGCCAATGCCAGTAGAAAAATACGAATAATAATGGACACATCCACACAGGTTTGGGGCATGCTCACCTTCAAAACAATTGACGTAACAAGATTGGTTGTCTTTAAGTGTTTTTACATATTTAGAATGGCTAATGATGTAAAAAAGGAATGAACTTTGTTTTAGCTTGCTGGAATTAAATAAGTAGCTGAAAATCATGCACGGAAATTTGGCATAACAGATGCTTATAATAATACCAGATGATTGAAAGCTAATCTTCATTTTTTGTTAGTAGTACAGAACAAAAATTATACAGTATGTATGTATATCACATGAAAACAGCATTCCGTAGAAATATTGTGCTCATATACATGAATTTAATGTTCATATTGAAATCAAGCAATGGAGATTTCACGCTAAAAATTTCCTGGCAAACATCAACAATTTCCTGCAATGAATTTGTGCCAAAAATTTCCTGGCAGCCCTGAATATGATAAGTAAATTTTAAAGCCTCTTAGCGAGGTTAATAAAGTTTTGAATGGTAAACAAGTGTCAGTTACAATATTGCATTACTTTTTACCCACAACTAGCAAAATTTATCCAGGTAACTTGTTTATGTTTTTCAGCCTGAAAGTTTACTCATTTCTGTGTTTATAAAAAAGAAAGCCATGTTTTCTGTCATAAATGTTTATACTGTACCTAGATTTTCTTAATTCATTTTAGGTCAAGGTGGATTTGCATATCTGAAGGAATGGATGTGGTGGACTGGAATGATAACAAGTAGGTCAAAATTTTGATACCAGAATAAATTGATATCGGCCTGGCATTTTTGGTATGTAAGGATGCCTATCATTTAGCTACATGTTTAAAGGAATCATTTACATTTTAAAGAAAGTATTACATTGGGAAGTTTTTAACAGAAAGAACATTGTCTTGTCTGAACACATAATTTGATATAGAAATATATGCTCCTTTCTAAGCTTATAAGACATACACTTCAAGTTGAGAAAGAGGGACAAAATGGCTCTTCTTAAATTTTCATTCATCTTGTAAAAGTTATGGCCTTGTATGAAAAATTGAGTCACAGGCCTTGCCCAGAAAGACGCTCCTGAAGCAAGCATACCTTAAAAAACCATGGAGAGCCACTTAATGAGCACCTGAAAACATAAATTGATATTGCCGGGAAGAAAAATAATGAAAAAATAGTCTTTCATGGATTCACATATCCTAAACATCTTTTGAAATGGTTCAACTTATTTTTAAATTGGATTACATGAAAAATGAGATTGCATGAATTTGAAGCCCTTTTTACACAGAGTGATTTTCAAATATTTGCGTCTGCATTGGGTATTGAGATGGAAAAGGATTCTATAACTTTTTCCCCATCCATATGGTATATTATTTGCTTATTTGCCATCATGTACTCCACATATCCTCTAGCAGACTTCAACAGTTAAAAGTATCTAATTGTAAGTTGAATTTGACATTTTTGGCCATGCAAAAGTCCAGAAACTCTTGAGACCTAAATTTGCACAGAATATAAAAAATGACAAAGCAAAATAGTTTTATACAATATTCTCAGATGCACCCAAAACATAACACTACTGTCAAATATTTTTTTAATAGTGTCATGATTGCAAAAATTTCATTGGTGACTCAAGTGTTTTCCTTTTCAGTGATTGTTGGTGAGGCAGCCAATTTCTCTGCATATGCATTTGCCCCAGCCATTTTGGTAACTCCATTAGGAGCTCTTAGTGTTTTAGTAAGGTAAGCCTTCCCACTGAGGTTTTCACATTTATTATCATATAATCATGCATTATTCTATAGAACACATAATGCAAGATAAAGCCATAGGTACTACATGGCAAATTTTACAGTTGGTATTGTATGATTCGCCAAAAGTGTTAGTGAGAATCTTGGATTCTCAGTGTGATTGATATTGGCTGCTAATGGAGATCAAGGAAAGGATAAAGGTTCTACCATGTTACTGACCCTTCCATTTAGTATTTCAAAGATCTCTAATGCAACAGTCAAAGCTGGCACTCAAATTTTCCTTGGTATAAGAAACTCAAAGCAAACTTTAAATGTTTTCAAGAACAAAGTGCAGTATAGGGAACACAAAAGATTTTTATAATGACACCTAGAAAATAGTTTACTTTGTTTTTTTAGCTTATGTATATAGCAGGAGTGCAAGGTGATGGGTGGGTGGGATTCTTGGTTTGCAGGCGGGCAGCTGTGACCTGCTGTCCTTTGGCTTTGGCTGTCCCGATAGTTGAGAGGAGCAGTAGTTTTGTCTAAGGACCAATAGGATTGCCCCTTTGTCAAATTTTCTGAATCATTACCAATATTGTAGCACCATCTCTAGTTCAATAGGAGTTTAGAACTCTGTTGTATTTACATCCTTTGATAGCCGTTTTATTGGCTGTTTGGACATTTTTGTTGTCTCTGGTTGTTGTTGGGGTGGAAAATGTGGCTAGGGGCAGTAGCTGTCTGTCTGTGGGTTGGGGGTTCTGTTTGCTTGTTTCCTTGCGCTTGTGTCATATTTATATATATATATATATTTGTTAAATGTATTTTTTTTCTTAAGACACTGACGTTATGCTTTTTTTAGAAGGCACTCAGTATATTGGTAGATGTAGATCCATTGTCTCTCTTGGTTTTTCTATGACCAAGTGTTTTTCTTGAAGAAGTGTTTTGTTTAATGAATCATTATATTGCAGATTTTTATAAATTTGAAATTTTAGTGCAATACTGGCATCGTATCTGCTCGATGAAAAGCTGAATTTATATGGAAAGATTGGCTGTTTTTTATGCATACTTGGATCAACAATTCTAATTATTCATGCTCCTCAAGAGGAGAATGTATCCACCATGGAGGAGCTTTCTGTAAAGCTAAGAGATCCTGGTAAGCAATACCAGCAAATAGTAGCTGGATACCTTCTCATTCTATGATATAGATTTATAAAAGCTGGATCAAGCAAAATCAATTTTCTAGCAGCTACATGAATCCCTTCATGACAAACATTTTGTTTGCATCTGGAAACCTATCAAGTCGATCTTAGTATACTTTATCTAATACTATGAATATTAAAAAAGGTTTCCTTTTAAGGATCTAGTCAAAAATGTTTTCTTGTCTTGAAAAGCAGAAATTTCCTTTTATATGGAGCCGCAGTTTACTTGTCTGGCTTTACAAGGAGAGTTTATATGTTTTAAAAATATGGGTGTGTATGCAGGGCCCACAGACCCTATTTTGGATCAGAAGAAGGGTTAAAAAGCTTTGAAAAATTTTCTGAGAGCTTCAAGTAATTTTAAATCTGTGGTTTTTAGAGAGTTTATTTTGTTTATTGGTAGACATAGACATAGAGGTAGTAGTGTTTTGTTGATCTGATTTGCAACTTTTTTTTAGATTTTAGGAAGCTATATACTGAAGCTGTTTTGCCCTTTGCTCTAATCAACTACAGAGTTAGCTTACTGTTTAATCATATTTAGCCAATATTGTAGAAAATATCATACAAAATATTGTTCCATTTTCCAGGTTTCATCTCATATACAGTTCTTGCAATTGGTGCTGCAATGTTCCTTATCATAAAGATTTCGCCAAAATACGGGAGAGAAAACATCATGGTGTACATAGCAATATGTTCCCTGATTGGTTCCTTAACAGTCATGGCATGCAAGGGGCTTGGCATTGTTCTGAAGCGAACTTTTGCTGGCTACAGTGAGCTGGCCAATCCAGTTTCGTGGATGCTTCTCATATCCTGCGTTGCCTGTGTTCTTACCCAGATGGTTTATCTCAACAAGGCCTTAGATATTTTCAACACCTCTATTGTGACACCAATTTACTACGTTATGTTTACAACATGTACAATTTCTGCGTCAGCAATACTTTTCAAAGAGTGGGAAAACCTTGGTTCAAGAGATGTTCTTGGCGCGCTCTGTGGTTTTCTAACAATAATTGTTGGTGTATTTTTGTTACATGCCTTCAGGGAATTCAGGTTTTCTCTGAGAGAACTTTTTTCAATAGCAAGTAGCAACAGTAATGGTGTACGTAGAATGGAAGGGGAACAGAAAGTGTTGATGTCAGAGCTGCAGGACAATGAAAGTGATGAAGAAATAGAGTTCATATCTACAAATAATCTTAACAGTAATCACATTAATAATGACAGAATAAGTCACACATTTTGAAGTATTTCTAGTAGAGTTAATCCAACCGGATTTTAGGTATCGATTTCTAACGATGCGTTATTTAATTCTGAAAGATGTGTGTTTACACAGTAGTTAAACTAACTTTTTTGTTAACTATGATATTGTCGATGGGATCTTCAGATCTTTAAAGCTATGATAATCTTCAAAGCTATGATAATCTTTAAACTCTTTCAATCAATGCCTTTCAAGGAGTTTGTATATGACAACATTTTAACCTTCACATCTTACCAGAAAATATTCAGCAAATACAATAGTGGTTATCTGCCTCAAAGTTTTAGAAAGTCATACAATTTACTTTGTGGCATAAACTTTGTATCCTCGAGAACCTTCGTAAATTTGTACTATGTTTTATAAGATTTAGCAACCGTCTGTTAATCCGACTAAAAAGCTCTTTACAACTTGCTGTAAATAGTAATTTTCATTGCTCTTAGCAGGAAAATTTGTAATTACGTCTGTTTTTTTCTGTTAAACTCCTTGGCTGTGGGTCACTGACATCAATCACCCGCATGTAAATTTGTAGTGTGAAGCAAAGAAAACCACAGACACCTGTCGGCTGTTTGTCGATTTCACCACATATCAGGGCTCATCAGTATAGCTAGACTGAATGAGGACCCAATGCTGACCTAGGGCCAGCAATTAGGCTGTCAGTGACAATACATGTGCGAGGTAGTGTAAAAAGGAAAAGAAGTACGTCTTAGAGACTCAACAGCCTCTTTAAGCAATTTCACCAAGCACCTCAAGGCAGTGCTGAGGTTTTGGCAGACTGAACTGGCACCCCAAAGAGTCGGCTGTAGACCGGTTTCGCCCCATATCAGGGATCATCAGTATAGCTAGACTGAATGAGAACCTAAAGCCGACCTAGGGCCAGCAATTAGGCTGTCAGTGAAAATACATGTGCGAGGTAGTGTAAAAAGGAAAAGAAGTACGTCTTAAGAGACTCAACAGCCTCTTTAAGCAATTTCACCAAGCACCTCAAGGCAGTGCTAAGGTTTTGGCGGACTGAACTGGCACCCCAAAGAGTCGGCTGTAGACCAGTTTCGCCCCATATCAGGGATCATCAGTATAGCTAGACTGAATGAGGACCTAAAGCCGACCTAAGGCCAGCAATTAGGCTGTCAGCAGCACTTGTGGTACGGGGGCGCTGTAGCCCTAACACTTTGTCCGTTGGCACATGAAGGATTGTTGCCGGGCAAAAGAAAAAATTATTTTCTCAAACAGTTGGAACGTATTGATATTGGTGTAGTAGTTAACCTTTCAAATTATGACACTATAAAGTATGGATTTTGAAACAGAAAAGCATAAAAGCAGCATATAAGATTGTTTATCTTATGACCACACCCTAAAAAATGTAAGACACTCCCTTTTTGTCGACAAAATCATTTAGTTTGTGATAGGGCTTTTTGCCAAACGAATCCACCCTATCGTTACCGTCGATATAAACTAGTCCTTCAATAAGAATTGAGACAAAGAGACAAATAAATAATGTTTCAAACGTCCATCTTCTGATCATGTGATCTTTCCGCGAAGGTTATAACCTTCACAATGTTTCTCTACGGTTGTCCCGTAACGTCGGTCGTTCTCTTAATAACAGGCACAGTCTTTCATAAGCACTGTCCATTCAAACTATACGATAATAATGCACAATCAATGAATCGTCACGAGCGATTCCATAAATCCAAATACATACTCTATCAATCCATACTCCATGTCGACAAGATCTTTTACAAGCATCTCGCCACATTAATTAATCACCGAGAACCTAAACATACATAATATCAAACCTTAACCCTATCGCTCTTAACCATCAATCTCACTAACTCTGTAAAATAACACGCCCAAAATATAACCTAAACAAGAACTAATTGAAATACTACATAGCTAGGTATTTACAAAATAATAGTGATTGCAAAAGATACTACTCCCAAGATTAATTAGATAAACTGAATAAAGATACAAAAATCCCAAATGAAATAATTAATGAACCTAAATGTGCAATTAGATAACAAAAGGAATTATAAACAATCGAATGTGCAAAGGTGTTAAATAACTAAGGTTGCAAAACAAACGAAATCCAAACTAGCACTATTACAAGTGCCCGGAAATCATAGTCCTCCGAAAAATGGTTTTTGGTTTCGCTCCTGAATCTGACATTCACGCCTTTCAGAGCTATGCAGCAAAATGATAGTAAATCAAACTTGTTGAAAAAAAACAAGTTGGCCAGCTCACCAGGGTTAAAAAATGTTAGATTAAAAGAAAGTGGAGTTATGATTGAATGCTGAAATGGAGCTGAATGTCTTTCTTTCCTTAACAACATTAGGCATATAGTCCCTTGATCCTGTTTTGCTGTGTATTGCAACGGAATCTTTTTCTTTGTGATCTTTATGATATGCCCAAATATAATCGGGTGGATTTTGTCGAGACCGGACAGAAGAAAAATTGAAGATTTTTCTCAAAGATGTCTCTAAATCAAATTGTGATTTAGATGACATCATGTCTCTAAATCAAATATCTTGCTTATAAGTTGTCGTAAAGCTGATAGAACTATAAAATTACAAATAAATGACAGAGATCTCAAACAAGAGAATTATACGAAATATCTTGGATTATAATTGATAATAAACTAAATTGGAAGCTACACATAAAACAGATACATTTAAAACTATCCAACGTTATTGGAGTGCTTTATAAATTAAGACATTTGGTACCAAAAAACTCTCTTAAGACTTTATACTCCTCGTTTATTCGATCTCATGTACTCTATGGTATATTAAATTGGGATTGTGCAAATAAAACTACCCTGGAATCTTTAAAACCTATCTTGCGTTCACTGCACATAGTGAACCTATTTCTAAACGCCTAGAAATACTAAACTTTGAAAAACTTCACATGCTTTAAACAGCAAAAATGATGCTCCAAGTTAACACTAGCGGAACTTCTATCAAAGGCGAGCTTTTAAAAACAAAAAATGTTCATAAGAATAATACAAGACAGTCTTATTCTGGAGGATTTTCTCTTCCAGCAATCTCTACAAACTTAAAAAAAAATTCTTACTTTCGATGGTATCAAATTATGGAACTCTCCCCATAAAATTGAAAAAGATGCATAACAAACATTATTTTATTAAGCAGATGAAACATTTTCTCCTGGACTAATTTTAGAACTGCAAACTTGACTATTCTATAATTGCATTCAGTATTATCCATGATCATTATTATTATTACTATATCATTATATTTTTTATGATTTATTTCTTACTGTTTTTTTTCAAACTTGAAATTGTAATGTAAAACAGGTAAAACTGGACACATGGCTCGATAGCTTGACAGAACACCATTTCTAGAAGCAAACTTTGGACTCCAGGAACTATAGAAGGAACTGAAACAGCCCAAAATTATTTCCACTTTTAAACTGGAAATAGATTTTTTAGTTCCTTATTTAGGAAGTTGGAATGCTTTTAATGCCCAAGGCAGTTGGAAAGGTGCTGCTCTGCTATGCTGATGGCCTACATATGTAATGCCTGCCAAAAGTACTTGGAACACCCAGCAATTAACGCTGCATTTGATATCTTTCATTCCTTTCATGAAAAAAAATTGCTACTTCCGCCTCCTTCACCCTAAAACAATGTTGATGATTAAGAAAAATATCATAAAAGAAGCGCAAAAGAAAGTGCTTCCTAAAATCCTAACCCGTTTGATAGTAAACCAACATTGTTCTGTAGGGGAGAGGGGGATGATTCATTTTGACCTTGGAAATTGATGTCAGTGTTCCAAGACTTTTGGCAGGCATTGTACATATGCAAGGAAGATACCACAACCTTTCTTTATTACAAAAACTCAACACGGATGTATTTTGATATTGTACTCTTCTCTTTTTGAAAGCAAAAATGAAAGTATGTGATCTATTCTCACACAGTAGATATTTCAAATTAAGTTGTCATTTACAAAAATGGGGGATCTCTCCTTAGTGTCCCCATCTTACTTTATCAATATATCAAGATTGACTTTATCAATACATCAACATTGACTTTATCAATAAATCAATATTACTTTATCAATATAACACAGTCATTAAATATTCCTAAATACCTGCCACAAAAAGAGAACTACGCACCTCCTAATAGCAACGCACAGGCAGAAAGCTATCATTCTACATTAGATAATATTATGCAAGCATATAAGCACTAGCCTAGTATCATTGCTATTGAGAGGCAAATAAATCACCAAACTCTCTTCAGCTTTGAGCCTGTATCCATACAAACAATTGTTCAAGAAATAAACTCTTTAGATTCGAAGAAGGCAACTGGCCCTGATGGTATAACATCTAAAGTCATCAAAGCATCAGTGGAAGAACTTTCTGAAACATTACAAATTCTCTTTAACCACACTGTCAAAACGAGTGAATTTCCCAGTGCAATGAAACAAGCAGATGTATCACCAGTATTTAAGAAATAAAATTCAAATGATAAAAAGAACTACAGGCCAGTAAGTGTTTTTCCTTCACGGTCTAAAATGTATGAAAGAATAATGTATAATCAGATATTCTCATTCATTAAAATGAAATTATGCCCTCTTTTATGTGGATTCCAAAAAAAATATGGTACACAACATGCATTGAATACGCTGGGTTGAAAACTTAAAAATTTATCTAGACGATAAGAAAAAAGCAGGTATAATAATGATGTATTTATTCAGAGCATTTGATTGCCTCTCACATGACCTCTTAATTGCTAAACTTCATGCGTATGGGAACAGCAAACAATCTCTGATGTTATTACAAAATTACCTAAAGAAGAGGACACAAAGAGTGAAAATTAATTCTCAAACAAGCCGTGGAAAAATGTTACAGAAGGAGTCCTACAGGGATCAGTTCTCGGCACCATATTATTTAACATTTTTTTAAATGATATTTTCTATTTCATGACTACAGAAAATCTTTGTAACTATGCAGATGACAATACAATATGGACAGTAGGTAAAAATGTTGATGATATAATATAAAAATTAGAAACAGAAGTAGCAACTCTAAATTAATGGTTTAAGGATAATTCATTGTTACTAAATGAAGACAAATGAAACTTTATGATATTTGAACATAAACAGACCAGAACTGAAAATTCAATATTAAAATAGGAAATGCCACAATCGAAGAGACGAAAAAAGCTAAACTACTTGGAATAACTTCAGACAGCAAACTAAACTTTGAAGAACATATAAAAAACTTATGTAAAGAAGCAGGTAAAAAGATAAATGCCCTAGTCAGAATAGCCCCTTATATGAATGAATATAAAAGATCACTATTGGTGAAAACCTTTATACTTGGTCACTTTAACTATTACCCTTTTTTATTGCAGTATTGTAGCCGCAAATCTGGAAAAGCTATTGAAAGTATCCATAAAAGAGCACTGAGAGTGGCCTACAACGATTTTGAATCAAGTTTTGAAAATATTCTCTCACAAAAAAATGATGTCAGGATACATCAAAAGAACCTACAACTACTAGCAATAGAAATATACAAAACAGTAAATAACTTAAATCCAGTATTTATGAGAGAGATATTTCAGTTGAATGAACTTGCATATAATTTACGAAATCAATCGTTTATTTAAAAAAAGCCGAACACTGTTGCTTATGGGCTAGATACAATATCCTATAGATGTACTGAATTGTGGAATTCTATACCGTTAGATATTCGATCGACAGAAAATTGTAAAGTATTCAAAGCTAAAATTAAACAGACGGATCTTACTTGCTCGTGGAGACTATGCACACCATATATTTCTAATATTGGATACTTGTAAACATCGCAATTTTTCTCAATTATATTTGTTATTGTTACAAGTTTGTGTTAATTAGATGTTTATTAGCTAGTATTTTGTAAACCAACATTAAATAAAGTGAATAAAAAAAATCTCAAGTCGAGTTTACCTTTTAAAATACATGTTACATATGACATATGGCCATCAATTCGTCGTCATCATAAACGATAAATTGGTCGTTATAGCTGGCTCAAGCGAATCTGGTTATATGTTAGCCCTTAGATTGTGTGAGAAAAAGAAGTGGAAAAAGTAATTATGAATAATCTGAAAGTAAACCCTACAAATTTGCAGTTGCAACTTGAAAATTTTTCAACCAGGGGTAGCGCCCTTTATAGCGGAAAGAATAAACAAATTTTGGAATTATCGGCAAAAAATTACGAAAGTTTTAACTTAATACAACAAGATTAAACTACTAGCATTTTACCGTAACAAGTGTTCAATTCAAAACTGGCCATTGCCGCTCACTGGGTATTGAATTCACTAAAAACCGCTCACCACCGATTTTTCAATTACCGAAATGCCGCCCAGTTTGAGAAAGATTACCGAATTACCGACAGATAAAAAGACAAATACCGCAATAACGTCAGCCCCAAAGACCCCCCTCCCCCTTCTCTAAATAGGTATTGCATGGTCAACAGCATCAAAGCATCAACAGTTTTAACAACGAAAATAGAACCAAACCCTGGTGATGTCATAATCGGAGATCAACCACGCCCTGAAAAACCTACCAAACCCAGAGACGATTGCTTTACGTTCAAATGCAGGTACCTTTTTTACTTCTTAATGTTTTTTGCCTCGATCTCTCTCACCAGGCCAGCCAGTTTCAAATTACCTACGTAATAGAAAGATTTGTCATTTTAGTTAAACTGGACTCTTAAATGGTTCTCAAAATTTCCTATCCATTTTCATTTCAAGGTGGCAGTCAAGCAGAACAGCTTCATGCAAGTACATTACAAAATTGACATAATTGCAAAGAGGAAAGCTGCACTTTTTGACATGTTATGACGGAGAGGGTCATGTGGTTCAGTTTTCTGTAGGGTTTTATTTCAGGTAGGAAATCATGTGGAAAGCAAAGGAGAACCAGATCAATTATGCTGTTGAAAAGTTGCCAAACATAAGGAGCTAAGGTGTCCTAAAAAGAAGGCCTAATGGAAAGGTTTGGTGGATAACTATGGCTAGCGACTTACGAATCACGTAGATGTTACTCAGAAGAAGAAGGAATGCCCTGTTAATACAAATGTCTTTCCGAACTTCTACAACAGTTTTGAGTTTAAGTTTATAAGATAGAATCATCTATAAGAAATAAAACTTTTTAAAGTTGACCTACTTATAAAAATTACGATTAGGAGAATGAAAGGAAAAGTTTGCACGGAATAGCGGAAACATTAAACATAGTAGAATACCTAAGTACCGTAGTCCAACACTTCTCAGAGTAGAAAGGTTAGATAATGAAGATTTAAACTCAGGTGTAAATCGAGAGAAAAGTGAGAGGAAGAGAGATGCCTTTGACTGGTTACCTTGTTTTTACGAATCAGCGATCGCTTACATCTCACTTTAAGGAATTCCAGGCGTAGGAATCATGAGGTGTGGTCACATCGAGAGGAAGGGCAAGGACGTTGCTCATTAAGCATAGCTTCTCAGTGTTAACATAACAGCCTAACATAAAGCATAACAGCCTTCGGACCCTACAATCTTTGCAAATATTGCTGAGACACTTGCAGAAAAAGAAGCTACTTACAAATCACCCGCCTCTTTCCCCTTAAATCAATGCTTTTATTGGATTGGTAACCAATGTAGTAATCCCCACTTATTCCGTAACCATCTTAACCAACATTGACCCTGGGGGGAAGGATGTTTTGGTCACCAGCGAATATAGTACGCGTAGGAGAATATAGTTTGCGAATTCCTTTTTCGTTCAAATTTTTCAGTATTGCCCCAGTATCGCGATGCGAGTTTCTCAGCTTCTTGTCAGTACAAGCTCTCCTCAGTTTGCTAGTAAAAGCTCGATTAAAAGCAGTATCGGCGCCACAAAGGGGACTGGGGAACACGCACCCCCCTAGTCCTCGGCAGGATCAATTATGTATTTTGTCTAAATCCGATGAGAAATGTTGGGGAGGGGTAATATTTTGGCAACATACTTTGTAATGTAAACCTATGATTTTCGACCTGCCTTTACAAAGCCAAAAATTAGTCATGGGCGTTTCCTTCAGGTAAAATTTGCGTTCCTTATCAGTAAAAGGGCGTTTTCTGGTACTAAAATTGTCTGTCCCCCCTGTTTGCCCCCCCTTGATTAAAAGTTGCTTACAAATAACGGTGACGAGGCCTGGGTGCGCAAACGGTGGCGAGATGGAATCAGTGGATGGAATTGAGCAGCAGCAAGCGGCACGCAATGATCGTGGCTTGATCACACCAGCAAAACAACAGACATTAAACACTTCCGGTTTTCAGGGCCGACCGCGCAGTTTTCATTCTAGTAGCAAAATGGCAAGAGTAGGAAGTCTGCTAGTAACGTGTCAAGGTAATGGTTTTTACATATTTATATGATAATTTCAATCATGTTTCTTCATTGTGCATTTCAAAGTGAGATGAAAAGCAGAATCCAGCTGCCGAATTTGTTTCTGTCTGTTTGATGTGGAAGCTTTCTTCTTCCTGAAAGTAAGACCTTCTAGTTCTAGGAGAAGCAGAGTTGGTCGGAATGCTGCGATTACCAAGGATTAAAAACAACATTTGAAAATTCCATGCAGCACCTTCAAAATAACAAAACAGCCTACTTGTATCGTGGCTTCACCAAGCAAGGGGAGACCCACGCTCTGCCAAAACTTTGAATACCCCTAGCTTAACCAAAGGAATGAAAACGCCACGAAACACACATCTTACCCTAGTTTTACAAATCAAATTCTCAGGAGGCCGAAAGACTTAAAATAGTAGAAGAGATAAAAGAAAAACGCGAGGAAGCGTGGCACCAGTGGCACAGGAGACCATAACAAATAATAACAATAATCTCAAGCGAATTAGTTAAAGCTCAAAAACCCCTCGTGAAATTAACTCTGGTGAAATTTCATTTAATCATCATTAAATTAATGGATTGATAAACTCGTGTTTGGTATTTTACAAAATACCAGACGGACTGTCTGCGGCGGATTCTGTGAAATTCGAGCTTCGCTTCTTGTAAGGGGCAAATCACTCTATTGAAATCTTATACACCTTTGTTGGAAATTCTATTGTTCAATCAGAAAATCTGTAAAAATCCTTTTGTTTTGTTGAAAGGTTCATACACTTGCCACTCAACACCTTCAAAGCTTGACATGTGAACAGTCTAGTGGTTTTGCCAGCGCGAAACCAATAAATTTAAGTTCAGGCTGACTGTTCTTATTTCTTTCGAAAATCTGAGGCTGGGGGTGTACGCAGTGCGATTGCTAGCTTTTTCGCTCTACGGATGTGACAAATTTGAATATTCACCAAAAAAGAACCCACACGTGGCCAAAAATCCTCATTTTTGATATAAAATGTTGTTCAAAATTGCATTTTACAGAAGCTCAGCCTCGCCTCGTTCTTAATTTGTTCTTAACTTTTAACCAATTTTGAGGCTCGTGTTCTTATAAAATTGTTCTTGTAAAAGAAGAGTGTACAGGTTTTTAGTCAATGCTTCCACACTATCAGTTTTTCCATTTCCAAAACACATTATAATTTTCCATAACCAAAAAACGTGGTATCTCTAATTTTCAAGAAAAATTTGATTCCATATCTGATTTGCTATTTACTGCTTTGCTTTACTTTCTGCAACACTCTCCTCCACATTATTCCTGGATCCATCGTGCTGCAAGTGTAACATTTTAGGACTTGTATTATTCAGTAATTTTTATGTTCAGCTAGATCTTTGATTATGTTTGTTTGTCGCGCCGTTGTGTTAGTAACTCCCTTTCCGGGAAATGCGCGTCACTGTCATCGTGTTATGTGATGTCACAGTGTTCCTTTGTCAGTGTTTTAAAATAATATAATCCAAGTTAGAATATTTTAGTCTTACTGTTTTGACCATAGAGATAACATCAAAAAAGGAGTTTCTCTTGTGTACTATCTATTCGGGGCTTAGGCCCGTTGGCCTAGCCCATCGCTCAACCAACGACCTGATAATTCACCGTCATAAGAAGAACCCTTATCGTTACACAAGCAAGTAAACACACGTGTAAATTAACCCATAATAAATAAAAAGTCGATATGTAAATATGCAATTTAATGCCACGTTTCAAGGAATTGATAATTTTCTCGATATCAATCGTGTAATTTAAGTTAAAAGCACGTGCAGTCCTGGCTCAATTTACAGTTATGGATATCAATTTGAAGCAATAACTAATTAAGCTGATAGCTGGGTATCTATTGATATGCGTAGAATGTTCTTTCTAATTGAATTTGTAAGAAAGTTAACCTTGGGATTATCTTTAATATCTTGATCTATATTATCATTCGTAGTGACGTTGCTGCTGGTCGTGTTTTTGCCAGTTTCCATTGAAGCGACCTCCTGCTTCAACAGAAAAACACAAAACATTCCAGCTGATCATCTGTTCAACAAGAAGGCAAAGCCCCTCATACTTGGTCATCGAGGACAACCAAGATTGTTCCAGGAAAACACAATTGAAGGAATAAAAAGTCTTGTGGACCTAGGAGCTGACGGCTTTGAAACAGATATTTACCTCACTGATCACGGGCAACTCGTCCTTTTTCACGATGATAATGCCAAGGTAATACCTGAAATAAGGCAAGAGTCGCAGTTAACTCTGTTTGGCTTTTCACTGGTACCAAAAAGATACCCGTGAAAAAGGGTTGTTAGTCCTTTATATCCCCAAATATTTCAAGGGTATCAAAGACAGCCACAGAAAGATCAAGTTGCAGAATATGGTCCAGAGCTCGGGCTAAACAGAATAGACTTTGCTTGATGAAAAATAAATACCAACAGAAATATGTTATAGATAGAAATTCGGATAGAAAATATAAGTTAAATTGCACTGAATTTGGTTAACCGAAGCTAGGGTTTAGTATAATCAGTGGTGTTAGCACCGTTATAATAGAAATATGATTAATATATGATAATTTTGCAATTATTTCACGGATCATACACTCTTGTATTGCGATCCAGTTATGGCAAGGGGTCCCTTGAGGTTTCACACCCATCCTTTATGCATCGAGTAGAAAATTGAACAGAAAATTTAAGGCAATTGATTTTTTCAGGCTTTGACTGGTGTTGATAAAAACATATGGGAGATGACTCCAAGTGAAATCAGTAATTTGACATACAAGAAAGCACTTGTTTATGGTAAGTTTGTTCAATATTTGGTGTTCTAAGTACGTCATACTCAACAATATGTTAATAAATTCTTTCACAACTGACAGAGAGCAACGGAAAACCTGTCTTAGATGCTAGCTAGATGGGAAGTTCTAGTTTATTCGAATGAATTTGTATCTGTTCTATCTGTGTTCTGAGTGGTTTGTAGGAAGCTTCCCATTTATCTGCTCTATAATTTGTTTCTTCTTTCTTGATAGGAAAGAAAACCTATAATTTCTCCCAGAATTTGAAAGTTGCTCTTTTGGAAGACCTGTTGAACGCAGTAAAAGATTCTGAGTTGTTCATGTATTTAGAGGTGAGAAATGGCTCTGCTAGATTTTTGATTTATTCTCTTGTAACACCACTTTAATTAAGTGATGTCATTAATGCCCAGTCCTCTGCAGGTCTTTCAAACATTTTTGCAAGAAAAGCTAAAGTAAAGAGCTTCAATAATCTGACTTCAAAGCATGCACTCCTGCTACGCACATCTTTGGCTAAATCAAATTTCCTGAGACACAGTGTCGTACTGTCGTAGCCAAGGGGGTGAGATTTGGGGCTGCAAATGTGAACGGTGTAAGCCTAGTTAATGGTCTATGGTAAAATCTATGCACACGCCCTTTCGAATATTGGAAATTACCCCCCTTGGAATAAGCTGTGCTACTGCAGACTGCAACTTTCAGATCATGGGTAGACCGTTGCCACCTTGCCCCTCCTCCCTACACTTTGTGCTTCGGTGTCTATTCAGGAAACCGGAATAACTTGTCCTTGTCTTTCTTTAGAACTGCCTGTTTTAAAAGATTTTGAGGTGCTCACCCTAATTCTGAGTATGCTAAAATTTTGCTGTAATAACTTGAATTCGATTTTAAGTTTCTCTTAGCCTAACTAAACTCACATGAAGAGTCTATTAAAACTGATTACGGGTAAGTTGGTTTATTTCCCTTCCAGCTTAAGCCGAGCAAAGTTGTGTACGCAAACAAAACTCGAAGTGTGGATTCCGGAAGAGAAGTTGCAAAGCTGATAACTAAACTAGGCCTTGAGAAGAAAGTTTTCATTGTTTCATTCGACTTCCTGAAGTCGCTCTCCGCAAAGTTGGAAAACCCAAATCTTGTTGTTGGCTCCTTCTATAAAGAGCAATATTGGCAACAAGATAGCGTGTGGTACTCTAGTTTGAAACGTCAACTAAAGGAGTCTTTTCCAGGTTTAGGGACCTGTTTGGACGGCTTGCCAAACGACCGAAGCCTGATGGACTTCGTCTTTGAGAAGGGGAGCATTTTCAAGTCAATGAACGCATCCTTTGTTGATATGCAGTTTACTGTTTACAACAACAAAAAGTTCAGCAATAATACTTTCAAGACTCTTCGAGATAACTACAACGAAAAGATCAGTTTTGGTGCATGGACAGTCTACAGCATGAAGCTAAACTCAGCCGAAACAGATGCGACAGAAAAGCAAGTTCAATTGCTGATTGACAACGGGGCAGAGCGCTTGATTACGGACGATGTGCCGAAGCTGCGCAAAAAACTCAGCAAGAGTTCGGCAAATGCCCAGGCAGAGTCTCACTTGCTCGTGTTTTCATTTTTAGCCATTGCTCTATGTGCTTTTAATCTTGTTTTGTAGTTACCAACATTCAACATCAACTGTTACTAAATGTCTCGCTTGTTATATGAAACTGCCGTTGGTAACTAATCAGTAAATGATCTTCTGCGGATTCACGGTTTCATTTTGTCAATTAACAGTTTCTAACCTCGTTTCTTACTAGTGTCTAACGTTTCGTAACAGTTCCATAGAGCTTGCATCGTGTACCCATGCGCAGAACCAAAGTCTTCACTGGCAAACTTTCTCCTCTTGAGATACTTGTGTGACAAAATAACTTGATGATTTTTCCGTATAACTTTTATTCAAGACAATTAAGTTTGTAAATACTGCAAGCCATAATGAGAATGAAAAGACACAGTATAATGAGAGATTCCTTCTAAACCCGTAGGTAATCTTCTTTTCTTATGTTAAGCTTCAGTATTTTGGTAGATGGTAGATAGATAGTAAGATATGATTCAACAGTTACCCCTAATAATACCTTGTCTGCTGTAAAATTGAATCCCACAAATCAGTGGTGATTTCTAAAAAAGTTAACAAGGGGGGCTCTAGAGGCAACGTCATGAAAGGGATGTGGGTTTTTCTGACCACGCCCATATTTTTATCGATTCAAATATGATAACCAGTGCTTAAGCAAACCAAACCGTGTAGAAAACAATGACAAATGTCTGAATAACCATTAAAAATTGCAAGATAACATCATAATAAAACTAGAACAGAACATTTATATTTAGTTTGTGAGAGTTATATCGTGAACATCAGCTCAAGAGAATTCAAGTCCTCCTTTGACTTAATAACTCTCTTTTCTTTCTCGGGACTGGTGACCCAAAGCCACCTGGCAACTGATTCTTTTGCATTCCATAAGTTTGGTGGAGGTCCATTTATGCTTATTAAATTATTGACGACAAGGTTGCTACAGCAAAAGCCGATCAAGCTAGTGTGCAAACTAGGTTCATCTGCGAAAAGCCTCTTTCAGCCTCAGTGGAGCTTATTGGAATCGTATATAGTATTCCTTGAATCAGATTTTCAATGGACTTTGGTGTTTTTCGAGGATCAGAGACATAATCTCTGAATGCCATAATCAGCCCTTGCCCATCATTAGATATGGTGAATCTCTGGCAAAGCTCTACCAATAGCCTTTCTCCTTCTAACCAGGGAACATTTACATCAGATGGCCACCTTTCAGGAACAAAAACCTCTAGCTCCTTGAAGGCTTGTCCATCGCTAGCATTCAACATTCTGGCTTTCATGTTGTCAATCAGAGCTTGCAAGAACTGGGGTTTGTTGAACGAAGAGTAAGAAGATCTGTTTTCAAAGTTGTGCTCCATGGTAAGGAATTCCTTTGAAAACAACATCATTTCCAACTGTTTGGTCAGAAGATTGTTCCCCTTCAGTGATGGATAGCTTGATCTTCTCCAAACCGTTTATCGTATACTTGAGATAACGATTGGCCTCCATGATGCTTATATCTGATTTCTGTAAAGATTGAGGTATTATGGAAATTTGTCCAAGGCAATCTTTGATGACAGCCACATCTTCTACGAATTCCTTTGTTGCTAGCTTTTTTGCAATGTCATTGTATGTCGCACGCAGTGGCGAAGCCAAAGGTCCTGCTGGTCCTGCTGAGCAGGACCAAGAATTTCCAAAGATAAGATTTACTGTAAACAATAAACAATCTCTTCTTTGCAAAAAGAAAGTTTCAAATTGTTTTTGATAAACAGTCCCCAGTTCCGCCAGCTGATACAGGCATCCCGTGCTAATCTCAAGGTCCTGTTCTCTTTTACGGCAGCCCTGTATTTTGGTCCTGCTCATAACTATGATACCCTATGTTTGGTCCTGCTTCACAATGGGCTTTTGTGAATTTAGTCCTGCTTCACAATAGTCTAGAACAAAGAGCAGTCCTGCTCAATCTCGAGAGCAGGACCTCGTCGAAATGACCATCATAACATTTCGTAAGCAGTTGTGATTTGATTGGTTGAGGGTTCACCTACGTAGGTCAAAGAGCATTGTTTTGAAAACCGTTGGTCCTGCTATTTCTGAGAGCAGGACTGCAAGAATTGCCCTGTGCATTCTCGTTTTGCTATGAGATACTAGCAAGGAGGTCAGTATTATGGTGAGGCGATGTGAATACGGATTTTCTGCTGCTTTGGCAATACCAATGATATTATTATTGACAGCAAAACTTGCCTCAGTTGAGCTGCATAAATTTTATTTGTAACAAGACAGAGTCCAAAGTTCGCAAGAAAGAAATGCAATCAACAAGAATTGGCTGTATGAGGCACTCTGATTTCGGCCTTTGTACGATCGTTTGAGGCACGGTATATCATGGTGGCCTAAATAGAACTTTCTTAGACTTGGACAAGGACGATGAAAGCATAATTGAATTTACTGTTGTGTGATTGAAAGTTTTGAGTTGGAGAATAAACCAATTTCAGCGGAATTTGCATTTTTCTACCTGAATTGTTTTCTCGTCTAATGGTTTATCTAATCAAGTTTTTTTCATTGATAATGCGACACATTATTCGATTGTACCTCTCTTTATCAGCTGCAGAAAAATTGTTCTGCAGAATATGTGAACTTGCCACTACAGACTTTAAACTCTGTTGTTTATTAAAATTATTTTAATAGAGTATCTAGATTGGTCGGGTTTATACGACCAAAATCTGGAATACCACAAATATATTATATGCAACTTCAAATGCCACCCCTACCCCCCTTTTATCGTCAAATTTAGTTATCACCAATTTGAACTTTTACTTCAGCTGTAGAGGCTTACTACAATTTAAGATAGAATTGTTTGAAAAGTTTAAGTATGGGTTTATTTTTAAAAAGATAGACATCGATTTAAAATTTGCTTTTTACTGAATTTAACAAAAAAATTCATCTGCAAAATAGAATTTTTGTCCATGGGCTTTTCCTATTGAATAAGGGCGTGGCCCTGTCCATATAGCAGGACCAACAATTTTTGGCTAGCTTCGCCACTGGTCGCACGTTTAGCAGAGTCGAGGCATGTGTCCGAGGGAATGCTGGGAATGAACACCATATAAGGCATAAACAGCTCTGTAAGTAGAAGCTGTCCAGCAGAATGTAAACACCTTCCCAATCTTCCTCAACTCAACATCAAGATTGGATGCAATCTCCTTGAGTTGCCTTTGCAATTTTGACGAAAACGAATATACGCTGTGTATTTTGTTGAAAAACTTTCCAGCGCATAGAATCCATCAATTGATTTCACAACATCAGAAACAGCAAGCTCTAGTCGATGGTTCATGCTGTGCCAAATGAATATTGCAGGGAACTGCTCTTTTAGCCTCTTTGCAACACGACTTTTAACACCAAGCATGACTGATGCACCATCACAAGTAAAAGCAATAAAATGTTTGGCTAGGTAATCCTTATCAAAAGAATACTTAGCTAAAGTATTTACGATGCACTCACAAATAGATTGTGCATCTTGGCCTGGCAGTTCGCAAATGTCAAGAAAAACATTAATTGGCTTTTTACACACAACTGAACAAATGTAAATTATTACACATGCTTTTTTGAAATTGTTGTCGATTCATCCGTAATTATCGCGATCTTTCTCTCTTCTGCTTCTATTCTTTCGCAAATCTTTGCACGAACAGTTTACATGCATAAACAGTGCAAAAACACTTATCGTCGATGTTTCAAACTTTCTTTTTTCTTGTCTTCTGGCATTTATATGGCCGAAGTTCTTTACGAAAAGTGCTTGTATAAAAGGTGCTTATCTTTATTCTCAACACGTACAGCTTCAGTCGACCCTATTCCTGCCATTTGTTACTCAAAAAAACAAATATCGTTTGTGGCTCATCGAACTAAATGCAGAAAAATTCGACAAGATAATTATAGCTGGATAGTTTTTGTTGTCAAAATTTAATTATTTTCTAGCATTCTTTTAGCTCCAGTTGGTATTTTCTTTCATATTTTTCTTTTGTCCATCGCAAACGAGGCCGCTGTTCCTAATCACGTGGACACAGAGTAGCCATCTTGGTTTGTATTTCTAGGGAGAAGTTAACAGTGAATGTTTCACGGACTCGCTCAAGTTATGGCATCATTTGCAAAATTTGCATTCAGGACAAGATGCTTAGGAAAAATTAGGGCTACGGCAGGTATGAATTTTGCAAATTAAACCTACATCTGTCTCCAACGGCTGCTGCTGACTTTATTATATTTAACGCCCTGGATTTTTTATTAATAATACCCTCCCAAAGTATGACATCTTTAGATCAGCTACGTGAAATCAACACCCCTTTATGAATAAGAACCCAGAAAAAAGATAAAAAATGTGGACCACTATTAGAGACAAGGCTGACGCTTTCACATCATTACATGATTCATGTCATGTGTGGAAAAGAGACAGTCTTGCAAGAACAGTACATCCCGCCTCAACGCAAAAGAGAGAAAATCTATTCTGCTGACAAAAATTTATCTGCTTGCCTTAATGGAGAAACTAAAAGAATATTTATTAAATAAAGCAAAGGAGGCAGGGTGGGCAAGTGCAATGATTCAAAAAGTTCAGTAATGTTTTGATCTATTTTTTATGCTTTGTTTCCTGTGTTCAAAAATTTTGTGAGAAAATTCAGACTAATTGTCTACTCTCACTGGTTGTCCGCTGGGCTTACTTTGGGCTCTGGTTAAGTCCAATAAACCAGCACAGGCTTATAAATATTATATTAATTTTGAATGACTTGCCATATTGATTTGAAATGTCTTCTGCTTGTCATCTAACTTGCAAGTAGACCTCAGACCTTTTCAATTTTTGACACATTAAGACATTTCACATATTTTTCCTTTAATAATGATCATCTTAGAGAAAGGTAATAGTCATAGTTCTTTTGCAAGAAGCCAAAAGACTTTTCTTGAGAACAAATCTAGAAGATGTTCAAGAACTTGGAAACAGAAATCACTACATGTTTGGTAAACTGTAAGCGATTAATAATGCAACCAACGGTTGTCGTAAACAACCTATAAACGAGGTGTTAATAAACCAATGATTAACAATACATGTAAAGAAAAGAACAAAATAAGTAAAAAACATTTTGTATTCAGAGAGCAAAAAATTGTTCTCTAGACAAAGGATTATTGTTCAGAAGATAACAAACAAAATTAAAGTAAAAATATATCAGAAGCAGTTTTGTTGAGATGGAAAATCTTTCCTAAAACTTT